TCGGGCAGCTTCAGGCAGGATGGTTTTGGCGGGAACAGTTACGAAACTGTACGCGCCGCACGGTTGGGGATGCATTTGAATAAGGGAATGTACCCCTTAGAGTACATGGCTAGTTAGGTCGTTTCGTATTCCCTTGTACTCATATTTATATTTCCTGTATTTGCATGTTTTAATTATCTCAAGCATTTACATTCACTCCCCTATTGAGGTCAAGGGCCCACCAAACTATCTCACTACGTGCGAACCTTCCTGGGTAGATCCCGGGCTACGATCAACTTTTGATAGCAGCATGTACCATATGTCACAGTGATGTTGGTGTACAGTACATAAGGACACCACTACCTAGCTGTCATGGTAATGCTAACTATGCATACCCGTGTGCAACACATGCTCGCCTCACCTTCATGCTGGAATGTAGAAACCACTTCCATATACCGACAAGTGTACAATTTAAGGAGAAACAAAAGCAGTTTAGCAGTTGCGTAGCATGAGAATCAAAAGCGAGCACAGCAGCAAGCATACCACACCTATGTAGATTCAGTTCAGGAGCATCCAGCCAGCTAGCATGAGAGAGAGCAAGAGAATTGTATGGCGAGGACATGGATGGATGTGTGAGACGACAGTCCATATGTACACCGTACGACATGGATGACGGAACCATGCACAGCAGCTTGCTGGCATCATCGCAAGGAGCGCTCACACAAGCTAGTCCCCACAGAGGAGGAGGAGTGGCTGGTCTCTCAAACAAACAGACGGCAGAGCCAGGTAGAGAGAAAAACTGTCAAATGGATGGAGAAGCAGATGTTGGAGCAGAGACCCTGCAAAGATTGCCAAGCGCAGAGGCCGAGGAGGGGAATCGAACCACCAAACTTCCTTCCATATCTTCCAGTGCCAGGCACTCACTTGTATAGCCTTGCACCCCTACAGCCTTGCCTCGGGCACAAACTGTGTGATGTAAGGATACGCGTCCAGAGTCAGGAAATCACCCAGGGTGGGCGCCAGGCACTGGCTTGCAAACAGCGCAGCCGCTTCCTGAAACCTGCCCGAGGCGAATCTCTTCGCCCCCACCTCCTGCTGAATGCGCTGCAGCTCCTCCTGCACCACCTGGCTGAACAACTCCTTGGTAACCCTCACCGGCACCAGCTCACCGTCCAGCACCGCTCCGTACCGCAGCCACTGCCAGTTCTGCACGCGGCTGATCTCAGCCGTTGCTGCGTCCTCCATGAGATGGTAGAGCGGCACGGATCCAGATCCCGTCATCCACGCCTCGATATACTGGATCCCGACGCGCGTATTAACGCGTAGGCCGTCCAGCGACTTAGTCCCCTTGGGCATCGCGATTAGGTCTTCCGCGGTGACGTGGACGTCGTCGCGCGCGCGGTCCATCTGGTTGGCACGTGGCATGCCCGCGTTGAACACGTCCAGCACGAGCGGCACGAGCCCCGGGTGTGCCGCCCACGTGCCGTCGTGTCCCGCGTCCACCTCGCGCTGCTTATCCGCCTTAACCTTCGCGAACGCCGCCGCGTTCGCAGCGGGGTCGTCCTTAATCGGGATCTGCGCCGCCATGCCGCCCATCGCGTGCACGCCGCGTTTGTGACACGTCTGAATCAGCAGCTCCGTGTAGCTCTTGAGGAAATGCTGCGTCATCCCCACCTGATGGCGGTCCGGCAGGAGGCGATCCGGATGCGCGCGGAACGTCTTGATAAAGCTGAAGATGTAGTCCCAGCGCCCGCAGTTAAGCCCCGAGGAATGCTCCCGCAGCTCATACAAAATCTCGTGCATCTGAAACACCGCCGGCAGCGTCTCGATCAGCACCGTCGCCTTGATCGTGCCACGTGGCACGCCCACGCGGTCCTGCGCGTGCTCGAAGACCGAGTTCCAGAGAGCCGCCTCGCGCGAGTGCTGCATCTTCGGGAGGTAGAAGAAGGGCCCCGCGCCGCCGTGCGTGGCGCGGAACTTGGCCTGGTTGTGGAAATAGTAGAGTCCGAAGTCCATCAGGCATCCCGGGACTGGCTGTCCGTCCACCTCGAAATGCGCCTCTGCGGAGGGGTGGAGGTGAGAAGGGGAGACGGCGACGACAGAGAAAGGAGAACATCGGCAATTAATATAAAGTAAAGTGGTATTTTTCTACAAGGCTGTCTAACGCTCATGGTGAATCGTCATCTTAGCAGATATTAACTTGTTTCCCGTTACATAGAGCTATTCTTGCAGCATTAAGGAAAATTACATCCAAAGATCACGCCAGTCAGTCATACAATAACACGGCCAGGGCGTACCTTTGAGGTGCCATCCGCGGGGGCGCACGAGCATGACGGCAGTCTTGTCATTGAGCTTGTACGTCTTGCGGCGCGCCTTGTCCTCGTACGTGATGGTGCCGTTCACGGCATCGCGCAGGTTCACGTGTCCGTCCATGATTCTCTCCCACGTGGGCGCCAGCGAATCCTCAAAGTCGGTCTGCGGACAGGTCAGGAAAGCGAAGAAAGAAAGCGATAAGGATGACGGACAGAGAGACGGGAACGAGTGAAGGAACTGGTGCACAAGAACAAGCTGGAACACGTCTTGCATCCTCATTCTTGCATCATGAATCTCTCTCTTGCGCAACCATAAGCATTCCCAAAGTAGGAACAGCCAAAATGTCACCCACCATGAACATCTTCGCGCCCGAGTTGAGCGCGTTAATCACCATCTTGCGCTCCACAGGCCCCGTGATCTCGACGCGGCGGTCCAGCAGCACGGGCGGGGTGGGCGCGCACTTCCAGTCGCCCTCGCGGATGGCCTTGGAGCACGCGGCGAACGTGGGGAGCTCCCCCGCGTCGTAGTGCGCCTGGGTCTCCGCGCGGCAACGCAGGATGTAGTCGACGCGCGGGCGGAACGTGCGGACCAGATCCACGACGAACTCCACAGCCTCTGCAAGGCGGCCGCCGCAGAGATAAAACAAGAAACACAAGATGAGCGCTGGAAATTCTTTGTCCCGATTCTTGAAAGCATCTCGTCGTGGTTATTCCAGCTGGCGACATGATTTCAAACGTGGAAGAACTGAGGGATCGTTATTCCAACCAAAAGGAGGCAACCTTCAAAAACTGGTGAATCTTCGATCAAATAGGCGAAAGATGTGAAATTCGTGACGACTGCTAGATGGCGGGAGTAGTACCTGGGGTCAGAATCTCCTGGTACGCGGGCTTCATCACACCGCGAACGCGAACGCCGGCGGGCAACTTCACTTGCCGCACCGTCGGAATGCTCTCAGGGAACGAGTAATGCTCCATGCTGGCCTCTTCACCGGCGGATAGTCTAGCCGCAACCGGAACGATGCGAGCTTGCTCGAAGGAACGGCGGTTCGAACGTAACGAGAGGTTCGTGCTACGGGTCGTCCTGACAAGACGACGAGTAGGGATGTGGAGCGGAGAGGCCAAGCTGAAACTGAAACTGAGAGCGGAAGGCTTGACAGCTGCTACGGAAGCGACTGGCGAGCCAGAACAATTTATATTGCTTGAATAGCTCGCGACGGAAACAGAAGCAGCGGGAGCAGCGATGGCCATGGCTACCCTGAGGTGGAGCTCTGGGAAGTGATGATGTGGCGGAATCCGGAATCCGCAATGATGTGCGGCTTCAAGAACGCGCGGAAATGTGGCTTGGCGCTTTGGCGAGGAGGAGATGCGCGCTTCTAAACTTTCCCGCGCGGCGCTTCTCCGTCTCCCGCGCTAGAGTGCGATGCGCCTTCCTACACGGGGGGCTTTCTTCCCCCTTCCCCATTCCAGCCGCCTAAATACCTTCCGCCCGCCTGCTGATGTCAACGGAGCGGCTACACCGTGTCAACCGCGCGGAACTATCAAAGGGCGTTTGTTTTGCGGTCTGACGTGGCTGCGTGCTGATGCCCACTGTGCGGTGTTTCCATGATGCTCTCGTCGTCGCCCATGCCGTTCACTGATTGGCTGGGTGGGGCTCCTTTGGTCCCACCCCGGTCTGCTCTTGGAAGGCAGCAATTCTTTGGGGTATGGCATCGTGGACTCTCGAGTCGCTAACTTGAGTCGAGGGACCACTTAGCTGGAGCTGGGCTTCCGCGAACGCAGCAGCGACTAAGTCCAGCGCAGCTTGAGGCTGTGCTTATGTGGAACTGACACCCTTGCGCGTGACTTGGCACACCAGCTGAAGGTGATGGCACTGGAGGTGGCAAGGGCAGAACACGAATGGAATTTGGACTTTGTACACCACTACAGTTCGAAAAATTTGTTCATACACATATATCAACTAAAGCTGTATCTGAAGCTATCAATGAGTAACAAACTAATAAAATATCAAATTAATTACGCCTGACATATCCGCAACATGATAATGATAATTTAACCCCATAAGATATTTTTTTCTCGATCATTGCTAATCAGCTAACCATAGTCTTCAGCATGCAACTCTTACAGCTAGAAAATAAGTTTAGAGCATCTCATGACATAGGCTTCTCAGTGTACTTCTTATCGTTTCTACACCCAACTCGCAAATATTCTTTCTAATAACGAGCATGACACTATCAGCAGGTAAGCCCTGCATATTGCGGGATTCCGAAGACCTTCCTCCTCACCTGCACGCGGTTATTCCTTCCCACTACTACTCACTCAACAACAGCCATGGCGGCCCTCGCATTCGCCAGCCGCATAGCGACCTCGGCTCCGTCAGTGCCCGTACGGCTTTCGCCCTATCGCTCCACCGCAATGATTCCGCCAACTCCGCACCCACATTCTTCGCTGCATTCTTTTTCCTCTCTGCTATTCTCCCGCCGTCAAAACATCGAACTTCATCAACATATAAATGGCGCAGTTCGGCTAAATGACGAAAACGCAGCGCACCAAAGATCTTCGTCGCGTTTTCTCCTCGTGAAAGCACATGCCTCTGCAAGCACTTCCGGCTCAGCGACAGCGTCAGTAGCTTCGCAAAGGGAGAATAAACGAGTGGTTATAACGGGGGGAAGCAAGGGACTGGGCTACGCCATGGCGGAAGTGTTTCTATCGATGGGCGACTCGGTGGTCATTTGCGGTCGAGACGACGACCGCCTAGCTGCAGCGGTTGATGCGCTCCAGCAGTCGGAAAAAGCGGCCGTCAAGGGAGACGAGTCGCCGAGTGCGCGCGTGTGGGGGATCCGTTGTGACGTGGCGAATGCGGAGGATCTGGCGAGCCTGGCGGAATTCGCGGTGGAGCAGATGGGAGGCGTGGACATCTGGATCAACAATGCAGGCAAGCAAGCAAGGATTGACATTGAGGTCCAGCGTAACGGTTATATCTGACGACCTACAGAACAGCGCTGGTAACGAAGAACGAGGATGCATATCAGACCCCTCCTTTTTTTTATGAAACCCCCTCCTCGACCCCCCTCTCCCCCCTCTTCCTCCTCCTTCCTCTCCTATCCTTTCCAATCCTCACATCCTCTCACCTTGCCTTCCTGTGGATCCTCTCTGCATCTTCTACGACCCGGTCATGCCCTCTCGTTGCACGTGTTCAGGCCAGGTGACATCCAAGTCCTTGCTAGCAGATGTGCCTCCATCCGACATTGCCTCGGCTGTCAGCACCAATGTGCTCGGGTCCCTTCTCGGCTGCCGGTAAGCTTTCAAATGTGTGCCATTTCTTGACTTGAGCAGTCCGCTGCACCAATGTGTACAATCCCTGCAGTACATGCCAGGTGCGCTTTTGCATGAAGCATTGAGTAGAATCTTGCAGGAATGCCCTCTCTGTATTTGTAATGCATACGCTGCTGCGCCGCTGTCATGCGTCAATGGTTGACATGCTGCAGCACCAGCCATTCCACCAAACCATTCGTCTCACTCTGCCCACCCCTCCCCACACCTCTCAACCTCCTCTGCAGAGAGGCCATCCGAGTGATGAGGCAACAAGCGGACGCAACCCCATCTTCTGCCACGCCCCGATACCACATCTTCAACCTGGGGTTCTCCCGGTGGGGAGCGGCGTTCACGCGCTCTGCTGCCACACTTTTTGAGAATTCTCAAAAATCCCTCCCCACTCCTCTCAACCTCCACTGCAGGGAGGCCATCCGAGTGATGAGGCAACAAGCTGATGAAACTCAATCCGCTGCCACACCGCGCTACCACATCTTCAACCTGGGGTTCTCGCGGTGGGGAGCAGCATTCACGCGCTCTGCTGCCACGCACAAGTCCACTAAGATGGCCCTCTCGCAGCTCACCACCAGCCTCAATGACGAGCTCAATCAGGCAGGTAAGGCACCCTGGCTTGTGTGTGTGTGTGTTGTTCGCATGTGTCCCTGCAATTGTGTCTGCATTTGCCTGCTCTCTCCATGTGTCTCTCAGCACCTTGACTCCTGTCTTAGTGCATCCATTGCAGTCACATTGTAATCGCATGAGTGCCACATCACCCAATTCCCACATCCGCACGGCGTGCTCCCACCAGGTCTGACGAGCATATCAGTGCACAACCTGTCGCCAGGCATGGTGCTCACAGACCTGCTGCTCAAGGACTCCACGCCCATTGCACGCCGCTTCTTCAACGCACTCGCAGGTGAGTGAGGATCTTATAACGTGGAGCGGGTTTGGTTGGGTTATTTGATACTGCTGGATCCTTGATCTTGTTTGCAGTAGGCAAATATAATCAAATGTCCAACGTGGCTCCACCAACCAACTGTCGTTTCGTTGGCATCTGCGATTCCTCATTATCCCCTTTCCCTTGCAATTCCATTCCGCAGAGGAACCCGAGACTGTTGCTGCTGCCATTGTTCCTCTGATTCGTGGAGTCACAGCGCCGAACGAGAACGTGGAGTACATGTCTCCAGTGGATGCGTTCATCCGAGTTGTCACTGGAGTGCCACAGATTGTCAAAGGTGGCCGGTTCTTTGATGGAAATGGGGACAGGGTCCCACAACCAGGTAGCGAGTATGCGAGCAATGGAGTTAGAAAGCAGTTTCCTGCTTCGTAAAAGACATGCTTTGCTGTGTTTATGAAGTTTGGGTTAGACAGGGAGTGCCATCTGCAGGCATATGCTAAGGTTCAGTGGGCTTTGTGTTGAATTTTTATGTTTGTGGTGTGCTAAATCAACGTGAGGTTATAGTGAACTAACCTTGTGTCATAAGAAAATGTAACTGTAGTGAGGATTTCCAACACGTCAGATGTGATACTTCCACGTCACATTCAAGCTCCGCTGTATGCCAATGGACAGCCATCCCTTAGGGCTCCTTCCACAATGCAGAACAAAATCCGCTAAAACTTCTGCGTTGAGGAGACACGGATTCGGGGTGCAGGGTTTTCCACGGATTTTGTGGGATGGGTCACGGGTCATGTCAAATCACACCATGGCACGAACCATTTCTTTATTGAACTTTTAGAAAACTCTTTTTCTGGAATACGGCCTCCGTCTGCTCCTATTATTTTGGGAAGACGAACCGAGAATCGAGATCTGCTTTGACGAGCGGCGCTAGTTTCGTTGTCTGCTGCTCCAGTTCTAAATTCCGCGGTCCGCTGCTGTATTAGCCTCCTTGTCAGGTGTCTTTTGCGACCAGCAAGCAGCTGTGACTGCACCACTGCAATACAGCGTGCGCTGCAATAGTTTTTTTGTTCAAACCATGGCGGACATCGCGGAGGGGCTTACTGAGGAGCAGAAGCAACAGTATTTTGATCAAGGCAAGGCGACTCTTCCACGCCCGTTGTGTTTCATCCACGTATTTGTTGGCGCAGTTATTGTCCATGCACATTGTTTCTAAGTACTAGAAAGAATGAGGGACAGAAGAAAAGGAAGACGACAAGAACGACTTTTTTTGTTTGCTTTTGACAGAATATTCCAGACTTCTACGTCGCTGAACGCGGGATATTCATCGCGTTGATATTGTGATTGCTCTTTTTTTTTTTTTCCCTTCTTTTTCCTTTATTTTTTTTTCCCTTTTTTTTGGTCCCCTTTTCCGCGAAGGTTATTTGGTGCTTGAGGATTTTTGGACGCCGGATGATTGTTCGCGCATGATGCAGCGAATCGACGAGCTGCTAGAGGGTTTCGACCCCAACACGGTCAACGTCTTCAGCACGCGCGATCAGGTGGGAGAGGGAGTGGTGGATGGAGGTAGCGGTGGGGGTGGGGGTGGGGGTGGGGGTGGGGGTGGGGGTGGGGGTGGGGGTGGGGGTGGGGGTGGGATTGGGGGTGTGGGAATGGGGTTGAGCTTGTGCGATGGGGTGAGGAAACGCGTGATTCCCCTCGCATGGCTTGCCAAAATCCTCCTTGCCAGCGTGATTCATGTTTTTTCTCTCTCGTTGTATGCCCATCCTTCTCTGTCTCACCCGCCGCGAGGCCGCGCCTTTCGCCGTGTGAGGATTCTTACAGAATGATGAGCGAAACGCGCAGGTATGGAAGGAGCCGTGAGCTTTTCACCTCCTCTCCCACCCACTCACCAGTCCCACTGTCCCACTCTCTCTTGAACGTCTTTCTTAAACGTTTCTTCTTCTCATTCTCTCGGTTCGCGCCTCTTGTCCTCTCATTCTCCCCATCGCCCTTCTCGTCTTCTCTCCGCAAGGCAGGCCCGTCTGACCAACGACTATTTCCTCGACAGCGGCAGACGCGTCTCTTTCTTCTTCGAAGGTAAACTAGTGCATGTCTATTTGCTAGTGCATGCATTCTACACCCCAGATTCCCAAATTTCCCGTGCCTTTTTTTTCACGGTTTCGGATATCAGACCTTGGGTTTCCCCTCTGGCTCTGTCACTGTGTGTGTGTTTGCGGCTGCTTTGCATATGTGTTTACACGCACACACACACAAGAACGTGCTGTTCCCTCCCATATCCTCGTTTGTGTCATGCCTTTGTTCCGGCAGAGAAGGCGTTTGACGCAGACAAGAAGCTGGTGAAGCCGAAGAAGCTTGCAATCAACAAAGTGGGCCACGGTGGGTAACATTCCGCACCTTAGAAAACCTAAGCCTCCTAAAGCAAGTGGAAGCATGGTGGGTAACATCTGGCGCCTTAGAAAATCTAAGCCTCCTAAAGGATGTGTGTACGTCTTTGTCATTAGGCATGCTAACCCCTCCCATCCCCCTCTCGTTGCATGCTACACACTGTCATCATGCAGCCTTGCGCGACTGGACAGTGTGTTCGGCCCGCTCCTTGTCATTGTGCATGCCAACGCCTCCCCTCCCCCTCTCGTTGCTGTTTCCACCCAGCCTTGCATGACCTGGACAGTGTGTTCGGCCCGCTCTCTCGCTCCTCTAAGGTCGCCTCCCTCTGCAAGTCCCTGGGCTTCCGGCGACCCCTGCCCGTCCAGTCCATGTACATATTCAAGGTGCGTGCGTGTATGTGAGTCCGAGTTGAGAGCATTTATGATCCACGGCGTTGGTCTCTTCTGACTTTGACGGTGAGGCACCCTTGCAAGGCAAGTATTGGAGCCAGCGACCTTGCCCGTTGAGTCCATGCACATACTCAAGGTGCGTGCGTGTGAGTGCTAGTTGAGGTTTTCACGGCAATGGTCTGTTTCAGTCTTTGAGGCACCCTTGCAAGGGAAGTTTTGGAGCCGACGACCCCTGCCCGTTCAGTCCATGTGCATATTCAAGGTGCGTTCGCATCTGAGTTGAGGATTCATGGCATTCGTATGTGTGTGCGTTCAGTCGCTGAGGTGCCCTGCCCTCAAAGGTGCAATTTCAGTGCTTGTTCAGTCCATGTACAAGTTCTACGTACGTTTTATGTCGAAATACCCCAGTCATATCCCCTCAGCTTCCTTTGTCATACCCTTTGCTTTCGTACCTTCGCCTCTCTTGCAGCAACCGGGCATAGGCGGGGAGGTGGTGCCCCATCAGGACAGCTCGTTCCTGTACACGGACCCGCCCTCGTACCCCTTTCCGCACTGCTCTAAAACCTCTAAATTCCCCTCCTCTCTTCCCCACCTCTCTCTTCCCCTGCAGCAACCGGGCATAGGCGGGGAGGTGGTGCCGCATCAGGACAGCTCGTTCCTGTACACGGACCCGCCCTCGTGTGTGGGCGTGTGGGTGGCTGTGCAGGACGCCACGGTGGAAAACGGCTGCCTGTACGCGCTGCCTGGCTCGCACAAGGGTATGTGATGTGCCCGCACTGGTGGGTATGCCTAGGTACACAGGTAGTTAGCACCCATGGGTGCGTCCACTCTCCCCTCGTGTGTGGGCGTGTGGGTGGCCGTGCAGGACGCCACGGTGGAAAACGGCTGCTTGTACGCCTTGCCGGGCTCGCACAGTGGTGGGTGTGTGTGTGTGTGTGTGTGTGTGTGTGTGTGTGTGTGTGTGCGTGTGTGTGTCACGGTCACACAGGGGTATGTGTGTGTGTCTCACTATTGGGTATGCATAGGCAGCGCCCATGGGTGCCTTCACTACCCCTTTGTGTGTGGGCGTGTGGGTGGCCGTGCAGGACGCCACGATGGGCAACGGCTGCCTGTATGCACTGCCGGGCTTGCACAGAGGTATTTCTGAGACGTCTCAAAAGCTGCCGGGATTTCACAGAGATGGGTATGCGCTGAGCATGGGCGGTGTGTGGATGGCGTGTCTGTGTGTAGAGTGTGGTGCCGTGGTGTGTGGGTGGTACGCATAAGTGGAGACATGTACAAAGAAACCAGTTTCCCTCTCTGTCCTTCCTCACCCACCCCCCCCCCATATCCCTGGATATCAGACCCCCTAGCTCGTCGGTTTGTGCGGGACGGCAAGGGCGGAGTGACGTTTAACTCACCCAGCCCCACATACGAACTGTTTTTCAAACTCTGCAATAATACTCTTTCTTTCCCCACTTCTCCCCCCTCTTTGATATCTCCTCCTCCCTGGGCCCTCGCCCTCGCCCCCCTCCCTCTGCCACCCCGGCCCCTTACCCATGCAGACCCCCTAGCGCGTCGGTTTGTGCGGGACGGCAAGTGCGGAGTGACATTTGATGCGCCCAGCCCCACATACGACCTCACCCAGTTCGTGCCTGTCCCTGTCAAGGCCGGCACCGCCGTCATCCTGCACGGCCAGCTCGTGCACTTCAGGCGAGTCTTTGGGGGAGATGTGGGCGTGTATGCTGGTCTGGTTCCGGCTCGGTGATTCGGATGCGTTCCCTGGGATGAATGCGCTGCGGTCATTCTGCGCGGCCAGCTCGTGCGCTTTAGGTGAGTCCGTGGGTGCGTGTGTGAGGGTTGGCTCTCATGTCCGTGCCACTCAACCCCATTGACTAACTAAAGGTGTGCGTACTCATTGCTACTAGCTTCTCTCTCCTGACTTTGTTGTCGTGCGCTGTGTTGACTCATCCACGCGCAATCCCTCCCTGCACTGCCACCGCACACCATCCCACATCACCTCACACCATCACCCACCACCTTCCGCCATCTCACGGCATCTCACACTACCTCGCACAATTTCACACGACCTCAACCCATTTCGCACCCCCCCTCTCCACCTCACACCATCTCATCCCAGTTACGAGAACAAGTCCCCAGTGTCACGCCACGCCTACTCCATGCACATTGTCGAGTCGGACGGGCCGGCATATCCTTCCGACAACTGGCTTCAGGTTGGCCCGGGTGAACCGCCATTCCAGCCGTTTTATGCTGCGGAACCCTCCACTGCAGCTGCTCATTAGAAGAAAAAAAACTTCGGCCAGGCTAGCTTTGTTTTATGGTGGAGAACGTTGAATGCCAGAACCCTTGCAGTGGTTCACGGACTAGCACTGAATGCCGTTTTGCATTGTATATAGGGCATGAGTAGTTCTTATAAGGAAGATGTACTGTAGCAGGAATGGTACAGTATCTGCGTTGGTTTCTGGACAGTGGGTTGTCCTTATTACACAGTTGGATTGTTTTTTGGGGATGTGTGAGTCAGGGCCCAAAATAGGTTTAGGGTCACTCTTTCAAATCAGGGTGGCAGGCCCTCCGTACCCTGACTGTTAGGGTATTTTTTTCCGTACACTGTTTACAGCAGCCTAAAATTTATGGTACACTGAATTCAGCAGGGTATTTTTTCCAATACACTGTTTCTTTCACGGAATCTTATATTCTGCTAACAGTCCATACACAGTAAAATGCCATGAAAGCAAACACACGAGCGCGCTTGCAGCCGCACTGCTTCTACGTGGGCGCGCCAGTGGGCATACCGTACAAATGGTCCAGTGGGACCGTGGTGAATTTTGTCTTGGCGCGCACTGTGGCGGAATCCTCGGTAAAAGTGTAGTTGGGCCCGTACCCTGATACAGCCAGTGTAACCCAAATTGTTACCAGAGTAGTTTACAACGAATCCTGATTTCATTAGGGTAAAAAATTTCATAGCCTGATTTCACAAGGGTAACTGCCAAAAAGCGGCCTACCATCAGGGCAAAAAGGGTATTTTATCCTTGAAATTTGGGCCCTGGTGTGAGTGTTCTCATTCCACATAGCGGTTGTTGTTTCAGTGTACTTGTGGCTATAAATGCTGTCGAGGCTGTGTTTGAAGAAACGAGAAATCGGCGAAACCTGTAATATTCGCGAGCCACTTCGTGATAGCGTTCTTCGAAAAGCACCTATCCTGCCTGTCGCGAGGTTTCCGCTGTCCATCCATCTTGCAAATACCGACGCTCTCTCGAGCCCTCACACTGAGAAACCCGTTAGCTTCACCCGTTAATTTGGCATAAACGGCGACAACGCCTTGCGGAATAGTCACTACGACACCATCTATGGCGAGTGCTGCGTTAGTGGCGAGTAGAACAAGAGAAGTCGCATCTGCCACTCCTGGGATGGCGGGGATGCGCGGAGACGAAGCTGTCTGCATGGGGGACGTCGATCCGCCCCCTAGGAAGGGCGTGCCGTGGGCTCGTATTAAGACTGCTGAAAGGTGAGGCCTAATGGAAGGGGGGGTACGGGATTGACATTTCTTTCACGCGACTCAGAATCTCTGAAAGGTTGTGCGGCGGGCTTGTGGGCTAGTAACGAAACCTTCCTTCCAATCTCCTCCCCCGACTTCTCCTCTCCTCCTCCCGTCCTCCTCTTCCTTCTCCCCTGCCGCCTGCTTCACGGGATTTAAGACGTTGCAAAAGTAGCCGTTCCCACTCTCCCCCCACTCCCTCCTCTCCGCCCTCCCCCTCCCCTCCCCCTTCCCCACCTCTTCCTCCCTCACAGCCTCCTCCTTCAAGGGAGGCCCGCAGCAGCAGCAAGGCTGGCGGAACGACCGCTGGCGCAGCTTTGAGCCTTCTTATAGCTTCCCCCTCCCCCACTTCCGCCCTCTCCCCCTCTTCCTCCCTCACAGCCTGCTGCTCCAAGGGAGACCCGCAGCAGCAGCAAGGCTGGCGGAGCGTCTGCTGGCGCAGCTTCGAGCCTTCTCATAGACTCGTAGCTTCTCCCCTGCCGCACTCGCGCCATTCCCCTCTTCCCCCCCCCCCCCCCCCCAGCCTGCTGCTTCAAGGGAGGCCCGCAGCAGCAGCAAGGCTGGCGGAACGACTGTTGGCGCAGCTGCTGGGCAAGGGGAGGGGGGAGAATGGGGAGGGGCTTGCTCGGGGCGCGGGGAATGGGGACGAGGGGGAAGTGAGGGGGGAGGGAAAAGCAGATAGAAAATGGAGGATAAGGGAGATGGGAGAGAAGAGGGGAAGCAATGAAGATTTGTCAGATTCAGCAGAAGCAGCATTAAAGGCGGTGGGAGTGGTTTGGGTGCAGGCAAACGCCAGAATGGGCAGGTAGGCAGGTACACATTCCATGGTAACCCTCCTATTTAGGGCACAATCCAGCAGATGCCCTTCCAAGCAACTAACCACTAATACCAAGGTGCTTCTTCTCCACTGTTCAAAATCCCCCCTCCCCCTCTCCTTCACAACCCCCCACCCACCCCACACACCCCCCCTCACAACCCCCCTCCCTCCCCTTACCCTGCCGTTTCACCCCCCTTTCCTGTTTCCTGCGCCCACTGGTGTTTTCAAGAATTTTTCTGGGTTCATGTGCCTTTTTCGCCGCTCACACCAAAACCCTAATCTCTCCTTCTCTCCGTGTTTCCTGTGCCGGCAGGCATTCTCATGTTCTCTCAGAGTTCAAGCGCTTCTTCGGTGCTCTCTCCCTCGTTGCTCCGCCTCTGTTCCTCATATGGTAAGCCGTCCCATTCTTAGAATCGCCAATAGCAGCAAGAGTCTGTTAGATGCTGCTGCTGATACTAAATGTGCAGCAGCAGAGATTATGTATACATGATCAGCTTGCTTGCTTTTATCACCCCCTTGCTCTTAACTCCAAAAGTCTCTGGATCCTGCTTATCAGGTTGTTTCAACATGATTGTTTCAAAATCTCCTTGTCGCTCCCTAACAGGCTTTCTCTTGCTGTATCTGCCCGAGAATTCCGTACTGCACGGGCAGCCCTAGAAGAGCTTTTCACACAGCTGTTTACCACCACCACCACTGCCACCGCCACCGCCACCAGCAGCAGCAGCAGCACCACCACCAACATCACCAGCACCACAAATACCAGCAGTACGGCCAGCAACGCCACTGCATCCAATTCTAGACCTCTATCAACGCAGAGGGCGTGGGGAAAGGTGGCGAGAGCGTGTGCACAAGTGCACGTATGCACTGTGCTGGTGCAAGGACTTGGTGATGTGAGTGGTGCGAGACAGTGGCTCGTGCACGCACGCATGCAGCAGCAGCAACAGCAGCAGCAGCAAAATCAGGGAGGGGTGTCAGATCCACCGCTGTTTTCTCCATCAGACCTTGACGTAAGTCGTCTCCTCTTTTGATTGAAATTAAAGTGTAGCCGCGCAAGTTTCCTTCTTATGCGTTCTTGCGCATGCAGATGCATAGCAATCAACTTCCCGCTGTATGCTTTTTTGCAGTGCAAATCTCCTCTTGTGGGTTGTGTATCTCGTACCGTATCATGTGTATCTTTGATGCCACTCACAATCAACATCCATTTTTGAGTGCTTCACCCTCTTACAAGCCCTGCTCACTCACCCATCTTCTTATACAAGCCCGGGCCTGTTTCACCTCACTCCCCTTTTCTTCATCACCCCTCGACCAGTTTCTCGATCAGCAGCTCGCACTGTCAATCCGACTCCTCCCAACCGCATCCCACCCCTCCGCCTCGTCCCTCCATTCCGCGTCGGGGAAACCTATTCAAAATACATCTGCCGGCACCGCATCAGCAGCAGCAAGCAATTCTGCTGCCGCAGATGATACTGCAAGAGCAGGAGCAGGAGCAGGCAGAATGGCACGCCCGTCCCCATCTGGCCTTGCACCAGTACACGACACAGCATCAGCAGACTCTCCTCACCATCATCACCATCATCACCATCATCATCATAAGCAGCAGCAGGGAGAGGAAATTTCTAGCGCTACAGCACCAAAACACAACATCTCCTCCTCCTCTCAACCATCTGCTCCTCTCCCTGTCTCCTCCTCCACCACCTCCCTTTCCAAACCCTCACCATCTTCCTCTCTCTCCTCCTCCTCAACAACCCGCCCCACCTCTCGCCTGCCTGCCTGGATCCTCTCCCTCGTCTCTGCATCTCGCTCTGCATCCCGGCGTGTGCTAACAGTGTTGGCTGTGTGGGTGCGTGCAGCAGGGCAGTGCGGCCCTGAGACTGCCCTTGTTGCTGCGGCTTGCCTTGCCCTGATATTGCTCACAAGATTCCGAGCTCAAGCAAACAGGTGAGGGTTTTGGGAAGTGTTGGCTGCATGGGTGCGTGCAGCAGGGCAGTACGGCCCACAGGCTGCTCTTGTTGCTGCGGCGTGCCTTGCCCTTGTGCTTCTCATAAGGTACCGAGCACAAGCAAGCAGGTGAGGGGCCCGGGCCGGGGATTGCTGGTGCCTTCCTGTCTGCGTTAGGTGTTCTTACTCTCTCTCAACCCCTTTCATTCCTTCAGAATTTTGTGCTTATTCTCTGCTCTCCGCTTGCTGCTCTACTCTCGTTCCTCTACAGGGTTTTCTCGCAAGCTCGTTCAGCAACACTGCAAGCTTTGCGGGATCTCTGGTCGCTCGCCTTTACTGTTAATCTGAGCCCTCTAGCTGTTGCTGCTCAGCCTGCTACTGGTGCTGGTGGCACTCCCTTCAGTTAGTGCTCCGTGCCTCGGAAAATCTGTGCATCACTATGAGAAATTCTAGTTTCAACAATGCTATGATTTACGTTATTCACCCCTTCTGTCCTTTTCAGTGATCCTTGTCATTGTGTTTGTGCCTAGTATGTGAGTGTACTAGATTTTTTGGCGTGTGTTACAATCGAAGCACCCGATCCTCGAGTTCTCCGCGCCAACCAATCTGCCCTCGCCAGCTCCCGACCTTGTCGGACAGGAAGCGCCGCTCTGCTTCTCCAGCGTGGCAAAGTTTCCGCTTCCCGCTGGTGCTCTTTCCGCCGCCCCTTTCAACGTTTCCTTCCCCAAAGCTACACCACAACCAGCTCCGGACCGGATTTTGTTGGGAAAACATCAACTGGAGTTCGCATGCGGTTCATGTATCAATCTTCAGGGGGTAAATACCGAGCGGTTCGAAGCGGTAAGGTAAACACCGCATTATTTGCACAGAAACGTACTCAATCTTCCTGGAGCACGCTTTATTTTTCCACCCAGCTTCCAACTTACCCCCGCTTCCCCCCGCTTCCCCCCCTCCCGCTTCCCCCCGCTTCCCCCCCTCCCGCTTCCCCGCCTTCTCTTGCCCTGACCTCCCTTTTCCCCGCTACCCCAGAGCTTCCATATTTCTGTGCTTTTTTCCAGTTGCTCGCTGCCGCAGTTCGCGCGGATCCAACGCGCCATTTCGTTTATACTATATTTTAGATCGTGCCGTTTCGCACGGCCGGTTCTGAAGGGAAACGGCGGAAGGTGGCGAGCAAGCAGCTGATGAAACTTCGCGAAACAGAATCTGCGCAGTAGAGGTGGCACCTCTTGCCGAATTCGGCGGAGCAACGGAATCTGCTCGTCACAATTGGCAATCCGACGTGCCTGCTTGGATTCTAACCCGAATCCTGACTGCGCATATCCTAGAATTCCTTAGCCGTGATTCATTTCGCTACTGGATCTAACTTTCGCGAAATTATCTGAGAGTTTCTTTCGTGTTTTATTTCCCTTGCAGCCATGTCGACTTATTCCGTTCTCCCCTACTGCCTCCCCCCTGTAGCCCCTTGTGCCTCCACCCTCCCGCCTCCCGCGCCCTTACACACATCTCCTCATCAACCTCATCCGCGGCCTTTCCCTGTTCATTCGATCTCCTCGAACCACCCGAGTCGCCCGAGCCGCGCCTGCCAACTGAGTCAATCCAGTCAACGGAGCTCATTAAGTCAACGAGTGAGCGGAATCATTGCCAGTTCTCGTCCGTTCCACCTCCGATACAATCCGTCCCGTTTAAGCACCCGAACCCCCCGTTATAGGCACGCCTCATGTCTTGCCGTGGGTGGAAGCCAAGCCTGCCCCCTTTCCGCCTTTCGCGCGCGGAAGGGCGGGAGAGTTGTAAGGACTCGGGCAGTTGATAAAAACGTCAAGGGGGAAGGGTTGGAGGAGGAGGGACAAGTGGGGAATGAGGATGGGAGGGATGTGGAACAAGAGGAGGGCGGGAAGGAGGTGAAGGAGCGGGGAAGAATATTGGCCGAGATTGCGGGGAGGATAAGTGTTCTTGGGAAGGCTGAATCTGCGGCGTTTTTAAACTCGTTTCTTGAAACAGGAAATGAGACCGCGGGGAAGGAGGCGACAGCGAAAGGGGCGGAAATCGCAGCGCGAGGTAGGGGGTCGGATGTGACTGCAACGGGGGGAGAGAAGGACGGCCAGAGCGCACAGGGCGCGCAGGGCGGGCAGGATGTGATTATAGGGGGGCAGTTGGTGCGGGTAACGCAAGAAGATATCGATATAGCGGAGATGATCGAAGCTCTCGAGTCGGCTTTTGAGGAGCTGGAGGAAGAAATGGGTGGTGAGGGGAGTGAAGATGCGGGAAAGGGGAAGGGGAAGGGGAAGGGGAAGGGGGAGGGGGAGCGGGTGCGGAAGGCGGAGGGGACGGGGAAGCAGGACGGGAAGGGGGAGGTGGAGGGGGAGGGGGAGGGCGTGGGGAAAACGGAAGGTTCAAAGAAGGAGGGGAAAGAAGGGAAGGGGAAGCGGGGGGAAGGGAGGGTGGAGGGGGATGAAGATTCAGACACCGAGGCAATGGAGTATGATAAGGACATGGATTTAGATCTAGACCTAGACTTAGACCTAGGGGAGCTCTGCCGAACCGCGATTGTTCGGTGGCTAGTCTCCTGGAACCTGAGTGCCACGTGGCAGTTCGACGTGCAGACGCTCGCAGCGCTCCTGGACGAGCTTTCCACGAGCCAGATGCTCGTGATGACGCAGGACAAGGCGAATGACGCCATGGCCGCCGCGGTTCGCGTTGGCAGGGATTTCTTCCGCGCGAATCTGGAGAAGCAGTACGTGTGGTATGACGCGGATGGGAAGGTGGTCACGGATTGGACGGACGAGCGCGTGAGCGTGTACGTGGCAGGGACCCTCAGCCTGTTTCTAGACATTTCCTTGGAAGGGAACTCTGATACCGCGTTTCCCCCAGCTGCGTTGAACTGGCTTGACGAGAGGAATCTTCGATCGGAAGTTTTTGGGCCTGGGGCAGCGGTGGATATTATTACGTGCGTGCCCGGGCCGTACGGCGGGAAAGTTTTTGCGTTTGAGCTGCCCGAGGGGAGGGAGGCCGGGGAGGTTTACGCGGCGCTGAATTCGCGTCTGAGAAGTAGCTTTCCGAATCTCGAAGTGTCGTTAGATTCTATGCAATACGCCATGGATGTTGGGGATGATATGTTCAAGGGCGGAGGAGGAGGAATGGGGGGAGGAGAGGACGACAGGGACGGCGGGTGGGGCGGGGGAGGGGGAGGAGGAGACGGAGGCGGGGGAGGAGGGAACTGGAACGAGTGGGGACAGTTTCAGACAGGCAACACGCCGACTCTCTATACCACGTGCGCAGCTTTCGTCGTGAGAAGAGACGTGTTCTTGCAACCAGGCCTGCCCTTCCCTATCACCGCCGGCGCCGCAGCCTTCACTCTCGCCTCCCTCAAATCCCTCGTGCTTCCCGATCTCGCCCTCACTTCCACGTCAGATCTCGCGTGGGCTCTTCTAGGGTTGTATGCAGGCGTAGCTGCTACCACTGGTGCCGCCATGGCAGGACAGTACCTCTGGGCGTGGTCGTATCGAACGGATGCAACCAAGCCCCCCTCGCCGCTCTACTTTCTCCCGCTATTCGCTCCGGATATCGGCCTAGTCACGCTTATCACGCAAGTTGTAGCGCCAGTCCCCTCAAGAGTCGCGCTACTAGACCTTACTCTCCTCTCCTCCTTTGCTGCTATCTTCTCCTCTTTCGCTCTCCTGCAAGCCTCCGCCGCGTTCCCCTTCCCCCCAGCCCCGTTCTCCTTCCCTTCTGACCTCGCTTCTCTAGGATTCGAACCGGCAGTGTCAGAACTGGCGGCGGCAGCAGCAGCAGCAACGGCAGTAGGGGGTTCCGTGTCTGGAGTTATCCCAGTCAATCCGGGCCTGTTGCAGCATTCTGCGTTGCTGCATGAGCTGCTCATACGTCTCTCCACAACTGTGATAAGAACTCCTGACCCTGCTCAAGCCCAGGCAGCCGCCGAAGCAGCAGCGGCGGCGGCGGCGGCGGCAGCGGCGGCGGCGGCAGCAGCAGCGGCAGAAGCAGCAGCAGCAGCGGCAGCAGCGGCAGCGGCAGCAGCGGCAGCAGAGGCAGGGACAGCAGCAGCAGATGCAGGGTTAGCGGCAGCAGCAGATGCGATAGCAGCACTTGCTGCAAGATCAGGACTCACGAATTTCACCAGCGAAATCGCCTCTTCCTTTGCCTCCAGTGTTCTTGGCAGCACCAGCAGCACCACCAGCAGCACCACCAGCAGTATCATCAACAGTAGCAGCGCCGCCGCCGATACCGCCAGCAGCAGCAGCGACATCTTATCCTCTCTCTCCACAGCTGCTGCTGATCTCACCAACACCATCGCCACCACTGCCACCACCGCTATCGCTGCCAGCACCAGCAGCAGCAGCAGCATTGAAACCCTAGTTATCCATCCACTCGCTCTGGCCGGCCTTCTAGGCCTTCACGTGTCCGCCGTTTCCCTCCTCCCGGCTGTCGGCCTCCCAGGAGGCGACATTCTCTATTCTCTCGTCCGAGACCCGCTCGCTCTCTCCCTCGCAACCACCTTGGTTACGATCCTGCTTCTCGTCTCCATCCCTCTGAATTTCTCCTGGACCTGGGTGCTGCTGTTCCTCTTCCTGCCTCTCCTCGCTCTTGCGAAGATCAGAAGGCCGGTCTCAGAGGCGCTTACGGCTCCGGATCCTGTGAGGGTGTGTCTGGGTGTGGGATTGTTGGCGGCAGGGGTGGTGGTGCTGCTGCCTGCTCCGCTGTTTGAGCTTGTGTTTGGCGAGCCTGCTGGCCCTGTGGCCGAGCAGATTCTGATTTCCTTGGGATTGGGCTGAGATGAAGCGGGAATTTTGCGGTGCTATCTGATGGTTCTCCAGCTGTGCTGTGACGTGATATGGGAGTGCAGCTGTGCTTTGTTGTGCAACACATTTTTCTTGTTTAGACGGTCAGGTTGAGTGGAGTGGGGTCGGGTGGTTTTAGGATTGAGATTTTGACAAGGATGTGAGTTTCCATATGAGATCGAGCAGAGTACCGTAACATGCGCTATGCAATTTTGTTATCCTCTTGCATAAGATTGTTGCAGCTTTCACTGCCCAAGTTACCTGCTTGGGCAGTCAACTTCAGCTAGCATTTCTGGTTCACGTAGGCACAACTGTAGGTGAGGAAACTCACCTTTTTTTTGTGAGAAGGCACAAGTAGTAGGTGTTCAAGGAAGTAGGCAGGCACACTTGGTGGTGCTGTAGTGCATTTGGAACCAGGATATACAAGCGTCATTGCAATTGTCCAATTCCGTCAACCAGGCAAGTTGTACTCACACCCTTGTTTCTTTTTGAGCCAGACACTATCATGTACATTCAAGCGGAGAAACACTGATGGTAGTAATGTATCAGCACTACAAAACTAGAGACACGCCGTCCATAAATCCACCACATGATGCACGCAGCACAAAACTTTCTATATATAAGCCATGGACCCTTTTACTTCTTGAGCACCAGAGGTCCCACGTTGTCTCCAGTCGCCTTGTTGTGCTTCATATGTGAGCCATCGCACAGGGGGAAGGTCCCCGAGCGCCAGCACCTGAAAGAATGTGATGCAGTCAAGAGTTGGAATACGAAAGAAGGAAAGCGAGGAGATTGCTAATAGGCAGCGGGGGTGGAGGGCAGGATGGGGTAGGGGGAGTGATAGAGACAGGAAGAATCGACGGGAATTGTGTTCAAATCAATCCCATCACACGCAGCCGTGTGCGAGAAGGAAAAAAGGGGAGGCCTGTAGCAGTTTACACTCGGAAAGGCAGGATAGGCTCAGGCAAACAGGAGCATTTTCTACGGCCAGCAATAGTAACAGAAGCAGCTGATCCAGTCCAGCACGTTTAAGGCTGACACGTGCCTGCAGTAACTGGTGATAGGCTTCCCGAGCTCCCCCACGAGGACTCAGATCCCGTTGAGTCAGCACGACTAGGCAAATCAGCATAGAGCACATCAGCATGTTAGAGGTTGACACGTGCCTGCAGTAAGCGGTGACGGCCTTCTGGAGGTCCCCACGACGTTAGAGTTGCCTCTATAAATTATCAAAAGCACAACAGCAAGTTCAGGGTTGAAATAAACACTTGCCTGCAGTAAGCGGTGACGGGCTTCTGGAGGTCCCCACGACGTTAGAGTTGCCTCTATAAATTATCAAAAGCACAACAGCAAGTTCAGGGTTGAAATAAACACTTGCCTGCAGTAAGCGGTGACGGGCTTCTGGAGGTCCCCCACGACGATGGTGTCAGCGACCTTCTCCACGTCCTTCTGAATGGCGGGGTTGATCACCACTTCCACCTCGCCCTTGGCCGCCTGGCGGAGTGAGGGAGAGAGACAGGAACGGGAGGATTCGGAGAGATGACGGTGGGAAGGTGTGTTCTTTAGTCGACTCGAAATACGACGACGGTGTCAGCAACCTTCTGAATGGCGGGGTTGATCACCACTTCCACCTCGCCCTTGGCCGCCTGGCGGAGCAACGGAGAGAAAAAAGGGGAGGAGTCGGAGAGAAGACGGTGGGAAGGTGTGTTGATAACAAGTGGACTCGACAGAGGACGACGGCGTCGACACTTTCTCCGCGTCCTTTTGAACGTCGGAGTTGACCACCATTGCCACCTCGCCCTTGGCGGCCTCATGGGGAGAGGGACGAGGTAGTGGAAGCGGAGGGAGGGCGGTTGGAAGGTGTAATTTAAGTTGGGAAGGTAACCGACATGTGTTCTCGGTACATATTTCTACGCACAATAGGAAGCTATCCAATGTTGGAAAAACTGAAGCATCCAACGGTAATTCCTTATCACCTGACTAGCATTATTGACAGATTGATACCGCCATTCGTCGTGCGGGTGTGGAAAATGTACACAAAAGCCAGCTCATCATGACCATGCACCTAATCCGGGTATCACCCACCTCAGCACGGACGGACACACGGCGACTGGTCTTCACTCCGAAGCCAACAGCAGCAGCGGGAGCCGCGAGGAGAGGAGCAGCGACAAAGGCAGCCATGGCTGAGGTTGATGTAGAAGGTACGTGGAGAGGGCGTGTAGGGCGGAAGGAGAAGTGTGGAACTGAACTTCTGGAAGTGGATAATAGCGTTGTTGATTTGAATTAGCAGAATGACATGGCAGCTGATTTATACAATGCTCGTTGTCTCCTCGTGGTCACCCCGCTGACCTGATTCCCCCTGCCCCTGCTCCCCCCTGCGGACGTGGCCCTTGAAAGTACCCCACGAGATCTGTTCAGGGTAGAAATTGCGGAGCCTCAACAGGTTTGAGAGATTTCACTACGGTAACGCACGTTTTCAAGGTTTAAAGTAGAAATTGCTTCCGCCAAGGCTGGCATTGGGGGACAAAGGCGGCGGAAGGGGAGGGGAAAGTTGGAAATGTGTGAGTGAGGCCGATGTGACGCCAGCGGATAGGATGATGCTGCTGATGCATGCATGCGCGCACTTTCCGGCTGACATCACCTCGAATGCGGTGGAAGGAACTTCGAAATTCAGAATTGGGTTTCCAGAACAATCGCGCTGTCCTCGTTCCAGACAGCCTCTGTATTTGGCTTAGATTTCTTGTGGGGTCGCAATACCATTTAGAACTGTAGAATGTGGATATGTATGCATGATGCCCAATCCAGAACACTTTCGAAATCCACTAGTTCTTCTCACTTGCTTCCTCACGCTGGTCCGAGGCTGATCCTTGGCCAATTGGGTCGGATCGGATAGCACGACAGTCAACTTTTGACGGCGATGGCTATGGCGCCGTCGCCCTGTCCTCGCCATGTCTCTCTTGAGCTGACTCATAAGGCGCTTCCGGCATCAGCTGCTCGTTTAGCCCGTTCAGCTTCTATAGCGCGTACAGCTCGTTTAGATCATGCAACTTCGCGTCCGAGCACGTTCACGGGATGGACAACAAGAGCGCCAGTGCGCACCGCACCCGCCTTGCGCGTTACACGGAGCAGAAGCAGCGGTGGAGGGCGGATACAACGGGGACTGAACGACAAGCGGTTAGTCGCCGCGCGCTCGACGCGATTGGCCAGGGATGCGCGCGCCGATCGCGGCAGCGCCGAGCTGCCGTCGGACTTGGCTGATCTAGGAGGTGCGTCGCGGGAGGCGCGTCGCGGGAGGTCCCCAGGCTCGAGTGTGCTTTGTTTGCAACAATTGCCGCGGACCCGTTTCGCCTGGTTACTCGTTGTTTCGTACCATCCACTTCACTCGTTCTCCAAAACTCACTCCAAAATACTGTCCATACTCCCCCCTCCACCCCTCCCCCCCCCCCGCATCCTCCTCTCTCTCCCCGCCCTTCACGCCTCCGTAACCTCCCTGCCCTTCTCTGCCTACTCCCGGCTCAATCTATCCCCGCTATAGAGCGGCCGTGTGTGCTTATAGACCTCTCGGATCGCCTGACGCCATACCGCACGGCGTGGGAGTGGCAGCGACAGGTGGTGGCTCTGAGGCACAGAGCTCTCACTGACAGGATGCAACAGGAAGAGCAGCTGGAGCAGCGAGAGCAGCAGACACGGCAGCAACAACAACAGAGAGAGGAGCAAGTGCATCACCCCTCCTCCTCCTCCTCCTCCTCCTTCTCCTCCTCCTCCTCCTCCTCCTCCTCCTCCTCCTCCTCCTCCTCCTCCTCCTCCTCCTCCTCCTCCTCCTCCTCCTCCTCCTCCTCCTCCGCCTCCTCCTCCTCCTCCGCCTCCTCCTCCTCCTTCCCCCTCCCCCCGGACATCCTCCTTCTAGTGCAACATCCCCCGGTCTACACCCTCGGCACCCGCAGCGATCGCACCAACCTCAGGTTCGATCCAACGGCTGATGCGCTGCCAGGTGGCGCGGATCTGTTCGTCACGGAGAGAGGCGGGGAGGTTACATACCACGGGCCGGGTCAGGTGAGCACTGGTGTAGGGGTGGGGTGGGGGCCTACGTGCCTATGGGGCCTACGTGCCTATGTGCCTATGGGGCCTACCTGCCCCATAACAGCTGTATTTTGAGTCGACTCAGAATACACCTTTTCGTCACGGAGAGGGGCGGGGAGGTTACATACCACGGGCCGGTTCAGGTGAGCGCTGGTGCAGGGGTGGGGATGGGGGAAGTTGGGGGAAGGGGGGGGGAGGTGGGTGTTTAGGCGCCTGAATGATCATATGCTTCATGGCAAATGGTGGTCCACCCGCCTCGTTCTGGGGTGGGGAGGTCACGTACCATGGGTTGGTTCAGGTCAGGTGAGCGCTGGTGCGGGGGTGGATGATACATGATATGATAGTACCTGCCCCATAAAAGCTTGCGACCTATCCCACCTTTTTCCCGCGCGCGCCATAACAGCTCGTGATCTGCCCCATTGTCAACCTGCTAATCTGCGCTCCACCCTGTTCCCCACGCCCCATGCTGATCTACCCCATTGTGAACCTTTCTCCTCATTGACCCCCCAGCTCGTGATCTACCCCATAGTGGACCTGCGGCAGCACCACTGCGACCTGCACTGGTACCTGCGGTCTCTGGAGGAAGTGATTATAAGGGGGTTGGAGGAAGGATTTGGCATTCGTGCGGGGAGGGAATCGGGCATGACTGGCGTGTGGGCAGGTGGGTGTATAGAGGATTGTGTGTGTATGGGCGCATGTTTGCTTATGTGTGTGTGTGCGTGCGTGTGTGTGTGGGTGTGTAAGTGTATGTGTTGGTGTGCATGTATGTGTACGCATGTGAGGATGTGTGCATATACCGGTAAGTGTATGTGCTGGATGCATGTGCACGTGCGCTTGACTCGCTCTTTCCCACACCTCTTCCTCTCTTCCCTCCCCAGCCGGTTCCAAGCTAGCAGTCATGTGCGTGAGATTCTTCTGTTGGATCACCTTCCATGGAGCATCGCTGAATGTGACCACAGACCTCTCGGCCTTCGCCCACTTTTCTCACACTCTCTTCCTCCTCCCCTGCCTCTTCCCCCACTTCCCTCCCCAGCCGGTTCCAAGCTAGCAGCCATGGGTGTCAGAGTCTCTCGTTGGATCACCTTCCATGGAGCAGCGCTCAATGTGACAACAGACCTCTCTGCCTTTGCCCACATTATCCCATGTGGCCTCACTCTCCCGGTGGGCTCTGTAGCCTCTCACCTCCACCATCACTCACATGCTGCTCATGCCACTGCTGCTGCTGCTGCCGCTGCTGTTGCTGCTGCTGGTGGTTATGCTGCGGATGCTGCTGTGGACCGTGCTGTTGTCGATGGTGCTGCAGTAGAGGGTGCTGCTGTGGCTAGCATTGATACATGGCAAGCAGAGATGGGAGATGGACCTGACTCAAGGCAGGAGTGGGAGGAAAGCATGATGACGCATGCAGCACAGCATGTAGCATCCGCCTTTGCTGAAGTCTTCAACGTCGACATGATTCTTCTGCATCAGTGCCTTGCCACTACTGCCAAGATTCAGGGTTTCAGCTCTGGGAGTTCAACCCTCACTTCTCCTGCTCCTCCTCCTGCTGTTGCACCTGCAATTACTGTGGAGGGTGGTGTTTCTGCTGCTGCCGGTGCCCCTGATGCTGCTGTAGCAGCATGGTTAGCTAGCCAGCTGTGGCTGCCTGAAGGCTTGTGTAGAGCAGCTTTAGTTGAGACTCCCATTCTTGAGCACGAGTTGCATCAGGCTAGTGCAGGTATTAGCCATTGATTTATGCTGTAGGAGATGCATATTGATTAATGCAAAGCTCTCAAATTAATTAACTGCAACAGACCAACTTGTACCAAAGAATGCTCCATTCCCATCCAGGTGCTGCTGACTTGATGAAGGGCTGAGGTTTTGTTTCATTGCTGTGACAGGAGAATATTCATGAGCATATGAGCTGCAAGAAGAAGCTCTCTCAGGCCGCAAGTCGTAAATAATGCTTCCCTGTGGTGATAACGTAAGTCCAAGTGGATGTAAAATTGAGGGAGGGTTTCGACAATCTAACTCAGCCTGAGAGCTTGAATGGTAAAAATCTGTTCATTCTACACAACCAGTTACAAGAGTGGCAGTTTCTGCATCTGCTAGTCATCTGGCAAACGCTTGTGCATTTAGCAGCAACAGCTGTCGTAGAAAAAAACCCTGGATTCCAGGTGCATTCTCTGTATAACTGCTAGTCACTTATACACTCAAAAAAACAAACCCTAACGCACAACTACCGGTACGCCCGTTTAGAAACAGCTTCGCTTACTCCGACGAGCCGCTGCCGATGAGGCGCTGTCCGGGCTTCACTCGCTGCGTGCCGGTGCCGCCGATGATGCGGGAGGGGGAGAGCACCTCAGCGAAGGAAAGGCCGGAAGTCTCAGTGGCGAGCTTGCTCTGCACCCAGCCCCTGCCGCCGTCAACACCGTCCTTCACAATCCATGTGCTCTTGTAGCCCAAAGCGACCAGGGACTGAGCGACCAGCTTGGCGATGTCGCCGTTCCTAAAGGCAAAGGAAAATACAGGGAGAAATAATTTGATAAACGTGGTAAAACGACGAGAAAGCTGAAGGATTGTGGTTGTGAGCTGAATGGCGAGAGGTGCAAAGGTGCCAAGGTACAGTGACATGGCATGAACAGTTGCTCCCGCTGAATTTGGTTTATTCTTGAGTGAGGGTGGACTTACGAGTCGATCAGGATGACGCGGGAGCCCTTGTTGAGGCGCTTCAGGGCAGCAATCTTGATCGCCGTGATGTCGGCCTCGACCTTGCGCGAGTTGCGGATCTGGCCGCGGAGCTTGCTGTCGACATCCTCAACACTGCAGTCAGCAAGACGACAAGGGAAGAGAATTGGTTCAATACATTCTCAAGGGCTGTACTCATTGAGCATATCTCGACTCACTGAACTCGGTGATCAGGAACGGAAGGAGAGGCGAAACATCAAAATCGATGAACCGGAAGGAACGGGAAGACAATGTCTAAAATCGGAGCCGGACTTACGGGACAGTCACAAGCTTGGACTTGGCGTTGCGGGGCAGGGAAGGGGTTCCGGAGCGAGCCTTCTGAGCCTCAGACCGGATGTCGACCAGAGTGTAGTCCTCCTTGGACAGCAGGTCAAGAGCCTGAGCAGCGGTGTACTCTCCGGCGTAACCGCGAGCGGCATAGGCGATGGAACCGCCGAGAGCAGGGGCCAGGAGGTAGAGGAGCACGAGGCCACCGGCAGCGACGGCGAGAACTGCTGGGTCCTGAGCGATCACGGTCTCGAAGGTGGCCTGAGCGTAGGGGGACGCGAGATCGATGGTCTTCTCGGTGACGTCACCAGCAACGTTGACAGCAGTCTGCAAGCATTAAGGGGGAAATCGGTACAATGTTGGAATATCACTTGGACATCAAGGATGGTTTTGCAATGATGCTTAAACATTGAACCAGCAATCTGAAGTAGGTAATCCAGTACATGACCGTGGCTTCTTCATGTGAAGGGTCGGATGAATTAGGCTGCTGGATTTTAAGCAATAAATGGTGACAACAATTACCTTGGCTGCTGAAATAATAGGGTCGATTTCAACGCCGGACTCCGAGAGAGCCTTGGTCGCCTGACCAGAAAGCTCAGACGCCACTGGAGTAGCAGCGTCGACGGCCTTCTTCGTCACGTCAATGACGACGGGAGTGGCCTTCTCCACGAAAGGCGAAGCGGCATCCACCACTTGGCCAGTCACGTTCTTAACGACGTCGAAGGCCTGAACGGCGGCGTCAGCAGCTTGTCGGGAGAAAGTCTCCACCTGGCAATAGATAGCAAAAGGGCGTTGGACAGAAACCATCATTTCCATCGATTGATGCGCAGTCGCTCGCGACATGATATCGTATTCATTTGGAAAAAACTGCAACTTGCGTCAGCAAAGGCCTCATACCGGCGTTCCAATCCGAGATACAAGACGCAGATAACTAGCTCACAAGACGTGTGATAACAGAACGGAATGACGTTTAACTAATGCGACAGATTTGATGGCGATATGCTTACCTGATCAAGAGCGCTCACGATCTGCTCAGCCTCCACGGCACGAGCTGCGCCAGCATAGAACACGGAAGCACCAGCAACCACAGCAGCAGCTGCGGCACGGTTCTCGTGCTGTGAACGCACGGCAATGCGCCTGGCGTTCACATACTTGGCAGGGGATGCTGCCTTGAAGGAAGCAGGGACCTTGCCGGTGAATGCCGACTTGGTCTCCAAAGCAGCGAGGCTCGAGCTAGAGAGGACTGCAGAGGCCATGGTGTATGCGGTCGACAAGCTCTGAGCTCAAGGATCTCAAAAACTGCTGAGGAACGGTACAAGTGAACTCTCGAGGAAATCACAAGGAAATCAGGGACTTATTTCTTCCGATTGAAATGAAATGCTGATTTTATTGATGTTTGCATGCTAGGACTAGTGGTGGTCGAGACGAGGGAAGGAGAGAGGCTCCGCCCCGCATCAACCCAAATCCAGCGGCCGGTTGCAGATGTGAGAGAATTGGAGGATGGGAACAGAAGTTTGCCCTATCCCAGCCCGGAGATCGCGGTCAGATTCAAATGCAGTGCATCCGAAGGTTCGGACTCCTTTCCACCTCTAGTTATCGTGTCGCGCGCCCCCGGGCAGATACGGAACACTTTTTTGGAGCATGGGAGATGTGGGTCGTGGTCTCCCGCGAATTGCTTTCTTGCTGGCAGTCATCTCTGACGGCCCGCTTGATGCCTCCCCTCCCACAAAAGTGGAAACGCGGATCTCTGGGAATTCGTGTGTACATTTTGACGAAATTCTCGGGGGAGGGAACCTGACGGAAAAGTGGGTCTCGCAGGTTTCGCCACGTGGAGAAAAAGATCCTCCGAACCAGAAGGATTCTGGTCTGGGATGTCCCCCTTGGTGGGCAAGGGAGCCAGTGGCAGTTTGCCTTGCCACGAGGAGCTGCTTGGGTGGCTTGAGAAGGGAATGAATTGGGCCAAGAGAGCCACCAACCGCCCACATATTCGGGACAGCTTCTCAAAGCTTTCAGAGCAGGAACAACCTGCTGGGTGCCGAACCGATTAGGTTCGGCAAATGTAACTCAACATCTTTTACTCATCATGTCTAAGCCTTCTATGTAGCTGAACTAAAGCAATATAGGAATGTGTATGACATGGCTAAGGATGCAACCTCAAGATTTCCAGCCTTTTTCAACTGTGAATTCACTACTTGAATAAAATAATAATGTTAACAGCTTGCGTATTGCACCTTAGGGATTTCCTTGAGTTATGTGGTTGTGCAAGATCAAATATTCTCATATGCTTTTGGACATCTGCTTTTTTTTGGGACGTAATACACTATATCTGCTTGTATTTGCTCTCTCCCTTATTTGATGCTTTTGATTCCTTAGTAAACTCAAATGCATCCCCCCCACAGGTGAGCTTGCTTTTCAGCGAATCCCTTCCTCCCGCCCTCAACCTTGGTTCCTTGAACTTGGCCAACCTTGAACTTGCCGCTCTCTTCCCCAACTTTTACTTCCGTCAACACCTCGTCAGTCTCTGGTTTTCTTTCCCGTTCCGCTGTTTCCGTGCCGTGAGCTTAGCTCCTCGGTTTCCACCCTGCATTCTTGTCGCTGCTGATCGGCTCAATCGCGACAATGTCTCCGAACACACCGCAAGAAGCGGAAGTAGCGGCGCCTGCGGGTGATAAAGCCGTCAAGAGCATCCTTATCTACATGGGTATGCAGGGCAGTTATTTCCTTGCTCTTCCCTCTTTCACGAGATCTTGTACGAGCCTATGTGTCGATCGCTCCGAGTCTCTTTTACCGTCCAAGTCGTTTGTGTGCCAGAGGTCTTCAGCTCTTCTCACGACGAAGCGCGAGGGAGTCAGTATTGCTGTTCGCTCGTCGACTCGTCGCGCTTCTTACGGATTCTTTGCATAACTCCAGTCCTTTAGTAATGCGCGTAAGGTTAACTGACCCCCTCCCATTCTGTTTAGGAGCTTTGTCTTCCCGTATCGACGTCGTTAAAGCTTCCAAGATTCTCTCCCCATCCGCTCTTCCACCCCCCCGTGCACTTTTCTGTCATCTCCCGCGCGTGCGAGCAGCAATGGCAGCCGAAGCGGCGCCGCTGGTGAATAGCCTTGATCTGCAGCTTAAGGAGCACAACTCGTGAGTGTACGACCCCTTGTGTGATTTGATTGATAGTCAGATGAGAGCGCGTGACCTGGGTACAGGAAGAGCGGAAGATAACTGGGTTTTGCTGAGAGGAGAAATGAGACGGGCAGGCTTAGAAATGAATGGGATGCGTGAAAGAGAAAGCGGTGACGAGGACTTCTCGGGCTTCATTGAACAATGTGGCTTTGGGAACGATCTTTGCTAGACGATCTGGTTTGACTCGTTTCATCCTCCGCATATGCACCTGCCCCTTCCACCACCATCCTATCTCAGGGTTTCTCGTTCTATACCTTCCACCGTTTTCAAACCTTCACCACTTCCCCATTCCCCACTCCCCCTCCTCGTCCCTCTCCCCCCCACACCACCCTTCCCGCCAACCCACGATCCTCCCGTCTTTTCCTCCCCCTTCGCACCATTCCCTCTCCCCGTTCGCCCCCCCCCCCCCCACCCTCTCTACCCTGCCTCTTCTCCGCGCGTGTCAGCTTCCCCGCAGGGTCCCCCTGGCAGCTGCACTCAGGGTCGCATGGGGGGGTGAGCATCCACCTCGTCACGCCGGGCAAGGACAGAGCTCTAGGTGCGTTCTGCCGTGCTGTGCTGTGTTGCTGCTGAGTCAGGATTTTCTTCTTTCTTAGGCTCAGTAAGGGTCAGGTTCAGGGTCGCATGGGGGGGTGAGCATCCACCTCGTCACGCCGGGCAAGGACAGGGCTCTAGATGCGTTGTGCCATGTTGTGCTGCAGCCGAGTCAGGGCTTTCTTCTTTCTTAGGCTCAGTATGGATCTGGATCAGGGTCGCATGGGGGGGGTGAGCATCCACCTTGTCACGTCGGGCAAGGACAGGGCTCTAGGTGCGTTGTGCCGTGCTGTTGTTGAGTCTGGATGACTTTTCGTTAGTAGGCTCCGTAAAGATATGTTTGGTGGCGTGTGGGGGACGGAGTGAGCATCTGCCTTTTCACGTCGGGCAAGGACAGGGCTCTAGGTGCGTTGTGCCGTGCTGTTGTTGAGTCTGGATGACTTTTCGTTAGTAGGCTCCGTAAAGATATATTTGGTGGCGTGTGGGGGACGGAGTGAGCATCTGCCTTGTCACGTCGGGCAAGGACAGGGCTCTAGGTGCGTTGTGCCGTGCTGTTGTTGAGTCTGGATGACTTTTCGTTAGTAGGCTCCGTAAAGATATATTTGGTGGCGTGTGGGGGACGGAGTGAGCATCTGCCTTGTCACGTCGGGCAAGGACAGGGCTCTAGGTGCGTTGTGCCGTGCTGTTGTTGAGTCTGGATGACTTTTCGTTAGTAGGCTCCGTAAAGATATATTTGGTGGCGTGTGGGGGACGGAGTGAGCATCTGCCTTGTCACGTCGGGCAAGGGCTCTAGGTGCGTTGTGCCGTGCTGTTGTTGAGTCTGGATTATGTCCATACGTGGCGGCAAGATGACCCTATGGGACATTGCAAGGGGCGAATGAGGAGAGGGACAAGGTTTGAGGGGGTTGGGGTTTCGGGAAACCTTGGGTGTGATTGTGGTCAGACAAGTTGGAGGCAAAACAGGGAAAACGCATGCTCGTCTCCTACTGTCCAAGGGGCAACGGAGGAGAGGAGGTGCTTAACTTATTCTACCCCTCACACTCTCGCCCACCCTCTTTCCCCACATAACCTCTCTTTCAAACCACCCTCGCCCTCCCTCGCGCCTCTCTCGCTGTCACGTGTGCAGGAATGGGCACGGTGCCAGCAGCTGTGGCAGTGTACGCAGCAGCAGCAGCCTCCCTGCGTTCAGATCTCATCTTGCTCTTGCTCCCTCTCCCTACTTGCACTCTCTCACCCCTCTCTCACCCCTCTCTCGCTGTCACGCGTGCAGGAGTGGACAACGTGGGAACGGTGCCAGCAGCCGTGGCAGTGTACGCAGCAGCAGCCTCCCTGCACCCAGACCTCATTATCAACGCCGGCACTGCTGGCGGCTTCAAGGTGAGCACTCAGCGTGAGCGTTCAATGTGAGCATTTGAGGTGAGTGTTCGAAGTGAGTGTTCGAAGTGAGTGTTCGAGGTGAGTTTTCGAGGTGAGTGTTTGAGGTCAGTTTCTTGGCAGCTGGAGGTCTGCAGTAACAGTGGAACATATCCCTCATCTCCTCACGTTCCCATGGCCCCTCCCGTTGCTGTGCCACTCCATCCCATCTACCCTATTCTGCATTCTAAATCCCTTCTCACCCTCCGCCGCTCGCTGCCTCCATCCGTCCCGACCATCCATATCTCTACACCAGCCCAACAGGGAAAAGCCGACGGCAATATGCATGCACCCACCTTTGCCCTCTTTCACCCTCCTACCTTGTCGTTAACCCTCTTTACCCTCCTGCCTCCTTATCACTCTCTCCCCCTTCCCTCTCAATAATAGTTCCAGTGACTATGTCCTCACTCGCCTTTTGTCGCTGCACCACCCTCCTGCCTGTGTCTCACTCTCCTCTCTCCTCCGCGTTCCTCCCTCCCTCTCTGCCCTCCATGCCTGTCAGGCCAAGGGAGCAGCCATCGGTGATGTGTACTTGGCCTCGCACTTTGCCAACCATGATCGCCGCATCCCCCTCCCAGTGAGCATCCCCTCCATCATAGGGAGCATGTTCTCATTGCAGAGTTGACTAGTAACAACTGTTTGCAACATTTGTCAGTCTTTGTATATCCCTTCATTGCCTCCCTTCTGAAGACTTTCACAAAGAGCGCTTCTCACCAAACCCCTCCATTTCTCTCCCACTCTTCCCTTCTCTCCTCTCCCCTTCTCCCATTCTCCCCTCTCCCATTCTGTCACTCTCGCACTCTTCCCCAAACCTCCCTCTCCCTTTTTACCCATGTGCGCCTCTCTCCCCTTGTCCCTTCTGCTCTCGTCCCACTCTCCCCACCCCGCTGCTCTCGTCCAACCCCTCCCGTTCTCTCCACCCCTCAGGGCTTTGACGAGTACGCCATCGGCCTTATTGAGTCCTCACATGCCTCGCGCGTTGCCTTTGAGGCAACCCATAAGTATATTTCCATTTCATCACTCTTCGCCTCTTCCACTCCCATACGCGCTGCCCTGCAGGGCTTTGACGAGTATGGCATCGGCCTGATTGAGTCCCCACATGCCTCTCGCGTTGCCTCCGCCCTTGGCTTCAAGGTCCGTGGACCTGTGCTGCTATGGACTTGTCTATGAGTGTCTGTGCTGCTAGACCTGCGTTCATTTGCCTTGCTTTGCCTTGCTTTGCTTTTCTTTGCGTGTTTTCAGAACTGCCACACACCTGCCTGTTTCTGTAACTTGGGAAGGAGAAACGAAAAGTGCATTTCTCACGGTCCTAATTGACCCGTCCAAACACACTCTCTATTCTCCCGGCCCCCCTCTGCCCCTCCTGTCCCCCCCCTCCACTCCTCGCTGCTCCGTTCCCCCCGGCCAGTTCCCCCCTCCCATTTTCCCATCTTCACACCCGTCCTCCCTGTTCCATTCCATCATCTCACCTTGCCATATCAACCCAGGTGGGGCGAGTATCAAGCGGCAATTCGTTGGACATGAGTGCGCAGGACGAGAAGCCCCCACCCTTTCCCCCTTTTCTATGTTCCCAATCTTCGCACCCCTCTTCCCCCCTGTCGCTGGTTGTTCCTTATCACATTGCCACCGCAACCCAGGTGGGGCGAGTATCAAGCGGCAACTCGTTGGACATGAGTGCAGAGGACGAGAAGCTCATTGCTAAGAACGACGCCACCGTCAAGGACATGGAGGTGAGACGGGGGGGGGGGGGACATGCTGCTACATGTGCTCCCAAGGGGCCTGCGCCTGTGGATGTGGCTGTTGGTTCTGTTTCTGAGGATTCCGGAAAACCAGCTGTCTTGAGTGCAGAGGACGATAAGCTGATTGCAAAGAACGAGGCCACTGTCAAGGACGTGGAGGTGAGACGCGTGACACGCGAAAAGGGGGGCACGTGTTGCTTGCGGCTTTTAATAGGGGCATTTGCATGTGCATGCAGCTGTCCGATTGAAAGTTTTTTGGAAAAACTAGCATGAGTGCACAAGTGTGTTCCTGATTCCCTCAACAGTGATAAATCAACCCTCTATCTCCTTTTTACCCTCGTTCTATACCCTTCTTCCTCCCCCCTCCCGCTGCAGGCAGCAGCGGTGGCGTGGGTGGCGGCGCTGCTGTCGCTGCCGCTGCTGTCAGTGAAGGCGGTGACAGACATAGTGGATGGCGATCGCCCCACCACCGAGGAGTTCCTCGAAAACCTGCACACCGCTGCTGATGCTCTGCAGCATGCCGTGCCGAAGCTGGTGGCGCTTGTGGAAGGGAAAATGTTGGTGGAGTTGTGATGGGTGTGATGTTTGTACCTCTATAAGGTTCTTCGCTAGAGGAGTGCATGCCTGAGATGGATTCTAAGCATGGAACGATCAAGAGAGATATTTTACTTTTCTGTAATTATTCCGGTGCTGAATGTATGGACGGAAGTGAAGTGTAGTTACTTATTTGGTGAGTGACGTGCTACTAGAAGTGAACTTAAAACGAGATGACCGTACTAACAATACGGTAGCAATTACGGTACCATAGTGTATTAACAAACGTGTAGACACACACACACACATACAAGTTGCTCACAAACTGAACCTTCAGGACTTCACGAGTGGAAGCAGCACAATGGAATGCGTCACACACACTCTTTTCAAACTTCAGAGTTTTTGTTGAAATGCCTCAAAAGACTTCAGATCTTGAGAATGGAAGGAGAGAGAGCAATACTTCAGAGTACCAATCTGAAAGAAAGGCCCAGCACCCGTGCTGCAAGCACCAGCGGCCCCTCGCTTTCCCCCATTCCCTCACCTCTCCCCCATACCTCTCCCCCTCCCCCTTCCCTTATCCCTCTCTCACCACAGCGCTTCAGCCCCATCCACCTCCTCCAGTCGTCTCCCAGCATCCTGCAGCGCCCCCACCACCCCTCCACCTCCCTTTCCTCCTTCCCTCCCCGCCACTCCATTCCCAGTCCCCCTCTCACCACAGTGCCTCAGCACCGTCTTCATCCTCCAGCCTCCTCCCAGCATCCTGCAGCGCCCCCACCACTCTCCCCGCCTTGGCCAGAACACTCGCAACCAGCAGCTGAGATGCCACAATCCCCGACCCCAACCCCACTCCGATAAACATCGCCGCGCGCGGGCGGTACAAGGAGAGGCCGAGTAGGCCCGCTGCAATCACCAGCGGCCCGAGCTTCGGAGGAGAGGGGAACTCGGAGAAATCGGGACGGCCGTTGGGTGTGACGGGAGAGGTGGATTCAGCGGCGGTTCGGAAGGAATCGGTGATTGGGAAGGCGAAACGGGGCTCGTCGGGGCTAGTTGCATTGTCGGGGGAGGGGGAAGAGGAGGAGGGGAAGGAGGAGGGGAGATCGGGGGAGATTTGGCGGGAGAGGCTGGGCGGGAGGAGGTAGGAGATGACTTCCATGCGAGCGGCCGGAGAGAGAGCGTCGTTCCATCGGTGGGTGATTCCGGGGATGTGCCCTGCTCCCACCACTGCTACTGTCGGGCCGATCGCTGTGCACTTGCGGATGTTCTGAAAGCAGAGGAGTGGAGGAAGAGAGGAAGAGAGATATAGAGATTGCCGTTCCAGCAGTGGGTGATGCCGGGGATGTGCCCTGCTCCCACCACTGCTACTGTCGGGCCGATCGCCGTGCACTTGCGGATGTTCTGAAAGCAGAGGAGTGGAGGAAGAGAGGAAGAGAGATAAAGAGATTGCCGTTCCAGCAGTGGGTGATGCCGGGGATGTGCCCTGCTCCCACCACTGCTACTGTCGGGCCGATCGCCGTGCACTTGCGGATATTCTGAGAAGAGGGGAGTGGAGGACGAGAGGTACAGGAAGAGAAGTGAAACGTTTGAGTTGACTCACAAACGAGCACACGGAGGACTTTTGAGTCGACTCAAACGTCACCTCACAAACGAGCGTCGAGCACACGGAGGAGCTCCTTCTTAGACTTGTCAGAAGCCGCAGCTCATCAACGCATCTTAAGGACCCCCGTGAACCTACCTCTGCACTCATGTCTAACGAGTTGCCACTTTCGAGTTGTATCCTAAAACCCTACACACCATTCGTCTTTTCTCTCACATGCATCCATGGGAACCCACTCCCTCACATGCCGCTTGGAACACCCTGGGCTCACACTGCCGACTCAAAGCCAAGCCAACTCAAGGCACACCTGGGCAAGGATAAGGTCCCTCTCGGCGACAATGGCAGGAGGCAGGTCCGTGTCTGTTGCAGTCTTAACCACCGCCTCCATCGGAACTCGCTCCCTCACATGCCTCCTGGGGCACCACGGGCTCACACCACCCTGCGTGCTCTGGCTTGACTGTGGTCCTCCTTGTGGCTCTCCAATACTCCCAACAGGAGCGGAGGGACCGGAGGAAGGAGGAGAGGGAGGGGTGAAGGCGGCAGCAGCGGCAGGGGGCAGGAGGGAGTGGTGGATGGCAGAGTGGCGGAAGGTCTCGACGACCCGGCGGCCGCAGGAGCGCACACGGCGAAAGTCGTCGATTGGGATCTCTTTTCCTGGAGGGGAGAGAGGGAGGGAGGAGAGGAGAAGGAAGGACGGTGATGAATGAGTCGAAGGTCCCCCCCAGGCACTTCAGTACTCGAGTCTTCGAGTCCACTCTAAGGTCACCCCCGAGGCCCCATTGCATACCTTTGAATGCGGGGGTGAGGACAGTGACGAAGGAGTGAAGAGTGGCTCGTCGTATCTGGCAGGCACCTCCTCTTCTCGGAACACAACACATGTGCGTACTTATGACGTATGACGTGACGACAGCAATGCGGAGATAACTACTACAACGGGAGCTAGGCTACGGGCTAGGCACGTGTGCTCGTGTGATCTCTGCGTTCGTTGGTCCTTAGTCGTTTTCCTAGTGCACACACTGCTTGCTAGTTTACAAGGCAATTTGGCAAGAGCTTCACTAGAGAAAGTTGACAACAATGATACAATCAAGTTGGCTAAGGAAGACTACATCAGAGCTAGGATGCAAGCAGGTCGACTGCCAGCGCAGCACGGTCGACCGCGTGCCAGCACGACTTGGTCGACCGCGCTCCAGCAGTGCAGGGACGCGGCTTGCCAACGCTGCAGGTCGACGGCGAGACAACAGCGCAAGTCGACGGCGTGCCAGCGTTGCTCCTGCAGTCCAGCATCGCACCCGCTTCGCATGTGCTCGTAGATGATTGGCGTGCACTGCTTCGTCACCTGCACAGCGCACACACCAAGTCCACCTCGTGCTGACGACTGCATCTGATGCACCACGTCGACCTCGGGATACCATCACCGAGGTCGTCCTCGCCAAAACCACCTGGGCGACCTTCGCAAGCCTTCGCAGCACCTCGTCACCCAGGTAACTTGGTATACCGGGCAACCAGGTCGACCAGAGGCTCCAGTGCGTGCCCGTCGACCACCCAGGTCGACGACCACTTCCGGTCGACCTCCCAGGTCGACCACTGCCTCTGGGACGTGCCGGTCGACCTCCCAAGTCGACGGCCACCTCCAGTCGACCTCCCCAGGTCGACCACTATTCCCTGGTCGACCAGCTCCAAGTCGACGTCACTCCTGGTCGACCAGAAGACCTGGTCGACTTCCCAGGTCGACCAGGAGGTCTGGTCGACGTCCCAGGTCGACCAGAAGGGCTGGTCGACTTCCCAGGTCGACCAGCCGAAGTGGGCGCCCTCCTGAAGTCGGCGCCCATGCAGTGGCTCCCCGTGCAGGTCGACCAACCTCGTCGACCAACTCGCCCACTGCTGCAGGTCGGCTGCACCCTACACCCAACCACGAAGTCGGCTCCGCCCAAGCGAGGACGGGGCCAACATACAACTCCCGTTGACAAGCAAGGGGAGCACCGCACCTTTGAAGCGAGTTGATTTTTGAGTCGACTCAAAAATATGACGTGACGACAGCAAGGGGAGCACCGCACCTTCGAAGGCGGTGGCGAGGACAGTGACGAATGAGTCGAAGGTGGCGGCAGGTTCGTCGCACCCGGCGAGCTGATGTTCGAGCCCCTTGCCGCAAAGGCACTGTGACTACTGAAGGAAAGTCAGCTCGCGCAGCAAGGGGAGCACCGCACCTTTGAAGGCAGTGGCGAGGACAGTGACGAATGAGTCGAAGGTGGCTACGGGCTCGTCACACCCAGCAGGCACCTCCACTCCCCTGAACACCACACATGTGCGTATTGATTACCTATGACGACAGCAAGGGCAGCAAGGGGAGCACCGCACCTTTGAAGGCAGTGGCGAGGACGGTGACGAATGAGTCGAAGGTGGCTGCGGGCTCGTCGCACCCCGCGTCCCTCGCCCTCTGCACCATCTGCCGCTTCACTCGCTCGAACCGCGCCTTGCGCCCTTCCCTGGTGCCGCCGCGCTCCTCTGGGAGAGACAGAGGAAGGAAGAGAGGGAAGGGGAGGGAGAAAAAGAGAGTGAGAAGGATACTGGCGCACCATCTGCCGCTTCACTTACACATGGTATGTCTTGCACCCCCCCCTGCTTCCCCGCCCCTCTGGGAGGGGCAGAAGGAGAGATGGGGGAGGAAGGACACTAATGCAGGATATTGCTGCGCGCACCAGATGTCACTTGCCTGACAACTTTTGTGAGAATTCCCAAAGTTCGCCCGGCAATGAAAGCATACAGTGGAAGTGGAAGGAGGGCCGGGAGAGGCACATGTTGAGGGGATAAGGCTTAGAAAATGATAGGATGAAGGAGGAGAGGAGGAAATGAGCTCACCAATAGGAGGAGGGGATGAGGGGACTCGGCGAGTCTGGTCGATGAGTCGGATGAGCGTGAGGAATGAGGACCTGTGAGGAAAACCAAGGGTTCATGGTGACAGGTCACAGGAGGATGAGAACGGTTACAACTTGTTAAGACTGAGGTGACAAGTGCTAGCTAAGACTTCCAAAAGCTTCAGTTGATTTTTGAGTCGACTCAAAAATCAGAACGAGTTGATTTTTTAGTCGACTCAAAAATCAGAACGGTTACAACTTGTTAAGATTGAGGTGACAAGTGCTATCTAAGAATTCCAAAAGCTTCAGTCAGGAGGTATGTATGTGAGAAGGCTACAGAATTTTTGAAGCGCCTCAAAGATTGCAGGTGATGAAAGTCAAGACGAAAGTCAAGACGTGGCAGATGTGTGTATGTGAGCATGCAAGGAAAGGGGAGGAGAGTAGAGGAGAAGAGGGGTGAAGAGAATGGAGAGCAGGAAAGGGGAGGCCTAAGGAAAGGGGAGTCCTAAGGAGAAAGAGAATGGAGGGCTAAGGAAAGGGGAGGGGAGGCCAAAGAGAAAGCGCACACCTATCAACGAGCGCCACACGCACGCCAGAGTCCTCGGCCACCTTGACTGCTGTCATCATGTCGTAGCCGTATGGCACTCCCAACAGCTGTGGGGAGGAGCGGGGACGGGTGGGGGGCACTCCCTGAGTCTCGTACACACATCATGGTCAGGTGACAGAAGTACAGGAGAGTCAGCCACCTTGACTGCTGTCATCATGTCATAGCGTATGGCACTCCCAAGAGCTGTTGGGGGGAGAGGGAATTGGGAGGGGGGAATGGGGAGGGAGTATTTTATGAGTCCAGTACGCACAGAAACGATCATGTCTGTAGTTTTTCAGATGAAGCAACATAACTCGCATGTAGTTCTATTTTTTGTATCTGCCCGTTGCAGAGAACTTTGATGCATTACACCGCGTATACGCTTGCCAAGTTAGACCCACGAACTACTCACAGCACCATCCACGACACCCCATCCATGCCTCAACCCACACAAGCCAAACCCCAGCCACATCCCATCACCCATCACCCACACCCCACGCACGCCCCACCCACACCCTGTCATCCCCCACGCACAGCGGAGATGAAGCTGCCCTGCAGGTTGAAGAAGAGCGACAGACTGACCCCATCTTGGCCGAGCGGGGTCATTCCCACGCCTTGAAACGTCTCAAAGGTCCACGTATCCATAGCAGCACCCACAGAAGCACCCACCCGCCCCCAACCCCACCCCCACCCACACCCTGGCATCCCCCACCCCACGCACAGCGGAGACGAAGCTGCCCTGCAGGTTGAAGAAGAGCGAGAGCGACCCCATCTTGGCCGAATACATGGCCCTCAACGCCTGAGAGGGGAAAGGGAGGGGGAGGAAGGGGAGAGGGGACACAAACACACACACAAACAGTGCTGACCTTTGAGCGACTCAGAAAACAAACAGTGTGGAAAATGGGTGTTGGAAAGGAGCGGGCAGCGGATCGAGTGGAGGAAGGGAAATGGGTTGTGTGGGAGGAAAGAAGGAAACGAAAACGGCGTTGCAGGAGGGGGGCGCCTCGCTGCTGAGAGGCGCCTCTAACTCAGCATGGAGTTCCTAGTCCTCTAAGCAGCGAGGCGCCTCGCTGCAGCATAGAAGAGAGAAATCAGAACTAGTCCACACAAGAGGGGAGTCAGACTCAACGGACAAACACAGTCCCTTCCCACCTGCTGTCGCCACCCCTGCAGTCGCCTCTCTTCCTGCTACCGCTTGTCACCCCTGACAACTCTCATAGCACGCGCACCCACACCGCACCCACACCGCACCCACACCGCACCCACACCGCACCCACACCGCACCCACACCGCACCCACACCGCACCCACACCGCACCCACACCGCACCCACACCGCACCCACACCGCACCCACACCGCACCCACACCGCACCCACACCGCACCCACACCGCACCCACACCGCACCCACACCGCACCCACACCGCACCCACACCGCACCCACACCGCACCCACACCGCACCCACACCGCACCCACACCGCACCCACACCGCACCCACACCGCACCCACACCGCACCCACACCGCACCCACACCGCACCCACACCGCACCCACACCGCACCCACACCGCACCCACACCGCACCCACACCGCACCCACACCGCACCCGCGCCCCGCGCACTTTGAAGACCGTCTTGAGCGGGTCGCTGGGTTCTGATACTCCACACTCACTCAAGCTCCCCCCAACCCACGCCCCACCTTGCCCAGCCCAGCCCCGCCCACCTTGAAGACCGTCTTCGGGGGGTCGCTGGGCCCATCGCCCGCGAGGATCGCCATGATGTGCTTGAGGCGCTCGCGGTCGAGCTGATGAGGGGGGTAGGGAGGGGTAAGGAGGTGTAGGGAGGTGTCGGGAGGTGTGGAGAGGGAATGATGTCATGATGCCGAGGGTCGTCATGATGTTTCAGAGCCGCTCGCGGTCCAGTTAACAGCGGAGGGATAGGGTGGGGAAGTTTGGGGAGGTGTTGCGAGGGATGGTAAGGGATGGGAGGGAATGTGGGCACGGTGGAGAGGTGCAGAACGAAATGGGGTGCGTGCGTGTCTACCCCCACCCCGCCGCCACACAACGTATGCCCCTCGTGTGCCAAGGAATGCCACGTTGCTCCTCAGCCGCTCGCGGTCGAGTTGATAGGCGGGAGAAGATTCGAGAGGTTGCACAGCGCAACGAACGCAAGGACGATGAAAAATGCACATTCTTCATAAGGTGCCTCGTTACCATACCAGGCTCAAATCAATGCAGACTCACGTATTGCCTTGCTGATCATTTTTACATAACGCACATTATCGAGTTCCCACAATGTACATTCCTCATGCACGACGTTCCCACGTGTTTGAAGAAGTGTTTTGGAACGTATCTCCACGGAAACGTCTCAAAACTCTTCTTCGAACATTCTTCAGATGCCAGACGTTCCTGGGACGTACCTCCACAGCGAGAATCTCCGGTTGAACTGCCGACACCACGCGTTCCACGTCCAGCCCTGCCTGCCTCGACACGTGGGCCGAACCTACGATGTAGGCTCGGTGGCCCGTGCCGGGATCCTCCAGAATCACCAGATTCTCCGCCGTCTCCGGCGGAAGGCCCAATCCCGCGTCCTTTCCGCTAATGAGCACCGCAGGCGGTTCCCCGTCACTGCTGGTTGCGACGGTATCGTTTGCCCATGGCTCCGCATCTCCCGAGTTAGTATCCAGCAGTCCGTTGGCCATAGAAAAAATCGAAATCTACGATCGACGAGGATTCGGTCCTGAACGTAAATGTAATGAGTGACGACCTTTTGTACGATGTAATGTGAGTTGAGAAGGAAGGATAGGAAATTAACGCGTGTCGCGGAACTGGAGATAGGGGCTAATTTATAGTAAGGCAGGGGGGGCTGGGCTGGGGGAATGTGGGGTGGCTGTGTGCGCGTGTGACTGGGAGATTGGAGTGGAGTGGAGCGGAGACTTCTCACCGAAGTTGCTGTGTGCTGATGCTATTTGCGATAAACGAAGTTCAAGCGACGGGAATGATTTCGCACATCGTCATGCAACGAATAGCAGAGCGTGTTCGGGCCACGTTGGCTTTGCTCTTCCTTGCACGCAAGCTGCGAAGCTGGCGGGAATGTCCACGATCTGAGGTGGCGTGCCCGGGGATGAGGTGGAATCGAAAGGCAGGCGAGGTGTAGAGATATCGCAACCACGGTGCATTCTTTCACGTTATCTTTAATTTGTGTCTATTGTCAAGTACATTGCTCTTTGAGGACATCATCAGATTTTAATTAAAAAAAATATTAAAAAAAAATATTGTATTGTGCTCCAAATGAGGATAATGCTGGGAACCGGGTTAACATATGCCCAAATATTTTAATTCTTCATCCCGCCTATATTTGTTTCTCGTTCCATGCGCTGTAGCTCGTTTCATTCTTGCCTCCCGTTTCTGTTATGAGTTGTAAAAGAGAGTGCGCAGGTAAACGAATAACGAGACTGTGACTGAATGAATCTGAGAATACAATGAATGCGAGAACTAATGTAGGCTAGCCTAGCTAGGAGGAAACCTCGGACGAGCGAGGTTGGGTGCAGGTTTGGCGATGGAAATGCCGAAGGCGACGCGAGGAGCTTCGGCAGCGTGGAAATCGCCCGAACGTGCGAACTCCGAAAATCGAGAAAATTCCTTACACCACCCCCCCCCTTAAGAAAGGCGGTCAATATCCGAAACACGCTTGCGCGCCAAATAATCACCAACAAGTGGCGAGGCGTCGAGCGAGGCGGATGGCACCCACGTGTCGTCCTCACTGGTGCGATCAGTCCAGCGGATTAAGAAATCCACGTGTCGGCCAGCTGCGTCAAGTCGAACCCGATGAGCGAGAATCTTCGATGGATCGAGTGTCGGCTCCGGGACAGGTCGAGCTGTCGGGGCAGCTTGCTGACGTGCGATGTCGGTCGTGGTTGGCACGAACTTGCGAAAATCGGGGCCGTAGCTTCGATGGGCCGGGCAGATGCAGGTTCTTCGTGTCGAGGAGCACTAATTGCCCTTTGGTTAAGACGAGTTCCCGGCGTAGAAGGTCGGTGTACTTGCGGGAAGTAATATTCGCCTTGCGAATTGCGTCTGCTGCTTTCTCGCGGATGTGCTGAAGTTCCGTCACAAAAGTTTGTGCTCGTGGGACCGGGTTGTCGAGCGAAGTTGCCGTGGGCACCGTCGGATCCATCCCGTAATTCAAGAAGAACGGGGAGTGGTTAGTCGTGCTCGATGGTGCATTGTTAAAGGCAAACTCCAACATGGCGAGGGAATCTTCCCATCGTGCGGGGTCGGGGCAGTTTGTCCGTATCAGCTGCTCCATCGTCTGGTTGGTTCGCTCGGTTTGTCCGTCCGTCTGTGGGTGGTAGGCCGATGAGAACTGTAGCTTCGTGCCGTACTGCGCCCATGTTTCCTTCCAAAACTTGGATGTAAACTTCGGGTCCCGGTCGGTGATGATCGCCGAAGGGATGCCGTGTAGTCGCACGACCGTTGAGATGAAGGGGCGAGCAGTTTCTTCGGCTGTGATCGTCGTTCGGCATGGTGCGAAGTGCGCCATTTTCGTGAAGCGATCGACGACGACGAGGACAGCGTCGTTGCCGGACGGCCCAGCTGGCATCCCCGTGACGAAATCCATCGTCACCTGTTGCCACGGTCGTTCGGGTGGCTCGAGGGGTTGCAGCAGCCCAGCTGGTCGCTGTCGTGTCGATTTCATGGCTTGGCACACCCTGCATGAGGACACGTAACGCTGCACGTCGTTAGAGGAATCGGGCCAGTAATATTGACGGTGCAGTAATTTCTGGGTTTTATCAACCCCGAAGTGTCCGGAGTAGTTCGAATCGTGGACCTCCTGGATGAGGAGTTCACGTAGCAGCCGGTAAGCGGGGACCCAAATCCTGTCGGTGCCGGCTTTTAGGTAATAATCCCCCTTCTGCGTCGTGGCCTGCTGATGATTTCCTGTCGTGAAAAACGGGTCCGTAGTGTAGCCGTGGGTGAATAGTCCTGTAAGTAGCGGGTTCGAATGGGTGATCAGTACAGCAGCGGATTGTACGGTCGGTCTGGTCAGGGCGTCGGCGATGTTATTCGCCCCTTTCTTGTACGTGATGCGGTAGGTGAAGTGGCTCTCCATGTAATCCAGCCACCGAATTTGTCGCGGGTTGAGGTTCGGTTGAGCTCGCAGGTACTGTAGGGACTTGTGGTCCGTGCGCACAGTGACGTCGGCGCCCACCAGGTAGCATCGCCACAGTTTAAACGCGTGGATTATGGCGAGCATCTCCTTGTCGTGGATCGGGTAGTTGCGTTCGGCAGCTTGCAGCTTGCGTGATTCGTAGGCGATCGGCTGCAGCCCGTTCCCGAAATCCTGGAGAAGCACTGCTCCGATGGCGAAATCAGAGGCGTCGGTTACGACTTCGAACGGCTTCGATGGGTCGGCGATGCGCAGCACAGGAGGGGAAACGAGAAAATTCTTGAGCTCCTGGAAAGCCACCTCTGCTTCCTCCCCCCACACGAAATTCTTGTCCTTGTGCAGCAGGTCGGTCAGCGGGCCGGTTATCCCCGCCATATTCGGGATAAACCGCCGGACGTAATTCACGAACCCCAAAAAACTCTGGAACTCCATGACATTAGTCGGGGCCTTCCACTCCTGGATGGTTTTAATCTTCGCCGGGTCGATTTTGATGCCGTCGCGGGAGATAACGTGCCCTAAAAACTCCAACTCTTGCTTAAAAAACTCGCACTTAGAGCCCTTGGTGATGAGCCGGTTTTCTTGCAGCCTTTTAAAAACTGCGTCCAGGTCGCGGAGGTGTTGCTCCCGTGTCTTGCTAAAAATCAGGATATCGTCCAAATAGACGATGACACATCGGTCTAGAAGATCGCGAAAAACCCTGTTCATGGTCAGTTGGAATGTCGAAGGCGCGTTCGTGAGGCCGAAAGGCATCACTGTAAATTCGTAACTCCCGTAGCGTGTACGAAACGCGGTCTTGTGACAGTCGTCGGCGAAGACCCGAATCTGGTGGTAACCGCCACGTAAGTCGATTTTCGAGAAGTAGCGAGCGCCGCGAAGTTGATCGAGAAGGTCGTCGGTGCGTGGGATTGGGTAGCGAGATTTGATGGTCACCCGGTTCAACGCGCGATAATCGATGCACATGCGAAGCCCGCCGTCCTTCTTTGGAGTGAACAGAATCGGTGCCGCGAACGGGGAGGTGCTCGGCCGAATGAAGCCTTTCTCCAACAGTGCAACAATTTGTCGGCGTAGTTCCTCGAGTTCCGGCTGGGTCAACCGCCACTGTGTCCGAACAGTAGGTTGCGCGCCAGGTTCCAGCTGGATTTTATGGTCTTCGGGTCTTTCGGGTGGCAGCCCAGGTGGCAAATCGTCCGGGAAAATGTCGGGGTACCGTCGAATTAGCTCCGCTAAATCCGGAGGAACAGCTGCACACAGCTTTTCGATGTCCTTTCCGTCGGTGTCGACTGCCAACTCGCGCAAGCAGACGGCGAACAGCTGCGCACCCCTGTTGAAGTGGTGGGCGATGGTGATGGCTTTGACGCACGGGGCTTGTATGTAGTCAGGTGTCCATGCAGGCAACTTAATTAGCCCCTCGTGCTTGCTGACGCAGCACGATCCCGTTGTCCAGTCGATGACGGGGTTGTGTCGTCGCAGCCAATCGCGTCCCAGCAGCACGTCGCAGCCATCCAGCGTCGTCGCGAGGAACTTCATGCTGAAGCCGAAATCTTCGCCGCACTCGATCCGCACCATCCGTGTTTCTTCCGTTATCGCCAGAGGCGTCCCATCCACGAGTCGTGCGTCGATTTCGGGCAGACACCTGTCAAGTTGCATGTTGCATTTTTTTGCGCTCGCCAAGTTGAAGAGGCTATGGCTGGCCCCTCCATCGACGAACATTTTCAAATGATGTTTCCCCACCTTGCCAGCGACCAGCACAGGGTGATCCACATGATTATCCCCGTTATTCGGCCGAGTGCGATCGATTGCATGAATCGGAACCACGACTCGGTGGGGATGGTGGTGTTCGGGCGACGGAGCACAGTCAGTAAAGGGCCCGCTACTTACTGACTCTTCCCATTTCCCTGCTCCTTCCTGTCGTTCTCTGTCAGCGGCATTTTCTCCTTGCATTCGTTCTTCCAGTGACCCACCTTCCCACACCGGAAACACTGACCCTTAGGAGGGCGGTCGGGTGTATGGACGGCGTTGATTGTGGCCCGATGGGTCTGGCCACGAAAACCTCTCCCATCCCTGGAAGCCGTTCTCGCGTACTGCATCAGCGCATCCGTTGACTCTGCCACGCGTACTGCTTCGAGGAACGATGTCGGGCGGCTGCGGCGAACTTCGAACTGTATCTCGTACTTAAGGCCGCTCACGTATTTATCCAACCGCTCAGCTTCCGACATGTCATCGATTTGGTCGGCGAAGCCCATAAATGACGCCGTGTAGTCTTGGACAGATCCCATCTGCGACCATGCACGCAGCTTCATGCGAGCTTGCTCCGAGGCGGATACGTGCTCGAAGCGATCCCGTAAGGCTGCGCCCCACTCCTTCCATGTGCGTATCTTGGTCACACCGAAGATTGGTTCTGCAACTTGATTAACCACTGTAGAGGTCCCGTCTGCCGCATGTGTCACACCTGTCGGCGTCCCTGTTTCCAAGGTCCGGCGCCACCATTCAAGTGCTGCACCTCGAAGAAGCGAGACTGCGTAATTAATGCGCGTGGCATCGTCATTAACTCCGGCTGCAGTGAAGAAAACCTCAACCCCGAACAGCCACCCTTTTACCGTAACCGCTTTATCCGTAGGATTGAACGGGGGCGGGTTGACGGGCTTGATTTTGATCGTCGTGACTGCAACTGGTGCTGCTGCCGCTCGCTGCCTATCTTCTTCTTCGAAGTCACGTGTGAGCTCGTCCAGAGGATTGCCCATCACTTGACTGTTGCCCTCGCCTTCGTCCACAGGCGACGTCTGACGCGCTTCACCTCGCGTCCGGCGTAGCTCGGCGTTTTCCTCCTTCAGTGTTGTCACTTCCGCTTGCAGCGATTCCATGCCCCTCGCCATTTCTGCCACTTGCGCCATCAGTCGGTTAACAGCCTCCTGATCCATGTTTCTAGCACTACGTCTGGTGGGCAGTTGGGTACCCGTGGCCACCCGGCAAGTGAAAACACGAACTATCGGAGTCGGGCAGGGTTGAGTTAACAACCTCTGCAGCCAACCGTCGTGTAGTCACTAAACCAACCACACCCTATGCCACCAAACTACCCTCGAAAAGCGGGGTGAACTAGGAAAGTAGCTCTGATACCAAGTGTTATGAGTTGTAAAAGAGAGTGCGCAGGTAAACGAATAACGAGACTGTGACTGAATGAATCTGAGAATACAATGAATGCGAGAACTAATGTAGGCTAGCCTAGCTAGGAGGAAACCTCGGACGAGCGAGGTTGGGTGCAGGTTTGGCGATGGAAATGCCGAAGGCGACGCGAGGAGCTTCGGCAGCGTGGAAATCGCCCGAACGTGCGAACTCCGAAAATCGGGTTGTACGCGCAGTAGTCAACCCCTGATAAGGAATTCGATAGAATTCCTTACAGTTTCCCTCTCGTCGTGACATGTCGCCATGTCCCCTTTCCCCGTTGTCCTTGCTTTCCCCATCGCGCCGCGACCAGCAGCCACAAATGTTTCGTCGAATTTTGCTCGACACATTGACATTGACAACAGCCCTCGCATCTCACGTCACTTGGCCGTCCTTGGCCCACCAGCCCCCGCTTCGCTCCTACTGCTGCCACGTCCTGCTAGTCAGCAGTCAGCTAGGCAGTCACCGTCCCTCGACTTTGTCGCCATGATTCTATACATGCTGGGTTGGGACAGTGTTGAAATATATATTATGCCTGTTGAGTTGTCGAAGGTCTCGGCTCCGAAAGATCCCCTTGATCACGGGCAGGATTCCAGGCCGTCACATCCCGGCAGGAGAACCGTCGGGTGCTACGCATTCGCTTTAATCGTGCTTATCTTACGATATTGCAACCTGCTGAGAATTTGGAGGGCTCCGTTCCCGTAAATTCGACTGCTGGAAAAGTGGCCGCATGGCGATCACAGAGACTACACGCCCGGACATTTCAGTAGTAGTAGGTCCAACGATCACTACGGATTGCACGTCCATTGTCATGAATTGCTGCAGGCCCTGCAGCACCAACAACAGCGACGGAGGAACGGAGGTCTCCGGCGAGGATTGGTCCATCAAAACGAACTTCGAGGCTGAAGCTAACGCTAACGTCAACGCAACCTTCACAATCTGTGGCATTCAAGAAAATGGTGGCTCCGCAAACTCAATCCCCGCTTCCCGAGCCGCTGCAGCGACGGCCGCCGCCGCCGCCGCCGCCGCCGCGGGGAGCGCCGCCGCCATCGCCGCGGCCACCGCGTCGCCAACATGGGAGGACGACCTTCAGGCGCAGATGCAGGAGTGGTTCCGCGACTCCGATTGGGTGGACGAGCCGCCGTCGATCGCGGTCACTATGGGATCCGGCGCGGTGTGCCAGCTGGATTCTACTGCCACCGTGGCGCTTCCGCCAGATGCGGTATTTAACGTCATCCGAGACCCGAATAATCGGCGCGTGTTCAAGAATGTTAAGGTGAGAGCCTCTCGTTCATCGCTTTCACTCTCTCCACTTCCGCCCATCACCAAATTCGCGTCGTCTTCGACTTCCCTTGTTCGACATCCTATTCCCGCGTCCTACAAACGCCCAGTCCAGCCCCACCAATTTCCCACCATTTCACCACCCCCCGTCCCTTCTCCACTCCCCCCCCACCTCTCTCTCTCCTCGCTACTCTCCGAGCGTCTCCCGCTGTCGCCTCCTCTTTCCGTCGCTCCCAGTCCGTGAGCGACGTGCGCGTGTTGCGCGACGACGGCGCAGTGCAGCACGCGGAGATGAAGATGACCTTCGTGTGGCGCCTGCCCGCCATCTCCGGCACTTTCACCGCTCAAGTTCTCATGATCCAAGACCGCCCCAACCGCATGGTGTGTTCTGTCGCTGCGAATGAAGTCGATTTGTGAGTGCGTGTACGTCCGTCGGTTGCTTGTGGTTGCGCCTGGCCGCCATCTCTGGCACTTTCACCGCGCAAGTTCTCATGATCCAAGACCGCCCTAACCGCATGGTCCGTCTGTACATACTATCGCTGCGTATGCGTCTGATCCATTCACACATCTGTCGCATTTGTTCGTTTGTGGTTGCATTTGCGTCTTCTTGTTTTCCAACTCCTGAAGCCCGACACGGTCCGCGGGACCAGCCCCCAAAATTATTTTCCAAAGCCAAATGTTTCTGCCAACCCTGACGTCGAAGTCTCTGGGAAGTAATGATGTTGACGTCTCAGCTTCCTGACAAATAAAACACCCGCTTCCCTTCGTCCAACAAACTTCACCTCCTGTCTTTCGCTCTATCTGTCTCCTAACCTGCTTCTCCGCTTGTTCCTCCCCATGTCTGTCTCGCCTTCGTCCCCTATCCCAGCTCTCCTACGAGCTCACGCGACCCGGATTCATGAAGAAATTCCAGGGCTTCTGGAAGGTCGAGCCGCTCGTCGTGCCCTCATCCTCCTCCATCGGCGGCGCAGACGAATGCGATGATCGCGGCAACCATGTTTCCAGCTCGAGCAGCAGCCAAATTAGTCCCAGTAATATCAGTAAAAGCAACAGCCATGACAGCAACACCCACCGCAATAGCAGCAGCGACAAGCCTGGCGATGGCAGCAACGACACGTTTCGGAGCCCGGACAGCGTTCTTAGCCACGACAGTTGCCCGGATCTCCTTGCTTTCGCAGAAACCAAGGAGGCGGCAGGAACCACGTCAGTACTCTCCCCACCCACCGACGCATCCCCTGGATCGGCGACCAAGTCCCACGACGATGCTGCAACGGAAGGAGCGCTGTCCGCTGCGACGGCTGCGTCAGGTGCGGTAGCAGCAGGAGCAGGAGGAGAGGTCTCACCAGCGCCATCGGCAGCGGCAAAGCGCGTTGCGTCTCGCATCGTGCTGCGTCAGATCGTACAACCATCCTTGGCGCCTTCCCCCGTGTTCCGCAAGTGCCTCAAGGGGATCCTGCAAACCGCAACGCGCGACATGCTCGAGGATTTCCAAACCGAGGCTGCGCGGATCCGTTGCAGCGGTGAGCGACTCGAGAAGACAGTGGAGGGGAAAGAGGCCCAGAAAGAGCGGGAACAAGCCGAGAAGCGCACTGCATCGTTCCTCCATAAGGAGACGTTGCGGGCCTCGGGATCATCGCTGGGGTCTTCTAAAGGTCTGGGTTCCAGTGGGCTTGCGGCAGGTCTGGGGAAGAAAACGGGGATGAATCTAGTGAAAGGTGCGATCAGCCGGAGCAAGAAAGGGTTCTCGTCTCTGGCAAAAGCAGGGAGGAAGTGAGGTGGGGTGGAGGTACCGTAAGCTGTTCTGGGAGCAGCAGCTAATGCTAGCTAGGCAGGGTAGGAGGTCAAGGGTATCCTTCCATCACCAAGAGTATAAGAGAAGATTGCCAGTATAGCGTATATCAGCTTCATAGCACTGTGTACAGATCCTACTATCCATCACCAAGAGGGTTGCACATCATCAAATGGAGTTGCGTTCGGCATGGATAGCCAACAATACGGGACAGCTGTACTGTAAGAACCCAATGCCTAACTCGTACGAATGATTCTCTAGGCGAGAACTAGAGAACTACCCCAGAGGTAGTAATGGAAATGTGGCTTGATATCGTGTACTCTCATTCTCCTTGGTTGCTGAGAAATCCACCCACAAATCCTGCTCCATTGCAGTTTCCACACAGGATCGTTCGCTTGCCTCTGTTGGAGACGGGAAGTAGATAGGGAGAAAGCTCGAGTATAAAAGCAAGACCAAAGGGGTAGACTAGACAATCAACCAGCTGCTCTGTTTCCACCCAGATTCGCAACAAACCAAGAAGAGATAGAAACCTTGTAATTTGCTGTGGAAACTGTAACTGTAGCCAGCAAAAGACAACTCCTCAACATTACAGCAACAACGGTAACCGCATGAAAAGCAGCAGCGGGTGCGATCGTACCTGCAGAGCCAGCAGCTCGTGCCCTTCTTGAAGCGGCCCTGGAAGTGATCCTCCAGGTTCACTCCGCCACCCTGGCACTGCCTGCACTGCACCGCGCCTGTCGCGGTGAGCGGGTGAAGGGGGAGGAAGGGGAGAAGGGGGAAAGGAGAAAAGTGAAGGGAGGAGGAGGAGAAGGGAAATAGGAAGTCTTGAAGCGGCCCTGGAAATGGTCCAGGTTCACTCGCCGCCCTGGCACTGCGTGCACTGCACTGCACCGCGCCTGCGCGGACGCAACGACACAGGGAGACGAGCGGATTGCGCGGGGAAGGGGGCGAAAGGGGGACGGGAGGAGGGGACTTAGCAAGCCCGGAAGTTGCAAAGAAGTGCATCGCTCTGGAACGCTATCAGGGGGAAACGGTGCGGGGAGTGGGAGGGAGGGAGTGGCGGCGGTGCGGAGAAGACGAACGGGAGGCACAAACGATCAGCGAGGAACATTCGGTCGCTGGTTATTAGCAAGAACATTTATCCTCAGTTGCTTATTCGCAGGGCATGCATACTACATTGATCATATTACATGCGCATCATCCCCACAACTGACACGCGCTCTATCTACATGGGATGACTAGAGCATTCAGCACACATTCATCCTCAGCCACAAGCAGTATCGCCAACTTTCAGGCGCCTACTCCCTTCCAGGCCAATCCATGCGAATTGAATTCACGAAGTCCTTGCTCCACCGCTGCACGTTTCCCTATGCACCCTCCCATACCGTACATGCCCATTCCAAATCTCGGAATGGTCGCAAATGACTCCAAGGCCGTCGCGGTAAAATCGAGCTCTCTTACTAGGTTGCAGTTTCAGAAGGGCTCGTAGGGAAATTCTTTCCACGTCTCATTGTTTATGAATCGCTCACTCACCATTTCCTTCGCAGTCGGGGCAGAGGATCGAGCCGGTTTTCGCGGCGACAGCGGCAACATCGGGGCCGACAATGGGCTTGCTTTCGTCGTCAGACGCGCGAACGCGAAGCTGTTGACCGGAATGACCGGGAGTGGTTGGAAGGATGAGAGGCGGAGAGAACTCATTAGGGTAATGAAGTTGAAGCAAGGAGGGGAAACCGCAAATTGTATCGGAATGGAGGGAGGATGAGCGGCGGATGCTTTTTTTTTTGCTCTCATTTGTCACAGTTACGAGAAAGAAACGGACTTGTTGCTGTTGCCCGGAAACCTAACACGATATTACCACATCGAAGGAGACACATATGAGGTGTGCAAGGGTGGTCTGACTTGCCTGAAAAACTCTGCCCTTGCTCCGAGCAGCTGCTGCTGACGGCCTACGCGACGACAGAAACTGGGATGAAGCGAGACTGCCGGAGGAGACTGCGGTGACGGTGACGAGGGAAGCCATTGCCGGCAATGGAGAAACGACAGCGGAGAAAGAGGCGAAGAAGCACCAGCGATGTCCAGGAGAATGGGGGATATATTTGGAATCAGTGACGTTGGGAATGTATTGCCTTTAAAGCGAGCGAAGGCTAAATAAGGAGCGCTACGGTGCGGCTCAGTTCGGTTGCAAGGGTGCGAAGACGAAGCAGTAGTATATCGAGATTATATGATGAGAAGGAACATGCAAAAGAAAAACGAGAATTGCTCAGGAACGGCTGAGATCAGAGAAAGAAAAGGAGATTCCCAAGGAGGTTCTCGAAGGACCCAGGGTTTAGAGACTGGTTTGGCGGGACGGGTGACGGGGGGGAGGCCAGGAACATCACAGAAATATCTGAGGATGAGTGGGCTTTGACCAAGACCACGTCAGAGAGCGGAGGCAGGTGACATGTCTTGGCGGTAAATAGGGAGGACCTGTGCTGCAATGGCAAGAGATCTGCTCCACTTTCCATATTGCTAGACGCTAATGTGGCAAGCGTACGACTCCATGTGGGTTAGAAGGTCACTCGGTATCCGTTACAGTTGCGTCAGATATAAATGTAGTGGAAGCACAACTTGGGTACGAGTGGTTGCAAAAAAACACTATACTGATTATCATCCATTTTGTTACAAACTCTATTGCATGGGGTTAGAAATTTATCATGCAATAGAAAAATCATCTGAACTGGACTACGAAGTACTCTTCAGACTCTGTGCTGCAATTGCACCACAGTCTGAGCCATGCCGCACATCAACCCATGCATCCACACACGTGTCATCTTCACATTCTCCCGTCGCGTGGGAAAGCACGATTCAATGGCGAACTGCGGCTTGGGGGCTTTCCTCGGCTGGAACTGTGCGTCGTCAGGAAGAGGTTCTCGTAGCTGATGGATGTTTGTCTGGAGATCGGAAGTGGTGCCTTTCTTGATTCAGTCAACTAGCAATTATCTGTTCTGCACTGACCACCGAAAGCGTTTTTGTTTGTTGCGTCTCACCCCACAAATCCTCCGTCAAGTCGGCGAACTGGCTGCTGCTTTCAGCATATCGTCTGCCGTCGCAGCGTTATCCTCGTCCATTGTTTCGGGACCTCCGATGGATCCAAGGAGGGGACAGGCTCAGTGGCAGCAGCAGCAGGGAGGAGGCGGAACGTTTGGAAGTTCCCAGCAACAGTCAGGTCAGGGCGTTCAGCAGCAAGGGCAACAGCAAGGACAACAGGGGGGCCAGGGTTTCTCTTATTCATACTCTTCTTCGTACTCCAGCGGACCTGGGGGCGAATACGGGCAGACGGACTTTTCACAGGACAAGGGGGGTGGTGGCGTGGAGCATCATCACGTCTCGTGGGGTCCTGGACACGAGCCGCAGCACCATCACTTCTCTACCCAGGTACGCGCGTTTGTGTGTGCTTCTGTTGTGCTTCTGTTGAGGCAGGTCGGAGGGGTCTCAATTTCTAATATCAAGGATTAGACCCGATTTTCTTGCTGGTACTACCCTGGTGTCTGCTTATGTTTAATTCGTGATGAGTGCTGTGTTATTTCCCTTTTTTTTGTGTGTGGGGATTAGGGCCAACAGGGAGGCCAGCAAGAGGGAGGCGAGCAAGGGATGCCAGAAGACCTGGCAGCCCTGCAGCAGGCCAGAAACGCAGTTCAGATGGACTCGCTCCGTGCTGTTCAGGTATATTCACTATATAGTGATAGTCAGTGATTTGAGGTTAGCATTATGGGTGTATAATGATGTTGCTTCCTTGCCATCTTGTGCAGGGCCTGCATCAAAGAGCGGGACAGCAGGCACACCACGAGGCACCACGAGAGGGAAAGAAGTAGACTCAAGAAAGATGCTTCCAAGATTAGGAGTTTGGCTGGGAGGGATTCTTGATGTGGGAGGAACAACTCGGGATTGTAAATTGGATGTCATTGTGATGTGAAGTGGAAAGTGTATATAGTGGGAATTGTGGAAGATAATGGAATTAGATAATGTGTAAACACTTCTACTTGGGTTCACTTGTGCAATCTGCGAGCGTCCGTTTTGTCGGAGCAGCGTCAGCGTCACGATTGGGAGGCTCCCCCCCCACACCATCAACACTCCAGAAGATACCCTCCGTACCCGAACCATTTCAGCTTCAAAACAAACCGTGCAGAAACGCCAGATATCGTATTTTACCGCAAACATTTGAGCTCTTCAAACCAACAAATTGTACGACTTCATTTCAAGCTTCAAATTAGTTGGTGGCTGGGCTTGGAAGTAGTGGCCAGAGCGCGTTGCCTAGCTTTCTTCACCTGGACAGCTGATCCCAACATCACAATCTCTCTAGCTCTGTGCGGTACCGTGTCGACAACTTCGCCTCTGTTGCTGCTGTGGCCGAGCCGTCTAATGGCAGATGATTACTGTGCTGTTATTGCCGTCCTTATATTTTAAGAGTCACGGTACATAAAGATCTGTCGTAGTGAACCTGGTGTTGATTACGTAAATTTTTCGGAATCGATGACGAGCCCTAACCATCGAATCGACGACGCTGCTCCTTGTACGGATGAACATCAGACGAGTGAACAACTTCAAAGCGCTGCTTTTGCCGATGGTGGCGATTTCCATGACGCTGGTTACCCGAGCGAGTTCTCGTTTCGTCACTGGGCGGACGGCCACAGTAGCGACGACATCGCTTCCATGCCAGGGCGAAAACGCGAAACCGACCGATTCGAGGTCACGGACGAATGGCGCGGCTTCGAAAGCGAGGAGACAGAAAGGGTTTCAGGTCTGTTAGAGGCTTCAGTGCTGCAGCCAGATGGCTTACGCTATGGAGGGAAGGACAGCAGAGTGAGCGTTGAGACGCGTCAAGAAACTGTAGCAGGCCTGTTGGAAGCTCCAAGGCTGCAGGGAGTTGGAGGAGGGGATGGATGGAAGGACAGCGGAATGAGCAGCAGAGGTGTGGGATGTGGTGCTGGGGGGTGTGAGGAAGAGGGGCGTGGGGGAGGCGAACGGGGGAGGGAGGTGAGCGAGAAGGTGGACGGTACAAAGGAGGAAAACGAGGAGAGGGAGAAGGAGGAGAAAGAGGAGGAGAAGGAGAATGAGAAGAAGCAGGAGGCGTGGTCTTCGTATGAGACGGTTTTCACGAATGCAAAAGCAGGTACGAGGCGTGTGGTGGTATAAGTTGAAACGGACTGGAGCACTAGAAAACGGGAGCGAGCACATGGGAGCGCACGTAGGAAGGAGCAGAGCGGCGAGATGTGCACACTGATGAGTTAGACATGCCACACAGCCTCCTTCCACGTGTGAAGGGCGCGTCGTCTCCACGCCACGAGCCAAGGGCTGAACTCAACCAACCAATTATCTCCCCACACACTCCCTCTCCAGGCATGGAGGGGGTTGACAAGGAGCAAGTGAAGCGCATCGTCTACGCCATGAGCCAGGGCTCGCGCTTCTCCCAACTCCTTCCCCTCCTACCCCCCATTCCCTCTTCAGGCATGGAAGGGCGTGGATAGGGAGCGCGTCAAGCGCATAGTGTACGCCATGAGCCAGGGCTTAAAGTGATTACTCCCCCACAACCCCCTCTCTCCCCCCTTCCACCGGCCCCCACTCTCCAGGAATGGAGGGGGTTGACAAGGAGCGGGTGAAGCGCATAGTGTACGCCATGAGTCAAGGCTCGCGCTTCTTCCAGCACGAGCAGCGCAAGGAGGCAGCACTCCTCTCCAAAATCGCCCTCATGCAGCGCGCCAAGCAGGCCATTCCCCCGGAGAAGCTCTCCCTACTGGAGAGACAGGCGGATGGGATGCTGGCAAGGATGGTGGCGGAGGAGAGCAGGGAGGCGCGGCGGCGCGTGTGGGTGCATGTGGACATGGACGCGTTCTATGCGGCGGTGGAGGCGCTGGGGGATGCGAGGCTGAGAGATGTGCCCATGGCTGTGGGGGGCATGGGCATGCTGTGTACTGCTAACTATGAGGTGAGGCAGTCTGTGTGGGAGAAAGGCTGGGAGAAGGGAGGTGGGGAAGGGAGGGAAGAGGGGGAAGGGCGAGCGAGAGAGAGGGGAGGGACAAGGTGAAGGTAGGTACGTCAGCAGTAGAGAGAGGCAGTGTTATTATGGGAAGGGAGGGCATCAGTGGGTTGGTGAAGAGGGGAAGGCGATCAGAGAGGGAGGCGCGGCGGCGCGTGTGGGTGCATGTGGACATGGACGCGTTCTATGCGGCAGTGGAGGCGCTGGGGGATGCGCGGCTGAGAGATGTGCCCATGGCTGTGGGGGGCATGGGCATGCTGTGTACTGCTAACTATGAGGTAGGTTGGTTGGTTGGTCAGTGTCTGTGTGTGACTCTGTGTAGGGGTATTGGTTCGGTTGAGAGGAGAAAGGGGCTGGTTGTGAGAGACAAGGGGTGGATGGGAGGCGATACGCGGAAGTGGATGAACTCCTCTGAACCCCTGTGAACTCCTCTTTCCAGCACCACTTTGGGTCTTTTCTCCCTACCATTCGCCTCAACCTCCGTGCAGGCGCGCAAGTACGGAGTGAGAGCAGCCATGCCGGGGTTCATAGCGCGCAAGCTGTGCCCGGAACTCGTGTTTGTGAAGCCTGATTTCACCAAGTACCAGCACTACTCCAACCTCACGCATGAAGGTGTGCGGGTAGTGGTGTTGGTCTGTCTGTTCCCCCTGTCCCACCCTTGTCCACTGATTCGTGTTCGTGTGTTTGTGAAGCCTGATTTCACCAAGTACCAGCACTACTCCGACCTCACGCATGAAGGTGCGCTGCTGCTGGCAATGGTGGTGTAGTTACTTGCTTACCCACTCGCTCACGGTCTAGATGAAGCGTATCTGGACAATTCTCATGCTTCTGCTTCATTGCTTCCCCTCTCCTGACTCACCGCATCCCACCGCGCGCCACCCCACTCCCACTCCCTGCACCGCACTCCACCCAGTGTTCCGCCAGTACGACCCGCACTTCGTCGCGCGCAGTCTAGATGAAGCGTATCTGGACATCACTGCCGTGTGCGAGGAGAGGCACATGACTCCAGCGCAGGTATTTTTCTTTGTGCGTGTGCTTGACTGGACATTCTCAGATAATCGTGGTCACACCTGGTCACACCTGGTCACACCTGGTCACACCTGGTCACACCTGGTCACACCTGGTCACACCTGGTCACACCTGGTCACACCTGGTCACACCTGGTCACACCTGGTCACACCTGTTCCCACCTGGTCACGCTTGGTCCCACCTGGTCACACCTGGTCACACCTGGTCACACCTGGTCACACCTGGTCACACCTGGTCACACCTGGTCACACCTGGTCACACCTGGTCACACCTGGTCACACCTGGTCACACCTGGTCACACCTGGTCACACCTGGTCACACCTGGTCACACCTGGTCACACCTGGTCACACCTGGTTCCACCTTGTCACGCTTGGTCCCATCTGATCACCCCTGGTCACACCTGGTCACACCTGGTCACACCTGGTCACACCTGGTCACACCTGGTCACACCTGGTCACACCTGGTCACACCTGGTCACACCTGGTCACACCTGGTCACACCTGGTCACACCTGGTCACACCTGGTCACACCTGGTCACACCTGGTCACACCTGGTCACACCTGGTCACACCTGGTCACACCTGGTCACACCTGGTCCCACCTGGTCACACCTGGCCACACCTGGTCCCACCTGGTCACACCTGGCCACACCTGGTCCCACCTGGTCACACCTGGCCACACCTGGCCACACCTGGTCACACCTGGCCACACCTGGCCACACCTGGTCACACCTGGCCACACCTGGTCACACCTGGCCACACCTGGTCACACCTGGCCACACCTAGGTACTCCTGGTCACTGCTTGGCATTGCATGGCACTCTTGGGCAACCCTGGACACGGAGCTTATGAAGACACTCTCTCCAAGCATTTGCCGTTTGCAATTTTATATATATCGCTCGTTGGCGCCGCCCCAATCTATTTCTGAAACGTCTCATAAATCGTCTTGTGTGTTGGCCTACTGGTGCTGCTCCAAAACATGTACAAGGTGGCATTACAAGGTGGCATGCACACACACACGGGGGCCTCCTTCCCAAGCACCTCAACCTCAAAAACATGCTCTTTACCTGGTCGTTCTCATTGTCTCGCTCCCTACCCCTACGTCCCCTTGCTTAACCATGCCAGGTAGCAGAGGAGCTACGGCACAAAGTGCGCTCTAGACACCTCAGAAACAGCTTCCCTACTGACCGTTCCCCTTGTCTCCTCCTCTCCTCATCGCCTGCCCCCGCATCCCCTTAAGTACTGCAGGTAGCAGAGGAGCTACGGCACAAGGTGCATGCACACACGGGGCTCACGTGCAGTGTAGGAGTCGCGGCCAACAGGATGCTCGCCAAGGTGAGTGAACGGGCTTTTTAGTGGGGTTTGAGTGGGGGAAGAGGAGTAGTGAAGGAGTGGATGGAGAAGAGGAGGTGCGTGCATGCACACACGGGCCTCACGTGCAGTGCAGGAGTGGCGGCCAACAGGATGCTCGCCAAGGTGAGTGAGGCACACCGCAAGTGCATGGATTGGGGAAGAGAAAGGTTGGGAGTCATATGCATGGACTGGGGAACAAGTGTCAGGGCTCGGGTGCATGCACACACTGGCCTCGCGTGCAGTGCAGGAGTGGCAGCTAACAGAATGCTCGCCAAGGTGAGTGAATGGGGTTTGAGTGGGGGAGAAGTAGTGGGGAGTGGGGGGGTTTGAGTCGAGTTAAAGAGGAACAGAAATGCACGCACGCACACACAGGACCCACGTGCAGTGCAGGAAAGTGGCGGGCGGCAAGTCTGTGAGGTGCATCCTCCTTGTTTTTTCCCTTCCCCCGGCGCTTCCCCCTCGCACCCGCGCAGGTGTGTTCAGACATCAACAAGCCCAACGGCCAGTGCATGCTGCCCCCTGACAAGTCGATGTTTGAGTCGACTAAAGAATTGACTTATCACACGTAGTTGTTCACACGCCTGAACCAGCTTGTTCCTTTTCTCTGCGACCCTTCCCCCACCTCTCCCTCCTCTCACCCGCGCAGGTGTGTTCGGACATCAACAAGCCCAACGGGCAGTACGTGCTGCCTCCCGACCGTGAAGCCATTCAAAGCTTCATCTCCTCGCTGCCCATACGCAAGGTGCTGCTCGCAGTTGCATACTCAGACATGTGCTCGCGAAATTTGTGTATCCGATTCTAGGCCGCCTCAGTATCCTATAGTCTGTGGGCAATCTTTTTGCGCAGTTCGTCTCCATGTAGCATGCAGTTTAAAAGAATGTTGCTGTGGCGTCGCATGTGATACAGCTTGTGATGTTGCGTGCATGTGATGTGCTGCATGCATGTTGTGGCATGCCATGTGTTGTGACATGCCATATGGCATGGGGCATGGCATCGCATGGCATGGCATGGCATGGCATGGTATGGCATGTGATGCAGATAGGAGGAGTGGGTAAGGTGACAGAGCGATTGCTGAGGGACGTGCTGGGGGTGAAGGTGTGTGCTGACATCATCACTCACAGAGGCGCTCTGCTCGCGCTCTTCTCGCCCATCTCTGCTGGTACGCTCCTCACACGTGCTCACAAAACAATGCATGCACACATGCACAAATGCGCGCGCAAACACACACTCGCGTGCATGCAGACCATAGGCACGTGCGGGGCGGAGAGAGTGTGCGCCCCTCTGAATTTTCATGGATTTTTTTAGAATTCTCAAAAAATCAATGCGGAGTGTGCGCCCCTCCGAATTCTCATGCACCACACGTTGCTCATGAAACCCCCAATGGCAGAATTCTTCCTGCAAGCGGCGTTGGGCATAGGCGGCAGTGGGGATGTGGAGGAGGGACCCAGGAAGAGCATCAGCTGCGAGCGCACCTTCTCGCCTCTCTCCGCCGAGCCAGCCATTCTCGACAAGCTCGGTACGTTTTTCATTGCGCAACTCTCTCTGCGAAGCATTGTGACGAGTTCTTTCAGGCGCCGCAAGCCTCTCTCGCCTCTCGCCTCTCTCGCCTCTCGCGTTCTCGCCTCTCGCCTTCTCGCCTCTCTCCTTCTGGCCTTCCTTGCACCTTCTCACCTCTCTCCGCCGAGCCTGCCATTCTCAACAAACTCGGTACGCCTTTCATTGCTCAACATACTCCTCCCTGCAACTCCTCCTTCTCTATCTCTCTCTCTCTCTCCTCAGCATCCCTGCTCGCGTTCCTTGTCCTCCTTTTCCCCCTGCTTCTCCCCCTCCCCATCCTCTTTCTTCACCCAGATATCCCAACTTCCTTTTTTCCGATCCTTCTTTCTTCTTGTCTACCTTCTCTCGTGTCTCAAATCCCTTTTCAACTTATTCACTTGCGCAGAGCAACTGAGCTTCGCCCTGGCAAAGGACCTGGAGGAGCATGGCATGAAGGGAGTTTTGTTTGGGTCGAATACCCGAGGTGGCATTTGAATTGACTCACAAGGGCTCCACCTCTTTCCTTCCCTTCGCTTTCCACTTGTGCAGAGGAATTGAGCTTCGCAATGGCAAAGGACCTGGAGGAGCACGGCATGAAGGGCCGAACACTCACCCTCAAGCTCAAAACTACTGCTTTTGAGGTCAGTCTTGAGACGCCCCAAAGCGCGTTTTGAGACATGTAGAGCAACTGAGCTTTGCACTGGCAAAGGATCTGGAGGAGCACGGCCTGAAGGGCCGAACACTCACTCTCAAGCTCAAAACAACCGCTTTTGAGGTCCGTTGTTTTTAGTCACCTTGGCCTGTTTGTTTCAAACTTATTATCACAAGGCATTAAGAATGACACTAATTTTCAATCCCCCCTCTCCCCTCCGCACACGGGCGGTGTCTGTACCAGACCCCATAGGGTCACAGCAGGAGATCTCTCTTCCAGGCCTCTCAGAGCTCTCCGCTTTCCACCCTCCCCTCCTGCCCTCCCTCTACCCCTCGTGGTACTCAGGTGCGCACACGGGCGGTGTCTGTACCAGACCCCATAGGGTCACAGCAGGAGATGTGGCCGCTAGTTGTGAGGCTCATACGACCAGAGCTACCAGTCTCGGTGCGACTGCTAGGTGAGTGGTGCTGGTTGGTGCAGCACGGTGCTGCCAGGTGAGTGTTTGTGCTGCCAGGTGAGTGTTTGTGCTGAATGGTGCTGCTGTGTCTATGGTGCAGTGCAATGAGTTGACCATTCTGTTTTTCTGATAATGCCCCTTCCTGCCTCAGGTCTGCGCATGAGCGCCCTTGTTCCACGCGCTAACAGCGGCAGCAGCAGGCAGGCAACAATCAGTGAGGTGCTTGGAGGAAGGAGAGGCGGCAGTGGTTCAGCCAAGGGGATTGCTGAGGGGAAGTATCCTATCGGTTCTACAGGTGCCACTGATGGGAATGATGTTCCTGCGAGCATGGATGCTATGAGAGTATCTCCGAGAAAGAGTAGGGGAGGAGGGGGAAGGGAGCGGTTGGTGGAGGGAGAGAATTCGGGAGAGAGAGGGGCGAGTGGAGGAGCTGAGGGAGTAGAGGAGAGGCGGCTTGGGGGAGAGGGGAGGGAACATGCAAGATTACCCGATGCACACGTGCAAAATGAGGCAGGGGAAGAGGTGGAGGAGGGAGAGGAGGTAAGGGGCAGTGGGGATGGTGGAGCGGAGTTGAGTGGCTGTGAGTGGGAGGGTGGGTGGGATAGTGAGAGTGAGTGGGAGGAGTGTGGTGAGGGGATGGTTGGGATGATGGATGGTGGGAGGAGCGATGGGGGAGAGAGGGAGGAGAGGGAGGAGGAGGAGGAGGAGGAGGAGGAGGAGGAGAGGGAGGAAGGGGAGGAGAGGGAGGAGAGGAAGGAGGAGGAGAGCGAAGAGAGGGAGAGGAGGGAAGGGAGGAAAGAGAGGGAGAAGAGGGAAGAGAGGATGGGGGCCGTGGATGTTGATACATCATGTGCACAGGTCGGAGAGGAGGCAGTGATTGCAGGTAGAAGACAAATGGAAGAGAGATGGGGAGAAACAGGTGAAGAGGAGGACCTGGCCTTGAGGAAAGAGGTGACATTGGCATCGACTCAAAAGGCGTTTCAAGTTCCACAGATGTCGTTTCAAGATATGATTCAAAAGCAGGAGGGCATGGAGAGGCAGGAGATGGTATGTTTCAGGGGTGAGGAGACAGCAGCAGGACAAGAGGACAAAGCAGAAGAAGTAGAAGACATAGCAGGTCAGGCAAGAGGTGTGATAGGCCAGGTATTTGAATCGAGTCACAGGACAAAGCGTCTGCTTGGGAAGAGGGTGCAGGGGTCCCGAGTGGAGAAAGGAGGAAAGGGGGGAAGGGCAAGAAAGAAAAGGCGACTCGAGAAGCACAAGTCCCAGCAGCAACAGCAGCTGTGCATTGACTCGTTATTGCAGCACGTGGCAGCAGGAGGCACGAGAGGAGCAGGAGCATCTGGTAATGAGCAACTGTTAAGAGATATGGACACCGGTGGTGGAATGCGTTTCAGTAGTGTGGGAACAGCAGGCAGTGCAGCAGCAGGGGCAGCAGCACCACCACCCTCAGGAGCAAGTGTAGCAGGAGAAGGATCAAGCATTCATTGTAACCAGACAGGCCTAAGTGATTGCGGCATCCCTGTGAGAGTGCAACAGCAAGCGCAAGAGCAAGCGCAACAGTGCATGGCTTGTGAAGGTGACATGTTAGGTGGGAAAAAGGAGAGTGCCTGTGAAGGGAAGGATACTGCTCCTGAAGAGAATGATAAGATGCGATGTGCAGACGAGCAGAGGGCCTGTGGAGGAGAGGGTACACCTGCGTCTGGTGACCAATATGAGGTGACATGGGTGGCAGTGAGGGAATCCGGAGCAATGCGGTGTGGCATGTGCGGGCGTGAGGTGGCAGTGCATGAGCAACCCTGGGGACTGCAAGAGCATGCTGATTTCCACCTGGCGCTAGCCTTGACTCGCCTGGACCAGCAGGAAGCTACAAATTCAACCATAGCAGGTGTGTCTGCTTCTCGCGGTGGCCTGGGTGCATGGCACAGATTTGCCGCTCAGAGAATTGGTGGGGGTGGGAAAGGGCGAGGAGGAGGCAAGGGTAAGGGAAGGGGGAGAGGGAAGGGGAAGATGAGGGCGGGCAAGGGCGTTGCTAAGGGATGAGGAAATGGGCGGTTCGGTGTTGTGTGCTGATGTGTTTGGAGTTGTCTCAAGCAAGAGAAGTAATTGTGTAGTATGCGGGTTGCATCTTGGACTGGTGAAACTCCAAAGGATCTGAGGCTCATGGCTTTACCTACAGTCAATAAATACAATTGCTTCATTATTTCGTTGTTTCAATCAATAATACGGTAAAAAAGATCATGTAACGAAGTCACTCTGGGAATGAAATAACTGGCCTTAGGGTACATTCCGCTGTGGACATGCGTCCCAATCGATGTGTCCCAATCGGGTGTACCGCTCCGAACCGCACTAAACCAGAGAAGCGAAAATTTTGAAACTGGGGTGTAATTCGGTGTAACAAGATTCAGTGCGGTAGAATGTGAGTCGATAAATGTTCAACCAGCATGTAGCATGCGGGCCAATGCTACCAACTTTATTCCCGTGTCGCCTCCCTCTGCTATTCTACCGTATAAACCTTACATCCTTACTCGTCCTCCTGCTCACCAACCCCCGGCGCTGCTACTGCTGCTACTGCTGCTGCCACCCTTCTTCTCCTGCCCTCTCGCCATGCTCGCATCATCCACCCTCAGCGCCACGCGCGCCGCCTCATAGCACACAAACGAGATGCCAGCAGCAGGGAGCAGCTTCAACCACGTGGTCCCAAGCCCTCTGTACACAGCCAGCACGCCCTCTGTCTCAACAATACCCCTGAGAATGGTGATAGCTGTCTGTCTCCCTGCAACACCAGCGCCTGCGGCTGTCACGCCGAGCTGTAGCCTCCTCCGGACCACCTGGAGGGAGGAATGAGAGTGGTGAGAGAGGGAGAGGGAGGGAGAGAAAGAGAGCCTGAATGGTTGGGTCTGATAGGGTTGCGACAAGTCTGAACAAAGTAAGGCTGCATCCATAGTGCAACACATGCACACGAGCAATGAGAATCTGAATCGGACTGACCTCAAGGGGAAACGTGACGGCACTGGAGGCGGAAGCGGCAGCAGCGCCAAAGAGCAACGTTGCCTCGTTAGGCACGTGCTCTCTGCCGGTGGCCTTCCTGTACGCGGTGCGCAGCGCATCGTACACAAAGTAGTTGGTGGCCGCATAGGGCACCACACCTAGGAGGGACGGCACTAGGCCTCGGTACAGAGAGAGGGCGCCCTGGAGGGGGAAAGGGGAGGAGGAGAAAGGAGAGGAGAATGTTTGGGGGTACGGCCAAGAGTGATGGCACTATGCAGCGGTACAGAGGGAGGGAGGGACGTGACGGAAGGAGAAGAATGTTTATGAGGTGCGGAGAGGAAAAGAGGTCAGGGGAGTGGAGATGCGCGGAGCATGGATGAGGGCAACGTAGCGAGCTTTGGGGACTACAGCATAAATCAAACAAACCTACAAACACACTGCTGTGCTGATGAACCTCCAGAGCGCACCCAGCACACTGGCCCACTCCCCAACCCCTCCCTTCCTAACCTCCTTTATCCCTCCACTCCAGACTACGACTATCGTTTCGCACACCTCTTCCTGCACAATCCGTCTAACAGTCGACCCCAGATCCGACTAAACAGCTCAGGCTGAACGCTGGTGCGCCCATGCACCTACTAAACAGGCTGAACGCTCAACGGTGTCTAGCACCAGACACGCACCCCACCCACCCTCTGCACCTTCTCCACCCCATCGACCCACCTCTTCCTGCACGATCTTTCTAACTGTGGATCCCAAATCGCGGTACAGCTCAGGTTGAACGCTGATGCGCGTGCGGATGAGCTCCAGCGGGTATGTCAGCAGCGTGCCCGCCAGCCCTGCCGCTGCGCCTGATACAGGCGCCGCCGAACGTGCTGCAACGGGTGGCCCGGGCGGCACAGCAGGCGCTTCAGCATCTCGAACGTGCAGAGCTCCACTGCCTTGTGCGGCCCCACTCGCAGACAGTTCACCCCGTTGCCTGGCGAAGAGGAACGGGGGGACGAGGGTGGTATGAGCAGAGGGAAGGGGTCGGGACGGGATGGGGAAGCGATGGGGAAGGGAGAGAGTGGAAAGGGAGGGAAAGGAAAGTGAGAGAAACGCAGGGATGAAGATGACACAAGATGAGGTCGCAAAAAGCTAGATTCAATAGGGCAACATGGGCACAGAGAGAGGGACCTTGTGACTGGGTGACGAATGAGGGAGGACGAGAGAGGTAGGATCGAAGTGACGCGGTGGGAGGGCGTACCTCGAAAGAAGCCCTTCCAGCCGTCTTTCGCCATAATTGCGGAGAACACGCTCGCTGCGGTCTTGTGCGCGCCGGGCAGGCCATTGCTGCTGATGAGATGCGTCTGGGAAAGGTACGGGAAGGGAGGGAGGGAGGGAGAGCGGACGAGAAATATGGTGAGGAGGACGGGAGAGGAAGCGGACGACGGCGAAGAAAGTACAGGGACCGCTCGCGACCGCTAAGTAAAAACAGACGGAGAACATCCGAGACACAGCGACCGACGGCGTTTGCTGCTTGGCTGCGTTGCAGGGACGCGACGTCGCGGTGCAACGCGGTTCAGCGTGATGGAGAGAGAGAGAGGGAAGGCAGCGCGGCAGCAGAGAGAGACAGTACGGCAACACGCCTTTCACACCGGCGGTGTCTGTCAAATCTGCAAAAGCAGACGAACAAAGTGACGAGCAAGCGAACAGAAGAACCAACGAAAGAAACGGTCTGTTGCCTTACCCGGATGAGGTCTAGAGGCGCGACGGCGGTCCGCGACACGATTCCAGCGAACCCACCACACAGCAGCTGCTCCGGAACACCCCCCCGCACCCGCATCCCCTGCCCTTCCCCCTCCCGTTCCCCCTCTCGCTCCCGCCGCTCGCTCTCTGCCCCCTCACCCTGCAGCAGCCTCCGCTCTTCCGCCTCCTTCGCTTCCGCCTGCTTTCCGCTCACCGCCAGCCGAACCTTCACCCCTCTTAACCCAACCGGACTCCTTCCGCTTTCCACACTCAATCTCGCTTGCCGGCGGCTCGGCGCCGCCGCATTCTCCCACCGCTGGCCGCGCGGGAAACGCGCGGCGGCGGCTCGCACGAAGGAGCGGCTCAGCGCGCCGAGCGCTGCCGCAGCTGCTCCTAGCCACTCCTCCGCCTCGTCCAGCCGCCGCTCAAGCGCGACTAGCGGAGGAGGCGGCGGAGGAGGCGCGGAAGCCGCCAAATCCGTTATATCTCGCCACTGCGCCACCAGCTCTTGAGCCCGCGCATCGACCCGCCAGAAGAAATTTTCGCTTCCGTATCCCTCGCTCCTGGTGCCGAATCTGTCGCCGAGACTGCTTCCTCCGCCGAAACCTGCGCTATTGGCACCGCTTAGCCTTGTAGCTGCGTCCGAATCTGCCGCCGCAGTTGCCACTGGTATCGCTGGTACCGCTAACGCCGGTGACGCCGCTGACGCCGCACGACTGCTTACCGGTTGTAGCCTCTCCTTGAAACTCCCAGACGACCCGCGTTTCGGAGCCGCGGGTCGCGTCGCAGGGACTGACTGAGGGATTGTCGGAACCGACGCGAAGCGCTGACCCGGAGCGAAAACTTCGGCGAGGTGTGCTGCTCGGCGACCGACGGAAACATGCGGATGGGGAGGAGCAGGAAGAGAACTTGTAGAAGGAGGAGGAGGAGGTTGAGGGAGCGGAGGGTGGTGGAGAAGCGGCGAGGAGAGGGGAAGTGCATGAACGGAGTCGGCGTTCAGGGGGTGGGACGGCGAGGACGGGATGCTCAAGGAACGGCTGGAATCCCACTTCATGTCTGCATGGGAATGGAACGGGACCACACGGCGGGACGCGCAGAACAAGAAGAAGAAGTTAGTGTAGGAAAGAAGCATCTCACGCAGACGGAGCCTTTTACGTGAACCGAGCCTTTCATGTATACCGAGTCGTGTATGTGGAGGAAAGATTTCACGTGGAAAGACCTGTACCTGCCAGTGAGGAAGCAGGTGGTGGATCTAGTCGACCAGAGAATCGGTCATGCAGCCGAAATCAGAAAAACTAACACTGAGCGTAGCCTGAATAGTATCCAGATGCACGGGTAGCAGTTTCTGCGGTATGCTCGGAATAGGAGATTGCTGGTGACCCTGGTTCTTACCGGTGGCTGTACTTACTGGCTCTAGTCACGCAGCGGGGAATATTCTCCAGCGCTCGCTCGCTCCGACGAGCTTGCTGTGCTTCCTTTCAAGCCAGTCAAAGGCAGTAGCGCACACTTACGTACTTCTCGCGGCCTAAGCTAATAGCTTACGTCCTTCTCAACGGCTGTGCGTAATAGGCTTAGCAAGCGTGCGTATGGGCAAGCAGAGGTGGCGTAAAGTCTGGTTAGCAGAGCATGAAGCGTGGTAAGCGGTGACGTATACCAAGCGGCTATGACACGACGTTTAGGAATTCTTACAAATGGGTCATTCCGCCTCTCAAATACCTCTGGCTTGGTCTGGTCTGGCTGGCCCTGTTGAGGATAAATTGGGGTACAGTCGGTTTCCAGTGGGTTGGATATGGTTCATGGTAAAGGAAGGGCGGTGGAGGTGTGTGAACGAGATTGCTCGTGTATCTGGGTTCCGAATTGCCAGCGCGGCGGTGCCAAAAGCAAGTGAAGATACAGATGCACAAATTAGCTTGGTGGATTTTGTGGCGGTGTCAGAATCGCACGAGCATAGAAATTACCGCGTTTCGATTTCGGTTCCGAAGCAGCTTGGGTCTCGTGTGCCACGTCGGCTTAGAGAACTTTGCACGGACCCGTAGCAAGGGGGACATCAACGCCAAGCCAGAAAAAGCTCCCTCGAGCGTGCCGACGTGGAGTGCCTCGATTCACGCCAGCTCGTCATATCGTCTTCCCTCGAAAGTACCACCAAGAGGTCGTCCGCATTCAAATTTCCAGCCCGCCAGCTCGAGCCTGAAACGCGGAAGGCTAGGCGGAAAGTCATTGAGGTGTGTGGTGTGGTTGAGCGCACAATGACACGCAGTTCTAAAAAATATCCCTGGAAACGTGAATCAATGCCTGGAGAGTGGTGGTGTTGCTGAAATCCCACCAAAATGGGCGAACTTATGTGGCAATTATTGAGTCACTGGACCTGAGCTAGTGGTGAAAGCGGTTTTAGCCAACGAGGTTTTCCAAGCGCGCAGCGTCCTCATTCAGGATTTGTGACCCAAAACTAGTTCACCCAAAACGTTTTCGGCATATCCGTGCTTGACATCTGTTCATTCACGTGTTGCCCCAGCCAGTGCCGTATGGGCCCAGCCTGGTGGCAGAAGGCAGAACTCCGATAACAATCACCCCGACATAAAAATTCATTGGGACTTACATCTAAAAACCAGAGCCAAATCATTATGAGAACTCGGCAAAGCACAACAATTCCATTACTACTACTAATGCATTGCAAGTCAGCTAACCATCAACCACTCAAGCCCCTGCAAGTCAGAGGCATGTCAAAACCGCCAAGACATCCAATCCAGGTATGATACCAAACGTGTGCACCACTACCACACCACATCACTTCCCTCAAAACCACCATCGGATCACCCCTTACCGCTCCCACCCTACACGTCCGTAGCCGTTTCCTGCAAGTCCTGCACGAGCTTGAAGCACTGCGCGAGCAGCGTGGAGCAGACCGCCTGCCCGGCCGGAATGCCCGTCTTGGGCGAGCCGCCGAAAATCCCCTCCACACGATCCCTATCAATGGCATCGAGCTGCAGCTGGTAGATGTGCAGGTCCTCCGTGCTGTGCTTGATGTGCTTGCTCTTGAGCTCAATCAGCTTGCGCTTGATGCCAATCAGGTGCGTGTAGATGCCCCGCATCTCCGCGTTCATGTCGTGCGCGGAACCCAGCAGGATGCGCAGCAGCTCTGCGGGTGAAAAACAGGGGGCAGTGGGTGGTGGAAAAGCGTGAGGACAGGTGAATAAGGGTGAGGGGCAAACGAGGAGCGGGACTGCTGCATGTGTGCGTGTATGTGTGAGAAGCCTCTATCCACTAGACATGTCTCACCAATTCAGCCCACTATGGATGGACGAGAAAGGCCAAGGCCAACACCACCTTTCTCACCTCCCCAACACTACTACCCGTCCAAAACCTGCTCTCGCCATATCTCCCGTTGCAGTTTTTCTTTTGTGTGTGTGTGTGTGTGTGTGTGTGTGTGTGTGTGCGCGCGCGCGCGCGTGCGCGCGTGTGTGTGCATGTTCTTTTCCTCAACACTTCTCTTCTCCACTTCACACGTAGCAACCCTTCCACCCCTTGCCGTTTCTACCCCTCTAGAGCTCCCCACCCCCCTTTTCGTCATCATCGGCACTTTCGCTCCGATTCACTGCGATGCGGCACAAAACCCCTAACCTTACACGCATTCCATTGTGATGCCTGTAGTGGCTTGCGCTCCACGCTCATGCCGCATGCTCCACATTCCACACACACACTCCCTCCCCTCCGGATGCACACTCCCTGACCTTCACGCACTTCTCTCCTCCCCCCTCCCCTCCCCTCGTGCTCCTCGAATTCCTCCCTCCTTCCCCACACAACCTTAAACAACGATCCCCATACTCCACGTTTTTCCCCCACAACCTTCAACTTACCCCTTTCTCCCCTCTTCCCTCTTCTTCTCCCCCTTCCCCTTTTCCCCTCTCCCATTTGTCCCATGTCCGCTTCCCCCCTGCTTATTTTCCGCCTTCTCCCGTTCACCCCTTGCCCCTGCCTGTCCCCCACGTACCGTACACCTGGGACAGCACCGTGCTGCACTGCGCCTGCCCGGTTGCCCTTCCCCCTGCCCGCAGTTTCCCCGCGCTCCCCCTTCCCTTGCCCCGCACCGCAGCACCACCTCCCCCCACCTCCCCCGCCCCGCACGTACCGTACACCTGGAACAGCACCGTGCTGCACTGCGCCTGCCCCGGCGGGATCGACTGCAGGTTCCCGGCAAAAATCCCGTCGACGCGGCGCGAGTCGATGGCGTCGACCATGAGCTGGTAGTGGTGGATGTCCTCCAGCGAGTACGACCGGTCCGCCTTCATCTTCTGCAGCTTGCGCTTCAGCCCGCACAGCGTGTCGTAGATCTGCTTCATCTCCGGCGGCATCTCGGACGCCTTGACTACGAGCTCGCCCACCAAATCTAGTGCGACGCGGGGGGAGAGAAGGGAGAGGAACGGGGACCGGGACGGGGGAGGGGAGAAAGGGGAGGGGAGAAGGGGGAGAGGGAAATTGTTCAGCTTAACCAGCCCGCACAGCGTGTCGTAGATCTGCTTCATCTCCGGCGGCATCTCGGAGGCTTTGACGACCAGCTCGCCCACCAGGTCTGGCGCGGGGAAAGCAGGGGAGCAAGGAGCGGAGGCAGCGGGGGGGGGGGGGGGGGGGCGGGGAGCGGGGAAGAGGAACGGGGACCGGGATGGGGAGGGAGGGAGAGGTAGTTAAGTTAACCAGCTTGTCGCACAGCGTGTCGTAGATCTGATTTATCGCGTCGCCTTTCCTTCATCACCCACACCTTCACGACCGGAGCACTGATCAGCTATGGCGAGGCAAAAAAACCGCCGGGAGACGGAGGGAGGGTGGAGCGGCGGGAGGAAAAGGATGGGGAGAAGGTAAGAGGTGGTTGCTATGCTCCGTTAGCCTTCAAAGCTTGAAAATAGCGAGGGGGATAAAGGAGGGGGGAAGGGAGAGGTGGTCTTTCTGCCAGTCCGCGCAGCATGTCGCACGAATTCGCACGAGCTCGCGCGCTTTACGTCACCATAAGATCGTCCATAGGTTGCATCGACTATCAGTGCGCTTCACTAGATTCTGTCTGTGCACTTGTTCTCTGCCCCATCCAACCGCTACAGACACGAATCGTGGAGGAGAATAAATATTAAAAAAAAAAAAAAAAACATGCATCCTCCTCCCATGCCTTGTTCTCTCCCCCTCACTCCCCATCCCCCCTCACCTCCCCGCATCCTCCTCTCCGCCGCTCACCGTAAGCCTCGTCCATGAGCTCGTGCAGGATCGCCCCCCTCCCCCCTTTCCCCGCCTCTTTCCCCCCACACCCCCTCGCCGCCGCTCACCGTAGGCCTCGTCCATGAGCTCGTGCAGAATCGCCTGCCCCTCGGGAATGACAGTCTTGAGCGACCCGCCGAAGATGCCGTCCACGCGCTTGTTGTCCACCGCGTCGAGCCGCTCCTGCAGCGGCTGCAGCGCCTCCTCCGTCGGCGGCGTCTTCGCCGCCTGCATCGCCTTGAGCGTGTCGCGCAGGTCCAGCAGCTCCTTGTGGATCGGCACGAGCGCTTCGCTTAGTTTCTCCGTCGCCGCGGCGGACGTGCCGGCGCCGGCATCGGCGGCGGCATCGGCGGCGGGGACCGCGGCGGGGGGAGCGTCTGTCGCCATGGATTGAGGCGGAAGGCTGGAAGAGGAGAGAGTGGCGGGCTTGAGATGAAAGGACAGAGCAGCGCTTTATGAACGAACTTGAGCGTCGCGGCTAGGTTATAAGGGATGGAGACCGTGAGGGGACTACCGGAGACGGAATATGGTGTGAAATCTCGCCGCTGAAAAAGTCAAGAGGCGGAACTAGCAAGGTGACTGAAAGTGGACGGGCTTGGACAACAACTGAATGGGGGGTGTCGGCGCCAAGTGTTGAACGGACAACGAATGGCCGTGACGAGCTGCGTCCAGTGGATGACTGACTGCCTGACTGACAGTTGCTTGCGAGATGAGAAGGCTAATGATTCGAGATGTGAAACCACGAAATTCCAACCAAAATGCTTGCTGAGAGGAGTTGTAGTAGCAGTAGTAGCGAAGCGAGTGATGCTGGCGGGGAGAAGCTGTGGGGGAGGCTTGGTCAGATCCAGGACGAATTCGCGGAAGAGATTCAGGAAATATCGGTTCGGGAAAAGGCCTCTCGGAAAGCCAAGAGCGTGACCCAGGCAGCGGGCCAATTTCAAGGTGTGCCTGCTTTTGTTGTTCTCAAGGCTTTTGTGTTCTGTAGGGTGACACATTGTTCCTCGGTCTGCATGAAATGTTTTTTTGTAGACAGCCCCTGGGTCATCCGGAAGATGATGCCGTAAGTTGGGAGATGTCAATGCCAGCGGACAGGCGTGGGGACTAAACCCTGAACCCTTTTGTGAGCACTGGTGGGGCAAGGCAATGGAAATCTGCACAAGTGGATAAGGTGCCATGGTGCTTGACATATGTCGTCGTGACGCTGGCAGCCACGCATCACATGGTTGGTCATGCAGGCTACGTTACATGGGTTTGACTTATCGAGGGAGACTCATGCACACGCGGCATACCGAGATTTCAATGATCCTTACACGCGGCTTACCTGCCACGCTGGAAGCCTTGCGATCCACGATGCACACGATGCACTGAACGTGTCACGAAAAGTATCACTTGTTACACAAAAGCAGAGTCGCACGCATTCAAATTTCCCAACAAGGCATGCGCATGCGACATTGGGAGAGGGTAACATCGGCAACTTTCGCGCAGTGTTGCACCATGCAGCAAATCTCCAAACATGGGGGAGCGCATGCCAGCATGCCCAACACGGCAGCTCCAACTGAATGTGGCGTCGTTTCCAGTATTAGCAAGGCTGGGACCAATTTACAACTAGTTTTGTCTGTTGATCCTTATGGTGAATAGAAGGAAAGTATTAATGGTATGAACACCATCAAAAGCTTACACTCTCACCACAGGCTGCACAGCATGTTATGGTTGAAAAATGCACTTATCAGACAAGCCCTCCATATATTAGACGTTGCTTGGTTGTATTAGCAGATTGTGCTTAGTGTGTTCTCTCGGTTAAATGTTTTTTGAGGCGGGATTTTAGTGTTTTTATTGCATAATAGTACCTTAGAATATATGTTATTAGAAAATGTTTCTCTCATAAGCTGGCCTCTCGATATCAGGGTGATTCACCCTTATGACCCTTACTATAAGGGCGGGTTTTACGATGCACCCTTTTTTACAAGACTGGTTTTGTTTTCGACCCTTACCAAAAAAAGTGATCGATTGTATGACACTGATATTTCAGAGCTATGTGGTGTAGTAGCACTGATGAAATCGAGTTCGATCTAAGAGATGATACTAGGATTGGTCGCGTAAAACACATTTCCTACGTCGGATGACCCCGACAGGTAACGAAATTGGGTCCTCCACATAACAAAGATGACTCAACACATTGCAACACTAACACCCTACGTAGTATGTTCAGCAAAAATATGTGACAGTTTCTTTAATTTGTTTGCACCCTGATTTTTAAGAGCAGTTCCTGTGAAGCACCCTTACTGAAAGAGTAACAGCTGGGTGTTGGCCTTACGAGGAAGAGTACCCCAAATCCTATCCAGAGGCCTGCTCATAAGAATGGTAGGTTATGTGTAGTTGCATATAGTTAGCGTGTGAAAGAATTATTTCCGTTGCAGATGTTCCTCTTGAAGCGGGCAATGAGTAGCAATATCTCCCACAAATTTGGCACACTATTTGTGCCAATTGACTCTTGCCATGTCAGGCACAAATCGGGTGTAGAGCTTGTGGCACGTTCCTGACGCTGGCTTTCTGCTTTCTTGTAACGCTGGTACGGTATTTCCCTCCGTCTGACGAACGAATCGGACGGCTGAAAGGCTCAGGGAAGGAACGATGGGTGGGCTGGACGGTAGTAGAGCCGAGCAGGCAAACGGAGTGTAGTACATTCCAAAGCGGTTCTCTGCTTCGTTCCGTGGGTGCTAGGCGCGGTCCGTATCGTTGCCTCCACGTCGGGAAGCGGGAAAGTGCCAAAGCTTCCAATAACAGGCTTGCATGGAGTCTATGCTTCCTCCGCAATCTGACAGGCAGTGCCAAACTCTATATTGGCGGAACCAATTTTCCCGCACTGCGGGGAGTCTTCCCCCTCATACCTGCGCCTAACCTCCCACTCCGCTGCCGCCAAATTGACAAACCGATTTCCCCGCACGTTAACGCGTCGCCGTCGCTCCTCATTGCCCAGTTTCAAAAGCAATTTCCGCCAAGCAACAACAGATCATCAGACCGCGCTTGGGCGCAGGGCTTGTGGTGTGGTGTGGTGTCTGCCCGCTGCTCCACGCGCTCTGCCCCTCACGAATTTCACGCAAATAGCACAGGTGTGCGAGCTGGTGCTGAGGTGTCCGCCTCCTGGGTTTCATATTCTTTCGGCTTGCCCATTTTCGCCCAGCACGTAGTGTACTAGACTTTACATGTTATTCGTAACATATTGTCAGGTAAACTAGCCAATCGAAACCTCATTCATGAGCAGCACCCTGCGAAGCGTCTGAGGGTTTTGACCCACGGGCCGCAGCCCAAACCACAATCCTATGTTGGCGTCGCAGGCGAACTTGAGAGGCAAGATCTGGGAACCCCCCTCCTTCCCCCTCTAGCCCCGCACTCTCCGCTTCCCCCACCTGGGAACTTCCACTTGCCAAACTCCGTCATCCCGGCCCCGCCCCACACGGCACCCGCCCCGCTTCTCCCCCCGAAAGCGGGTTTCCGAGGTACTCATTGATTTTCCCGCGCTGACCGCCAGAACCCCCCAATCGCCACGCCACAAACCTGACCCCAAGCCTCACTGACCACTCACTGCAGAGGCCAGCTGCTACGGTGCTCCCTCAATCCCTCGACCCGTATCTCCCCTTCCCTCCAATTTTTTCCCCAACCTCTCCCCTCCCTCCCACACTCTCCCTAGCTCTCCCCCATCTCTCCACTCCTTCCAAACCCATTCCACCACTCCATTCGTCCCTATTTTCCCCTCCCCCCTCCCTCCCTCATCCAATCCCTCCTACCGTTCGCCTTGCCTCTTCAGAAGCTTCTTTCAGCTTCCTTTCCTCAACTTCCTCCAGCTATTCTTTCTTGAACCCCCTCCACCGCCAATTTTGCTGTTCCCCCCCAAGCCTCACCTGACCCCACTAACAGGGCCGTTGCTCAACCTAATACTAACCCTGTTTTTCCGATGAGCGCGGCCCGGTTCCGCGGTTCTTAGTACTACCTCTGAGCGGTGCGTGCTGTTTCTAACGTCGCGTTCTGAGCGTCTTTAAAATATGGAGGGAGTCTGGCTGCAGTCGCAACTTGGCTTACCGCTGACGAGATGGCGATGGCTGATGTGGCAACGAGGCGGTGGTCAAAGTCTGCCTCTCTCGTCGTTGCTGCTGCTCGCGCTCGTCTTTCTTTCCATGGCGGGTCCGCAGGTTGCGAGCTCCGTGTCATCGATTCAGTCGCTTCCGCTTCTGCTGTCACGTCCTGCTGCGAGCAACGAAACCAAGTTCACACCCGACCAGCACTCGACAAGGGGTTGCAATCCCCACTCAGGACCTGTACGCATCTATTTCCCCACCATTTCCTTACTACCGAATTTTTGTCTTGTTTCTTGTGAACCCCTTGTCTCATTATCTTTCTGTTTATCGTTTACGACGTCATTGAGAACTTGGGAAACGTTGAAAGAAAAATACTGCGTTCTGTGGTGTCGAGTCACGTAGTCGCAGGCATAAGGATTAGCATTCCTTTATTATACAATTTCATGTATTAGGTTTCGGCCTTTTCTTCTCCATGCGTCTTTTTCTTGACCTCGCCGCTGTTGTTCCGTTTTGTTGGTAACTATAGACTTCGGAAGCTGGCATAAACTCCTGCAAAACAGATGTGCAGCTTGATGTTACTGAAACGACAAGTCCTTACGCTTTTCCGACGGCAGTAGACCCCCATTTAAGCAGATCTGGAAGGTTCTTAGTTATGAGGTCAATCGTTTTCCTGAGTGTTTTTCGTTGCAGCCGCATCTTTGTAGATCGGTTGGGTCGTTCTGGTCGCTGTCGACCTGGTTTTGTGGATCGACTTCTTTTTTAATTTTCCCCTTTCCGTCCTTTCCGTCATTTTGGGTCCTTTCGTCACCTGCAGGTCTGCTCCAGCAATGGCAGGAGGTTCGCAGATGAATGCGAGGCCATGGCTGCGACGAAAGGCCGACTGACCGTTGGTAAGTGGGATCAGCCTCTGTGCTTTCATTTCATATGTGGTCAGGCTTCCGCAGTGATTTATCGTTGCTGACCTTGGTACTGGTTTTTTCATTTTTGCTTCTCGGTCGCGCTTTCAACTCTGCCTGTATGATTCTTACAACCCTGTTACCCTGCTTGCTTACCTGCTCGCCCTCTCACCAGGTCCCTGCACTGCTAAGCGGAACTTCGGCGCTGGCAGGAACACCATCAGCAGAACCATCCGCACCATCATCACCCACGTGTACCGCTCTTCAACTAACGCCACCACAAATACCAAGATCGTTTCCAGCAGCAGCAGCAGCAGCAGCAATAGTGAAGGCAGCCTAGATAGCAGGAGTAGCAGTAGTATGAGCGGCGGCAGCGACGGAAGCGTGGATGCAGATACCGTTAGTAGCTCTATTGTTTCTTCGGTAGGGGAGCCAACGCATGATGCAGCAGCAGCCAGCGTGCGCAAGTCGTTGGCTTCGCCGGTCAAGTGCTCGTCGACATGCCTCCGGCCTCACCCGTGCGTTTTCTCGCTCTTCCCTTTTTCGTCTAAGTTCATGCGTTCTCATCCCCTCTCCCCTCGTTCTATTGATTCATGTGGCGTCCCGAGCGAACAGTGAGGCGCGTGAAGGTTTTGATGAACAGTGGCATCATTGTCATGTCTTGCTTTCAGTAGCATGCCGTTTTCCTTTCAATAGTATGCCCTTTTCCTTTCCTTGCGCGTCTCTCCGCCCATACCTTTCTTTCCCTCGTTCCTCTCTCGTTTGTCCAACCTTCCCCGTCTCGCTGTACCGTTCCACGCATAACCCTTACCCGTTCCCCATTCTCCTTTCCTTTCCCGTTCCCCTCCGTTCCCCCCTTACCTTCCCCCTTTCACCCTCCAATACCACTTTATTTGCAGTGTGTGCGCCGAGAACGGCATTACCTACTGGTGTGGGGCTCAGGAGGCGCAGTGCGCGGGGGCGGAAGTGGCCTATGAGGGCACATGCTCTCCAGAAAGTGGAACTCCGGGGTTAAGTCCGCGGACGTGGGAGGGGTTGGTGCTGGCTCATCAATTGTGGATCCTTGTTGCCGCAGCTACAGTGCTAGCAGGACTTATGTAGTGAAGCAACATTAGCCTGGTTTCAAGTTAGTGGAAGATTACTGATAGCAGGATTTATCAGCTTTAAGATTAGTTTCCACCCACGGCAGTCAATCAGGTTGCAGCAATATCTAGGTCACGTAGTAATGCTCATCTGCTGTCTCTCCGTGCTGACAAATCGCCTGGTGGCCTTGGCAGCAATCTCTTCGGGCTCCACCTCCTTCGGGCTCTCCGCTTGCAAATCTAGAAGTGAGTATTGAAGCTTGTAATAACTAGGATGTAGGGTTATGCTGGATGTAGTCGTTGCAAAATTGACATAGGATTAACAATATTCGAATTGCTCTGCTCACAAACACTCATAAAATCGCCTCATATTGTGATTCTATCTGTTGATTGCATAATTTCAAGACATCATTCTAGGTGTAAATAAGAGAACAGCGTTCGCCCTTTTTTAGCCAGGAAACTACTCGATCTGCCTAACCTAATCACACACACAATCAGCTACCAGCGTGCTTCACTCGCCATTCTCCTTCCCAAAACCCTCCGCTGGCTTTCCTTCCGGCAGTTCCTTCTGTGGTAGAAGCGTGTCCACAGCAGCGCAGTGCGGAGATGTCGCGCCGGCAGCTTGCAGCTTCATGCAGCATTCGTGCAGGCGACGAATAGGGGAGGTACATCTGAACGAGAAAGAAGCGAGGAGATGTAATAATACGTGCAAATGGAGATGGATAAAGAACGGGTTGCGCACAGCAATTAGGACTCGGAACGCTGGTACGGCAAACGCGCCAAGTCTAAAAGAAACGCGAGTGGATTCTGACAACTGAAAGCGAGCGACATTAGTAAACGGGGTCACGACCTGCTGGATTGGTAGTCGTTGCGCTTCAGGCATGACTGAATGGCGCAAGCGCGCGGCTTGCAGCCTTTGAGCTCCGCGATACTCGGAGGCGGGGATTTGCTTGCTGCCATAGCTCAGCTGAAGACGACCAGGAACCAGCCGCCATGGGGTGGCTGCGTGACGAAGCTAATGCTAGCGTTCCTCGATTCCACAGAAATCGCCATCGAGCTTCATTAGTTGTTAGGCTAAGTAACACTAACGACTCGATGTATGTGGCATGAATATTACAGTTTACGAGTTGTAAGCGTATCGAGGCAGCGAGAACAGGAACATTGGGCTCTCCCTCCTGTATGCTTACGGAGAACTCGCTACAGCTGGAAACGTGGTTGGATAGAATGCACACTTCGCAATTGGATAGAATTGAATAGAATTGGAGCTCCTTTCCAATTGGCAAAAAAAACATCATCAGGCTGGGAAATCTGCACCGCCCTCCACCACATCCCACCGTTCCACTCTTCCACATATTGCAAACAAACTACTGTTACTCACATACCACTCTGTCTGACTTTGCATGCACTATCCCGTGACTTATGCGATACCTATCGTGACTTCACATCCGCAATCCCAGTTATCACACAGTTTAGCTAACTCACAAATACCCCTCTTCTCGAATTCCGTGAAACCCGCGCTTCGTGAGCTCGTCGCGGATGCGAGTGCGCGGAAAGCCATGTCTGGCAAACCAAGCTCGTTCGACAAAGTGCGCGGCGGAAAGCTGGTCTTCAAAGGAGTCGGCGACGTCAGCAAGCTAATCAAGAAGAAGAAGCACAAAAAACACAAGAAATCAGCGGACGCAGAAAACGCCGCGGCAGGAGGCGGGGAGGGAGGAGCCGCGGAGGGGGGAGAAGCGGTAGGAACCGAAGGAGAATCAGGCCAGGGGGGTGCAGAGGAATACGACACGGGAATAGGGTTCGCGCCTGACGGTCGCAAAAAGACTCCGAAGTATGAAGAAATGTTTCCGTTTGAGACGGTACGGTATTCGTACGCACAGCCGGGGAAGGTGAAAACGCGGGAAGAGGCGCTGGACGAGAGATCGAAGAAGAAGGCGGATAAGTACTGCAAGTGACGAGGATTTGGATTGGAAGATCTTACCAAGTGCGTTTTTACTAGCGGAGTTAGGTTAGCTACGGGTACCATGAAAGTAGTACCTAGTGGTTGTAGTGGAAATGCTGTTTGTGTGCCGCGCCGGTAGTGTTGCCTGCCGCCATGCCATGCTCTTGTGTTTTGATATTCTTCCTGAGATATCTCAGGGACCAGGTGCCTGCCTAGTTTAGAGCATTCTGAGATACCTTAGGTGCCTGCCTAGTTTAGGAGCGTGGGAATTGGGATGCTCCGAAGGATTGTTGCTACGGTAACAGATACCGTGTTTCTTTGTTTCCATGGAGTTGCTCCTGATCACCTTCAGGGTTACTGACAGCGAGGGGGAAATCCAGAAAGGCAGAAACACTCGTGGATGCTGTGTTGTTGATCAACTAGTACCTAGCAGCAGTACCAGATCATGTGCTGTATCTAGTAATATCAATTTCCTTCGCACCAATCACACCAGCCAACACTCCCCCCCCCCCCCCCCCCCCCCCCCAAAAAAAAAAGATAACCAAGAGCCACTGGCAAAGCTCAACTCCCAGCCTTCCTCGCCTCTCAGCCACTCATGATCTTCAATCGATCTCATTCCCTCTCAGTCACTGTCACTCTCTTCCCCAACTGACCCCATCTGTCAAGTCAACAATCTGTAACCATCACCTCCTGCCTGTCCTGCCCTGGCAGCCACAGCACTGGCTTGGCCTTTCTTCTCACCGCCGGCCGCTCACATCAGCAGCAGCATCAGCCACCCTTCGCTTCCGAAGCTTCTTCTTTCTCCGCCTGCGAGTCTTTCTCTTTACCCCATAGCTGCTGCTGCTGCTGCTGCTGCTGCTGCCACTGCCGCTACCCTCGTCCCCACTCCCTCCCTCAGACCCTACCGTTGCAGCCTCCGCAGTTGAACTGGTGATACCACTGCTGCTGCTACTGCTGCTTTCAGGATTGAAACTGTTTGGGCCACTCTCACTCTCCTCACTGCTTCCTTCGCCAGCACCACCAAAACCCACAGCACCATTCGCAGCAGCACCATCCCCATCTGCATCCGTCTCAGAGCCAGAGGTGGCAGCATCGGCACTGCTACCTTCACTAGGACTAGCATCATGGTGGGTGGAGTCTTCGCCAGCAGTCTGATCAGCAGTGTCACCATCAGCAGCACCACCATCAGCAGCACCACCAGCAACAGAACCATCACCATCAGCAGCAGCATCGCCAGCAGCAGCACCGTCACTTTCGACGAAACTGCCGCTGCCACCAAAGCCACTGCTGCCAGCGCTGCTATCACCGCCACTGCCGATGCTGCTGCTACTGTCTCTATCAACATCAGACCCCTCAGCATCTCTTGAGGTTAGACGAGAGCCAGAATCAGCACCACTGCCAGTGCTGCCACTGCCACCGTCACTATTGCTGCCGCTGCCACTGTCGCTGCCGCTGCCACCGGCCCCACTGCCGCTGCCACCACTCACCCCGTCAGCAGCAGAAGTGAGCGCGTGAGTAGTCTGCAGCATCGCACCAACGCTCTCTGCTATACTCTCCGCTAGTGTGTGTACCTCTGGCTTTCCTTTCCCCCCACCATCCGCCTCCTCCCCTACCCTCCCCGCTCGCATTCCCCCCCCATCCTGCCCTGGCATCCCTGTTTCTGGTCCTATACCTGTAGCTAGAGAAGTGGAAGGAGAAAGCATGCCAGATGTTGATCCGTTTAGGAACCCTAATTCAGCACCAGCAGCACCAGCAGCGCCAGCAGGATAGGTGGAGGCTGCAGGGGTGAGGACGATGGTTCGGCGGTGCATGGAGCGATAGAGGAGTGCGAGGATGAAGAGGTGGAGGAGCAGAGTGTAGAAGAATACAAAGGCACGGCCATACTTGTTTGTCAGCAGGAAGCGGCTGCTGTTGAGAGTGATCTGTGGTATTTTGTGGAAGGGCGATGGGGGGGGAAGGGGAGGAGTGGGGGTGGGAGTGGGGAGAGGATGTGAAGCGAGTGGAGGTAGGGGAGAGGATCGGGGAGGGAAGGGGGAGCGGGAAGGGGGACAGGGAAGGGGGAGCGGGAAAGTGGACAGGGAAGGGGGACAGGGAAGGGGGAGCGGGAAGGGGGACAGGGAATGGGGAGCGGGGAAGGGGACAGGGAATGGGGAGCGGGAAAGGGGGACAGAGAAGCCGGAGGGGAAAGGGATGGGGTATTTGAGAGGGTCCCTCATGTGATCTCAAATCGACTCAAGTCCCCCTGTTTCAACCACCCCCATTCTCAACTCTCCCCATTCCAGCTCTCGCAATTTTCAGCTCCCCCATTTCAAGCTCTCCCTCATTTCAATCCCCTCCATTTCAAAAACATTCCCTGTTACCTTATCGTGGAGGCGCAGGTTCCGGTAGCTCTTTCTCCTGCTCCCTCTGTTGAAACTGCGTGAAAGGATTCATCTTCTCTTCATAGAGCTTCCTGTATCTCACTTCTAATGCGCCCTCTGCTTTTGACGTGCCTCACCTCAAGCATTCCCTGCTGTCTCAACTCTGTTACCTTATCGTGGAGGCGCAGATTCCGGTAGCTCTTCTCCTGCTCTCTCTGATGGAACTCCGTGAAAGGATTCATCTTCTCCTCATACAGCTTTCTGTACCTCACTTCCGCTGCCCCCACCGGCCCCCCTGCTCCCCCTGCCCCTGCCCCTGCCCCTGCCCCTGCCCCACCCCAGCCACCAGCAGCAGCCATCCCTGCTCCTCCTGCTCCTGCGCCTGCTGCCCCGTCTCCCAAATCCGGAGCATCAGATACGCCAAAGCACGCATATCTAGCCGCGCGTGCTCCTGCAACCCCTGCGAAAATCACCACATCAGACGCAGACGGCCCTGCTCCCCCCCCTGCCCCTGCCCCCACCCCTACCCCTCCGTTCCTTCCCTGCATGGAGCCCCGCATCCCTCCCCCTCCTACTCCTCCTCCTCCTCCTCCCTCCCCTCCCACTCCTGCTCCACCCCCCCCTGCTCCTGCTGCTCCGAACGAGCCTGTCGCATCATCATCATCATCTCCCGAAGGGGAGAGCTTGCGCATGGGAATAGAGGAGCGGTGGTTGTACTGCTCCAGGAATCGGATCTTCTCGTATAGCGCCAAGTTGTCGCTTGTCACTCGCTGGGTCTCGAGGTTTGCACGGCCTGGCAGGGTGGGGAGAGGTAGAAAGTGGGGAGGGAAGAGGCGGAGGGAGTCCAGGAGGGAGAGAGTGAGAGAGAGATAGCGGCGGAAGGAGAGGAAGAGAGAGTGGGGAGAAGGGAAAGGGGGAGAGGGGAGGGGTGGGAAGGAGGGAGGGTGAATACAAGAGGAGAGCAGGGGGAGAGCTTGCGCATGGAATAGAGGAGCGGTGGTTGTACTGCTCCAGGAATCGGATCTTCTCGTATAGCGCCAAGTTGTCGCTTGTCACTCGCTGGGTCTCGAGGTTTGCACGGCCTGGCAGGGTGGGGAGAGGTAGAAAGTGGGGAGGGAAGAGGCGGAGGGAGTCCAGGAGGGAGAGAGTGAGAGAGAGAGATAGCGGCGGAAGGAGAGGAAGAGAGAGTGGGGAGAAGGGAAAGGGGGAGAGGGGAGGGGTGGGAAGGAGGGAGGGTGAATACAAGAGGAGAGCAGGGGGAGAGCTTGCGCATGGAATAGAGGAGCGGTGGTTGTACTGCTCTAGGAATCGGATTTTCTCGTATAGCGCCAAGTTGTCATTCGTCACTCGCTGGGTCTCGAGATTCGCACGGCCTGGGGAGGGGGGAGAGGTAGAAAGGGGGGAGGGAAGAGGGAAGGGGATGGGGCAGGGGGATGAGTGGAGGGAAGGAGAGGAGGGAAGGAGAGGAGGGAAGGAGAGGAGGGAAGGAGAGGAGGGAAGGAGAGGAGGGAAGGAGAGGAGGGAAGGAGAGGAGGGAAGGAGGGAGGGAGCCTCACTAAGCTGTTCTTGCCGACAAACCCAACCCCCTCTGCATCCTTCAAGAGCCCTTCCACCTGCCCAAGCTTCCCTCCTCTCCCACCCTTCCCCAAGCGTTCCACATCTTCACTCACTGAGTTGCTCTTGCAGGGAGCCTGTCTGTTCCTCCAGCTCCTGCACTCGCCTGCGGAACCGCTCCCGCTGATCGCACACAATCAGCAGCATGTCCCGCTGCCCCTCCTCTGCTCCCGCCCCCGCCGCCCCCCCTCTCCCTCCCCCTCCATTACCCACTCCCTCACTCCCCGCCAACCCTCGGCCTCCCTCTCCTCCTCCTCCCCCTCCTCCTCCTCCATCTCCCCCACCTCCCAGCAGAGAAGCCATTGCTGCAGCCGTCCCTTCTGCCCCTCCTCCCCCTCCGCCCAGAAACCCCCCCTTCTTCTTCCCCTGCCCGCCCGCCCCCGACTGCACGAGAATCTCTCGAATCGACCCGCTCCCAGCAACGATGTCTTCTTCCAGTCGCTGCACGAGCGCACGCAGCTCACTGCACTCCTCCTCTAAGGCCACCATGCGGGCTGCTTTCTCCTCGGCTTCTAAGCGGCTTTCAGAGAGGGAGATGCGTGTGGCTGTGAGCTCTGCCATTAGCCGGCGGTTGCTCTCCCGCAGTGCTGCTTGGATTCGCTGCTCCTCTGTCAGTAAAACTCCCCCTGCTGCTGGTGCTGCTGCCCCTCCTGCTCCTCCTGCTCCTGCGCCTTCTCCCTCCCCTCCCTTGCCTTCTCTTTCTTCCCCTCCTGCTGCTGCTGGGAGTGCGTTGGCTGCAGCGGCGGAGGAGGAGGAGAGGGTGGAGGAGAGCTCTGCACCGTCGATATCATCCACCTCTGCGCCTGCTAGTGCCTGGAATGGAAGGGCGGGTGTAAGAGAAGCGGGAGTGGAAGCAACGTGAGAGGAGGGGCTTGCTTTTGAGGCGCCTCAAAAGGAGGAAGAGAGATCTGCACCGTCGATATCATCCACCTCTGCGCCTGCTAGTGCCTGCAGAGGGGTTGGAAAAGAGGCGGGAACGGAAGCAACGTGAGGAGGGGGAGGGGGGGGGGAAGGGGGGGGTTGAGGCGCCTCAAAAGGAGGAAGAGAGCTCCGCACCGTCGATATCATCCACCTCTGCACCTGCTAGTGCCTGGAAACACGGGTGGAGTTGAGGAGCAAATGGGGGAACAGAAGGAAAGGGGGAGAAGAAAGTGAAACGAACTGGTAGAGGCAAGCAGCAAACGGGGACGAGAAAGTACTCACTCACCCACTCACCAACCCACCCACAGTACACCCCCACCCAGCCCCCCACCCAACCCCCCACCCAGCCGCCCACCCAGCCGCCCACCCAGCCGCCCACCCAGCCCCCCACCCAGCCCCCCGGCAGCACGCAGATCTGCTGCCCCAGCTCCTCCACCTGTGATGAGTCGAATTTTGAGTCGGTGTGATGAGTCGAATTTTGAGTCGGCGTGTGATGAGTCGAATTTTGAGTCGGCGTGTGATGAGTCGATTTTTTAGTCGGCTCAAAAATCGACTCATCACCCCCGGCAGCACGCGGATCTGCTGCCCCAGCTCCTCCACCTGTGGCCCCTCCTGTGGCCCTGCCTGCACCCATGCTGTTCTGTCCCCTCCGCTCCCCCCCACCCGCCCCCCTCCCAGTTCCCCTCCCCCTCCTCAACAATGCCACCCCCTGCACCACCTGCAGCACGCGGATCTGCTGTCTCAGCTCCTCCACCTGCGCGGGGGACGCCCGCCCCTGCAGCTCCGCCTGCACCTGCTGCACCTGCGCCTCCCTCTCCGCCACCTGCTGCTGCGCCCAGGTGTGCCTGTCTCGAGTCGACTCAAAAGTGTGCTACAGGCGACTTTTGAGCCGACTTGAAAAAAAGAAACACCCCCACATAACTGTATCCATCAGAAACCTCCCTCCTCCCCCCCACTTCCCCCCCCACCCAACCCCCCGTTTTTTCCCCCTCCACCCCCCCCTCCACCCCCCTCCTTCCCCCTGCCCCACCTGCAGCACGCGGATCTGCTGTCTCAGCTCCTCCACCTGCGCGGGGGACGCCCGCCCCTGCAGCTCCGCCTGCACCTGCTGCACCTGCGCCTCCCTCTCCGCCACCTGCTGCTGCGCCTGCTGCAACGCCTGCTCCCATTCCTCCCTCTCGCGCTGGAGTGGTTGCAGACGGGAAAGGGGTGGTGCGGGAAAAGAGATGGTGACTTAGAGTCGACTTAGAACGTCACTCGAACGCGAACAAACCGGGGGAAGATACACGAACACGGGCTGGAAGCACGAACAAACCAGAGATTTTGCTCATTCAAAAACGAGGGAGAAGGGGTGGATGGAAAGGGAGTCGGGAGAAAGGGGAAGGGAACGGGGGAAAGGGGGAAGTCGGAAAGGGGAAGAGGGGAAGTGGGGAGGGAGGAACGGGACGTCCAAAAAGGGAAGCAGGGAGATCTTCTTTGACAGTAGACGTCCGATGAAACATATGCAGTGCAGTGCAGCAGCAGTCGATGTACCTGCAGCGTCTCTTGCATCTGCTGCAGCTGCATGTGCAGGCGAGACACAAGCCTCTCCTTAGCCTCTTCAGGTTCCTCTAGCACAGACACAGACGCAGCCACAGCTTCTGATGTCGATGCTGATGCTGATGCTGGAAGCAGTACAGGGGACTTGGCCGAACCACCCCCTTCCCCTGCTGCGGCTGACTCTGCTGCAGCGGAGGCAGAATCTTCTGCTGCAGGAGTGGCAGAAGCAGGGCGAAGAGTGGGCGAAGCAGCAGCAGTAGCGGTAGCAGCAGAGAGCCGCTTTTCCAGCATGCTCACACGGGCCTGGGGTGGTGATGAGGAGTCGGGGAGGGGCAGTGGAGGGGGAAGGCGGGAAGGAGAGGCGGGATTGGATACGGACAGCACAGCTAGGGAAAAGGAGGACCGGGGGACGGCAGACGGGAAAACGGGGCAAGGGGAAAAGGGGAAACGGGGAAGGGCTAGGGGAAAAGGGGAAAGGGGGAAGGGCAAGTGGAAAAAGGGAAAGGGGGAAGGAAAAGGGGAAAAGGGGAAGCGGGAAAGGGCACGGGCAAAAGGAGAAAAGGGGAACAGCGGCTTCAGGAGAAAAGGGGGAAAAATGCCAAAAAAATTATGACCATGTTCGTCAAAAAATGCTTCCTTCCCTCCTCCCTCCCCCCTTTTCCCCCCCAACCTTAGCGTTTGTTCCCCATCTCCACTCATTCCACCGGATCCCACCGCATCCCACCTGGCTGCGTTCGAGCTCCTCCATAAGCCCGTCAATCTCGTGCTGCTTGCTCGCCCTCTCCTCCTCCATGCGCGCATTCGCCTCAAACACCACTCCCTGCATCGCCTCGTTCGCCCTCTGAGAGGTGGATAGAGAGAGGGGGGGAGGGGAGAAGGGGAAGGGGAGTGAGGGGTTGGTCTGAGACGCCTCACGACTTGTAAGCTCGCCCTCTCCTCCTCCATGCGCGCATTCGCCTCAAACACCACTCCCTGCATCGCTTACTTCGCCCTCTGGGATAAAATGGGAGGGAGGGGTGGGGGAGTGGGTAGAGAAGAGGGGGGAAACGCGTAAGGGGGGGAGGGACGGGAGAAAATTGGGGGAGCAGGGAAGCAGGTGCTATTGAAATATTTAAAAGCACACGCAAATTCCTATACCCTGAGAATTCTCAGAACATATACCCTTCCTCCCCCTTCCACACCACCCCCAAAGCCTACCCCCCTTTCCCCTCCGGTTCCCCCTCATTTCCCCATGCCCCCCCTTTGTTCCGCCTGCCCACCTGCATGGCGGCCAGGTTCTCAAGCCCCTCGCGGATGCGCGCCTCTAGGTCCGCCTCGCGCTGGCGGAACACCAGCATGCGCGCCTCCATCTCCCCCGCCCTCTCCTCCAGCGCCTCCCGCACCTTCTCTGTCAGGCGCTCCTCCTGCACCGCACAGCACCGCATGGCACCGCACGGCAGTGCAGAGCAAAGCGCAGGACGCAGCAGCGCGCCAGACAACACCAGGGAGAGGGAGGGAGGGAGGGAGGGAGGGAGGGAGGGAGGGAGGGAGGGAGGGAGGAAGGAGAGGGAGGGAGAGAAGGAGGGAGGGAGGGAAAGATGGGGAGTGTGGGGACAGACGAAGTATGGTTACTTGGAAAATCAGGGTGATGAAGAAAACGAAAGTATGGCACTTGCAGTCCCACGTACACCTAGCCAAGAGCATCATTTACTACCAAGCACACATGCACACATGCACACTCAACATGCGCCACCACACTCGCCTCACACCTTGCACACAACAGCTACACGCACATGTGCACGTTCACATACACCCAGCCACCCCACCCCACCCATCAGACATCACATGCCCCCCCCCCCCTCCACAGCAAACATCAAACATAGGCGTACGTACCAGCTCTGTGTTTCGCTCCTGCAGGCGATGCAGTGACGCCTGCAGCGCCTTGCCTGCTGCTGCTGCCTGTCCGCACGCACACATGCACGCTCACAAGGCCCCGCCACAACACACACATTGCACACGGCCACTTGCACCCATGACACACACAGACCACACATGGACGTACCAGCTCTGTGTTGCGCTCCTGCAGGCGATGCAGTGACGCCTGCAGCGCCTTGCCTGCTGCTGCGTCCGCACGCACGATCTGCCGTGGGGCCATGGAGAATGGCGATGGGGGGCGAGGAGGGAGGTGCAAGGGGAGGTGGGAAGGGAGGTGGGAAGGGAGGTGGGAAAGGAGGTGGGAAGGGAGGTGGGAAGGGAGGTGGGAAGGGAGGTGGGAAGGGAGGTGGGAAAGGGAGGGAGACGGGGAGGGGAATCATTAATTCAATTTAATAACCGAGGCGTCGTGGGGGCATGGGGTGGCGAGGGATGGATTGAATGTAGGAAAGGACAGGCGTCTGGCCCCTCTTTCTTCCCCCCACCCCAGCATCCCCCCCCCCCTTCCGTTTCCCCCATTCCCCCCTTTGCCCCTTTTCCCTTTTCCCCTCTTCCCCACTTTCTCCCTCTTCCCCCTTTCCACCTCCCTCTATTCCCCTCCTCCCCTCACCCCCCCCTCCCCCCTCCCTTTCCCCCTTTATCCCAGTCACCTCCATCTCCTGCCGCAGCCGCCGCGCCTCCTGCTCCGCGCCGGCGACGCGCGCCGCGACGGGCACGAAGGAGCGCAGCAGCGGCAGCACGTCGGGCGCGTCGTAGAGCGCCTGGTACACGCCCAGGTACGCGCTCTCCGCGTGCTTCGCGCGCTTCGTGATCGAGTCGATCTCCGCCTGCGCGCGCGCGCGGATGCGGGGAAGGGGAAGGCGGAGGAGGGGGAGGGTGGGTGGTGGGAGGAGGGGGGAGGGAGGGAGATGGGGAAGGGAGGGGGGGCGAGGGGGGTAGGGGGGAAGGCGGGAAAGACGATTGTGAGGTTGGGAGGAGAAAAGATCTACAGGGGGATGAAAAAGCACGATGTACGAAGGAGCGCAGCAGCGGCAGCACGTCGGGCGCGTCGTAGAGCGCCTGGTACACGCCCAGGTACGCGCCCTCCGCGTGCTTCGCGCGCTTCGTGATCGAGTCGATCTCCGCCTGCGCGCGCGCGCATGTGCGGAAGGGGAAGGGGGAGGGCGGGGGATGGGGAGGGTCGGGGATGGGAGGAAGTGGGGAAGGGAGGGGGTGGCGGGAAGGGGGGAAAGCGGGGGAGTTGGGAAGTTAAGTGGAGAAGTAAGTGGTGGAAGAAGAGAAAGATAGAAAATTTGCCCTTTTTTAGGCTTCCAACAACTTTCACAGACACTTGACACAGTCAAAGTTGCAACCCTAAGAAGTGAAAAATCGCCTGATATCGGGCACTGCAACGTTCGCGCAAACATCGACTCAAAACACAAAGCCGGCATTCCTCTTGCCTTCTCTCCGTCACCTGGTAAGCCTTGAGCAGCGGTGCAAAATCCTTCTTCTCCCCGCCGCTGCTCTTGAACGCTTTCGTCTGCTCCGCGAGCGACCGACGGTTCTTCGAACTCGTCTCCTGAAACTGCGAAATTGTTAACCCTAACGCGTCCCACCCGGATTTCTTCCCCTCCAGATCGATTTCCTCCCACGCCGCGAGCACGCGTTTCGCGGCGTCGATCGCGGAAGGGGGGAGGGTTGCGTCTTGGAACGCCTCCATGTCTTGGAGGAGCGACGCGGTGGCGGAAGCGGCGGCGGCGGACGTGCCGCCAACTGCGGCGGCGGCTGCGGCGGCATCCGCGCTAGAGGAGGGGAACTCGTTAAGGGACGAATCGAGTGCGTCTATAGCCTTTGAGAATAACTCATCCATGGCGAATTGCTGGAAAGCCGGACCGTAATGGTGTAAAGGTAAGAGCTGGGGTATTGGGAGATTAGATGGATGGAACACGGGTTGGAACTAAGAATGAGGACGGCGATGGATAGGAAGGTCTAAGAAAAGGCTCGGCTTTGTCGCTTCGATTTGTGGCAAGGAAGACGATGTTAGCTAAATGGCCGCAGAACGAGCAATGGCCGCAGCGGCAATGACGCAAGGGAAGTCACTCAAGAGTCGTTACGAGCCCCTGAGCAACGACGCTCGCCACCTCGTAGCAGGAGGTGGTAAGCTCCATGCCATCTTGCGAGGAACATAAATTTTGGAAAGTCATCACGGGAACTGGTTCATATATGTAGGAGCCATGACACTTCAACCAATGCGTTGGTTGGTGGGATATGTAGGTGGGTGGGTGACTGCTGAGGGGTGGGGGTGGGAGAGGGAGGGACGAGAGGAGGAATTGAGTGGTGACCGTTGGCTAGTGGGCTGTCGCTTGATCAGAATCCTTACAGGGCTGAGCTGGCCTGAAACGAGCCCTGAAATATCGGGAAAGCAGCCCGATCAAGCCCTTGAAATTCAAGCCATTTTGATTCCTGCTCTGAACCACTCGGGTAGAAACCTAAGTTATTCTAGCGACCTGCTTTTCTCAGCAAATCACGCTGGGGAGGAATAGGGAGGGTAGAAGGGGGGTCGTTGTTGGGAGGGAATGGAGACGGGCATGTCCACGGTCTTAGGTCAAGAAGGAGAGGGGAGGGGTGGAGGGGACGAGCAGGTGGTGTCCGTAGTTTTGACATGTGAAGTTTATGCGTGTCAACCCGACGCGCGCATGATTTTGCGTGTCAATCACTGTACAATCAGTGTCAACCCGAAGCGCTTGTGCGAACAGCAAAGATGCAAGCTTATTCGTTGGAACACCTAGTGTTCCCAGATGATTCGCCCACGTCCGATGTAGCGAAAAGAATCAACTAGCTGTCAGGGGTCGGTGCGTTGTTATTGGGTACTAGGGGTGATCAGATTTGCTGATGCGACGACTATGGTTGGTTCGCTGGTATGGACTGCGTCAGAAGCGAAAATGTACGACTGGCTAACAATCTGCGAAATTTTGACACTCTGCCAACAATGTTGGTAGTGTCAAAACGGAAGATTGACACTGGCGATTTTGACATGTCAAAACTACGGACGAGCCCTGAACATACGAGGAAATCTGGGAAAAGCTCCAACCCCATCCGAAGATTCTTCCACACCCTTCAAGTTGTAGGATATTCTTTAAAAGGAGGTGTATTTGTACGGGTAGAAGTACGTAAGAGGTAGTCTTCTAAACGACTCCGATATACCAAGGTTCTACTGTCAAAAACTGAGCTATAACAAGGTATTCTTGTGACGGAATTTGTCGAACATCGAAGTTTCTTCCACACCCTACAAAATTGTTCATGTCAAAATTATCCCTCCCTGGGACTGCCCACACTTTAGTGACGTATTTGTGGAGAAGCACTTTACGGACGAATTTCACAGGTCCGTGGGTCAGGCACGGAATTATAGCCAAGAACCCCATAATGACGGTGGGCTATGATATATAATGAGATGTATTTAAAAGGGTACAAAGACGTGACGGGTAATCTTCTAAACGACTCCGTTATAAGAAGGTTCAAATGTCGAAATCAAAGCCATAGGGAGGTATTATATTGACGGGTTTGTCGAACACCTGAGGACCTTCCACACACCTCAAATTTTTCATTCCGAGGGATTTCCCACTCTTCAGTAACGTATTGTGGAGGAGCGCTTTACGAACGATTTCCACAGGTTCGTGGATCAGGCACGGTGGTGCGTGCGGCGGAATCATAGTTTGTCCCCATAACGAGGTTGGGCTATAATTTTCAAAGGAGGCGTAATTTAAAGAGTACAAGTACGTGACGGGTAATCTTCTAAACGACTCCGTTATAAGAAGGCTCTACTGTAAAAGACAAAGTTATAACGAGGTATTTCAATGACGGTGTTTGTCGAACAACGGAAGATCTCGACACCCTTCAAATTGTTTCAACTGTTTTTCTCACCCCTTTCAGGATTTCCCACTCTCAGAGAATTTCAATCTTCCTACTCTGCACTTTAAAAACGAATTTCGTATCAGCAAGTTGCATAATGAGTTTTTCGACCCCTCTAGGATTTTTCTCCCCATGCTGTCCGTTACAGCCAGGTTAAAACCAAATCTGAAAAATTTCTGAACTGATACTAAACTAACCCTGAATTCTCAGGGAAAACGGACAAATGTCCGTATCGACTGGTATCAGTGGGTGGGGTAATGAAAGCGAGAACATTGGGTGGAAGCCTTTTCTGTGCGTTTACTCGGTTTCGAAAGCGTTTCTGCGAGTTGTTTCACGGTGAAGCTTGGTGACGCCGCTTTTGTGGCTGTGGAAACGCCGTTTTTGGGAACTTCGTTTCTCGTTATGCTTACACTCGGTGAAAGAACAATCGCCTATCACGTGTACGGGGCTATCTATGAGATATGTTTTACATTAGTGAAGAATGTTTTCACCTATCTAACTCATGGAGTGGAGGCTTCACCGTACAGTATCTCCCCCCGAAGTGACATAACTCAAGTGTTGAAGGAACACTACTCATAAGCTCGCACGTGGCGGATAAGCACGACGCCAGAGCTCCACCAACCCCAAATCTTGCTCACACGCAGACCGCCATGCCTCGCCAAACTCCCTCGCCAGCGAACATTTGTACGATCCAGCTCGTCGCACCGCGCATTCCGATTTCGCCAACTACACCAGCTACCTTGCCCAGTTTCTTCAATTCCCCCGTTCGCTCTCCCCAATGCTTCTGCCTCCGTTTGCGTGTCGGTGCTGTCATCGATTCCTGTCTCCGCGCATTCGACGGACGCGAACGCGTCGACGATTCCAGCTTAGTAGATTCCGTGATACAAAAACGAGCCAGCAACCGTTGAGTTCTCATCCGTCTCTTTTCACCTCCTGCTTTCTCGCATAGCTCAGCCAGTTTATTCTCTTCTCGCCTCCGTTGCGGGACTTCTCGCATCCTTTTCTGTTACTCATTAATCTGGCTGTGACAACCATGTACGGCGGCGGTCGCGGCGAGGGGAAGCACATGCTGCCCAGTCAGCGGTACCGGACCAGGTAGTCATATTTGCCTCATTCAACCTTCTTGTCATTGACGGTCGCTGGAACGTCTAGGCGGTACTTTCGCGGTAACGAGATATGTTGGTAGCACCTTATCGTGATTGTAACTATCTTCTGTTTCTTGCATGAATCTTCTCTTTCCTCGTCCTCCAGGGATATCCTCTTCCTGCTGGGTACCCTTGGCATCGCGGGTACCATAGCAACGGTTGTAACTGCCACTACAGTTATCGGCGGAGGCGGCTTTCTCCTCCTTATATCGCCGCTCCTGTTGCTCTTCTCCCCGATCCTCGTCCCGCTCGCCATCTTTGGCACCGTCGTTGGAGGTAAAAATTATCATTTGGGGAACTGATTTCCGGCTTGCTCGATTTGGTTATGCGATTCATTCATTTCAGTTGCTACGTGCCTACAATTCTGGCAAGCTACTCATGGTGTTCGGACCTGTTACAAACTTCACATCCTGCTGTGGTTTCAGGTGGAGCTCTCTTCATGGCGACGATGACTGCTATGGGAGTGGGTTCGCTCGTGTGGTTCATCAACTACATGCGCGGGAAGAAGCCCATTGGAGCAGAGTCGCTGGATTACGTGGCAGGTGGCGTGAAGGGCGCAACGGAGTATGTGGGTGACAAAGTGAGCCACGTCACGCACTCTGCTTATGAGGGCACGGCTAGGGTTCTCGGGACTGGAGGAGGGCCCACCTGGCAGGAGCAGCAGTACAAGACTTCCTCTGCTGCTGCCTAGAGAATAGTGCTGGAAAGGGTTTTGAACATGTGTACATTCTGTGTATAGCATACGTAGCAATTTGTAAGGAATTACAATTCCTTACTGTACTCGCATTTTAGCGAGTACAATCCGAACACCACGCGTCAGCCCGGTTCGGCCTACATTTCCGCCCCGAACCACCTCCGAGTCGCCACCGCTCCAATCGCAACACTTTCCGAGCCATCCTAGCCCGAACCCTTCGCCTAGCTAGGATTCTCCTTATAAATTCGCGTCACTTTCATTGTATCGTCATTCAGTAGTCATTCATTCTCGATATTCGTTTTACTGCGCACTCTGCAAGTTCATTCATAACACAATTATATATTGCAATGAAAGCAATTTCTGTGTATATGACTGTTCCTGACGTACGTTTCCTGTTTCCTTTACCGTTCTTGCTCTATGAGCAATAAGGAAAGTGGTCATTCATGTGTTTGATATATTGTAATTTTCATAAGCAAAAGTGGTATGGAATACTGGTTTGAGTACGAGTTATCGAATTGAATAGATTAACACACTAGCGACCAACCAACTACCAACCTCCTCGCCTCGTATGCATGTCTTGTGCACTCCACTCGACAAAATTCACCGCCTACCTAACGCGACTCGTCTCCACATCTAAAAAGGAAAGTACCAAACACGTCGCGAAGATACTTCAGTACCTGAAAAGTGGTTGGACGCTCTTAGTACATTAGTTCTGGCCCTGTCAACTTGACATAGTTCTACCCTTTCCGCAAAGCGCGCCGCCACTGCGCGTGCCGCGTCGTTTGCAAATTCTCCACATATAACGCTAGAGGCTTGTAACACCGTGACTGGTTCCCCAAACTGGAAACACCAAGGCGGGTAACGCCAACGCGGGTAACACCAAGGCCGGTAGCACCAAGGCCTCGACGACCAGCAACGTTTCTGCGTCCCGATGTCATCGCCCACGTGGAAACAGCCCGGCGTCAGCGGCGCCGCGGCAGCAGCGGCATTGGCGGCGCTCCTCGTGCTGCTTTACTGCCTCTCGCTCTTCGCCGGCGTGCCGCTGCCCGGGCTCGGCTCCGCGGGTTGCGCGCAGCAGCAAAGGTGGGATATAGTGTGGGATATATTGTGGGATGTAGTGCGTGTATTCTCGCCCTGCATCCTTCTAAGGCTCCCTAAGGCTCCCTCGAACGTGGACGTGCGCCTATCCTTTAGCGCTTATGCCCTGCGTTCCCCCCTTCCGCTTCCCCCCTTCCGCTTCCCCGTCCGCCCTTCCCTCTCCTCCATCCGCTTCCCGCGCCAAACTTCCCTCCCCGCGACTCCCGCTCCCGGTGCCCTCCCCCTCCGCCCGCGCCGGTTCCCCCCCTCGGCGCCGATTCCCTCCCCCCCCCTCTTCCCCGTTTCAGCGACATTCTCCTTGCGCGCACGGACGCGGACGTGCGCAGTTCCGCCAGCACGGCGGGGCTGTTCGCGGAGCTGGGGCGCTGCGAGGCGCAGCTGTCGCGCCTGCTGGGCGCGGCCAAGGCGCGCGCGGAGGGGCAGGCGGAAGGGAAGGCGGCGGGGGGGAGGGCGGAACCCGCCGAAGGGGGGAATCCGTTTGAGGGGGTGAGCGCGGCGATGGTTGAGAAGGAGCTGCTGGAACTCCGGGTGAGAGGGGGGAAAATGGGGGGGAGAGGCGGAGGGGGAGAGGCGGAGTGGGAGAGGCGGGGATTGGGGGAAGAAGCGGGGAAGGGGTTGGAGAGAAAAAGATGGAGAAGGGAGAGTGAGAGAGGGAGAGAGGGAGAGAGACTGTTACTGAGAGAGAGGGAAGGGGAGAGGAAGAAGCGACAGAGGTGCACCTGCAGTTGCAATTGCAGAGCCACAGAAAGAAAGAACTCTTAGGATCGCAACCACTCCAACCAAAACCTCCTTCTCTCCTCCTCTTCCTCCTCCTCCTCCTCTTCCTCCTCTTCCTCCTCTTCCTCCTCTTCCTCCTCTTCCTCCTCTTCCTCCTCTTCCTCCTCTTCCTCTTCCTCCTCTTCCTCCTCTTCCTCCTCTTCCTCCTCTTCCTCCTCTTCCTCCTCTTCCTCCTCTTCCTCCTCTTCCTCCTCTTCCTCCTCTTCCTCCTCTTCCTCCTCTTCCTCCCTCCCCCTTTTCCCCTCTGCGTCCTACCCTCTCCTGCCTCTCTCCTCTCCTGCCTCTCTCCTCTCCTGCCTCTCCCCTCTCCTGTTTTCCTTCTCCATTCAGAGGGAGGTGGCGCGGCTACAGGCGGAGAATCTGCACCTGGCGAGCCAGATGAAGGAGCGGGAGTCCTTCAGTGATGACACGGTGTCACAGGAGGTGCGTGCAGAAGGGACGGACGGACGGAGGGGGGGTGGGATGAAGGGGGTGGAGGGAAAGAGGGATTGGGAGAGGGAAGAGCGAAAGAAGGGGGAGAGGGATGTGGGGAGGAAAGTTGCGGTAGGGGGAAGGGGAGAGAGGAAGGGTGAGAGGGGAGAGCAAAGGGGGGAGAAGTTGAGCATGAGAGAACGGGAGCAGGGGAGAACGGGTAGCAATACAGGCGATGGGAAGTGAGTGTTGGAGTCTCTACATATTCGAAAGTGCATATTCGAATTCGACTCCCTTTCAATCACATTAAACCCCCCCTCTCCCACCACAACCTTTCCCTCCTCCTTTTTCCTCCTTTTTCCTCCTTTCCCCCCACGCCTACCGCTGTGCAGCCACAGCAGCGGAGATACATACCATGATTCTTCAACTTCCCCTCCCTCCAACGCCCCGTGCCGAGATGACTCGCTGCTGCTGGTGGTGTTGGTGCAGCGAGGTGACTTTTGAGTCGACTCAAAAGTCACGTAGGTGACTCGCTGCTGCTGCTGGTGTTGTTAGTGCAGCGGCTGCTTGTTTGACCAATCAAATCCTTATTCACGCCCTGCCCCCCCTCCCCACTCCACCCTCTCTTCCCCTTTTATCCTCCTTTCCCTGCAGGCTCTGCTAGCAGCGAAGCAAGCTCTATCCCAGTACAACCCACCCGCTGCTGCCGCATCATCCGAAGCAGCGACCGGCCCCCACGCATACCGGTGCGCAGCGACAGCAGCGGGCATGCGGCGATTCTTCAACTTCACCCCCCGCGGGCCGTGCCCGGACGACTGGCTGTTGTTTGTTGCTGTTGCTGCAGCAGCCGGTGCTTGATAGGGCCTGCCATGGTCCAACCGCCACTCATGCTGCCCTTTCTACCTCAACCGTGGTTCCCTCTTTCCCTTGTTCCCTGCAGGCTCTGCTAGCAGCAAAGCAAGCTCTATCCCAGTACAACCCACCCGCCGCTGCAGCATCATCCGAAGCAGCAACTGGGCCCCACGCCTATCGCTGTGCCGCCACAGCAGCGGACATGCGGCGATTCTTCAACTTCACCCCCCGCGGGCCGTGCCCGGACGACTGGCTGCTGGTGCAGCGGCTGGTGTTTGATAAGGCATGCCACGCACTGCCGAGGAGGAGATGCACCGCTGTGACTGTAGAGGAAGCAAGAGAGGTGAGGAGGGAGCGGGGAGAAGGGAGAGAGGAGAGAGGAGAAGGAGGCTAGAAGCTCCACTTTTTCGTCCTTTGGGGATTATTTTTTGTCTTTTTTCAAGCCTACGCCTCTGTTTGACTAGGCGGGCCGTGCCCGGACGACTGGCTGCTGGTGCAGCGGCTGGTGTTTGATAAGGCGTGCCACGCACTGCCGAGGAGTCTATGCACTGCTGCGACAGTGGATGCAGCGAGAGAGGCAAGGCGGGAGGGAGGGGGAAGGGGGCCGGAATCTGCACTTTCTCTGTTCTTTGAGCCGCGATACAGACCCTTTCCCATCACCCTACCCATCCAACCGTCCTCCTTCTCCCCTCTCTCCCATCCCACCCACCCCCTCAGCCCATGCCCATCCCCGACTCTCTATTCAGCCAAAAGGCTCTGATGGAAGGCAACGTGCGGTGGCAGCAGCACCGCTGCCACTCCTTCCCAGACAGGGTAGTTTAGAGTCGGGTCCAGACCCCCCCCCCCCCCCCCCCCAAAAAAAAAAAACCCATCTCTCCAATTCATCCCTTGCATCTGCTTCCCAGCCCATGCCTGTCCCAGACTCTCTATTCAGCCAGAAGGCCCTAATGGATGGCAACGTGAGGTGGCAGCAGCACCGCTGCCACTCCTTCGCGTGTCTCAACCGGCAGACCGTGACGGACTGCCGCAACTGCTTCAACATGACGCATGAGGCGCACCGCTGGCAGCGCGCCTACAAGGGCTCTATCTCCATGCAAGACGTGATCGCCATGAAGCCAAAGTCTCTCAGGTATGCACCTCTTCTCGGGGCGTCTCAAAGCTTGAGGCGCACCGCTGGCAGCGGCCCTGCAAGGGCTCCATCGCCATGCAAGACGTGATTGCCATGAAGCCAAAGTCTCTCAGGTATGCACCTCATGTAGGCGACTCTTCTTGGGGCGTCTTGAAGCTCGCATGAGGCACACCGCTGGCAGCGGCCCTGCAAGGGCTCCATCGCCATGCAAGACGCCATCGCTATGAAGCCCAAGTCTCTCAGGTGGGCGCCGGAGAAGAGAGTTTGGTTGTCTGTTCTGTGCTGTTGTGAGACGTCTAGATTCTCGCATGAGGCGCACCGCTGGCAGCGGCCCTGCAAGGGCTCCATCGCCATGCAAGACGCCATCGCTATGAAGCCCAAGTCTCTCAGGTGGGCGCCGGAGAAGAGAGTTTGGTTGTCTGTTCTGTGCTGTTGTGAGACGTCTAGATTCTCGCATGAGGCGCACCGCTGGCAGCGGCCCTGCAAGGGCTCCATCGCCATGCAAGACGTGATCGCCATGAAGCCCAAGTCTCTCAGGTGGGCGGAGTGTATGTGGACAAGAACTAAGACTGCTTCTATTCTTTTGTTTGCCTGCTTGAAATAATCTCTTTCATTGATTATTCCTGCAGCATCCTTGTTTGGCAACAGCTACCCAATCATCTCGTCCCTCCTCTTTTTCCACTTTTTCTTTTCAGCTTGGAACGGAGTGATGTGGTTGGGAGGAGTGTCTGCCTTGATGCCGCTCAACGCGGCCCTTCCCTCGTCCGTTTCTCCCTTTCCCTTCTCCAAAACATCGCAGAATAGGGCTGGATGTGGGGGGTGGCAGCGGCACCTTCGCAGCGCACATGGCACGGTTCGGCGTGACCATCATGACCACAGGCCTCAACAGAGAGGCTGCCGCTGCTCTCAAAGGACTGCTGGGATTAGGACCACAGGTCTCAACAGAGAAGCAGCATCTGATTCAAAAGGCAGATAAGGACCACAGACCTCAACAGAGAAACCCAACACGTCCCTTCCCTCTCATGTGTTCCTTCCTTTCTCTAATTCTCAAAACATCGCAGAATAGGGCTGGATGTGGGGGGCGGCAGCGGCACATTCGCGGCGCACATGGCACGGTACGGCGTGACCATCATGACCACAGGCCTCAACAGAGAGGCCGCCGCTGCTCTAAAACACAAACCCGGACAGCAACAACAACAACAGCAGCAACAACAACAACAGAAACAACTGGCAGAAGCGGAAGCATCAGCACCAGGTCTACCCTACATGGAGACCATCGCTGCTCGCGGCTTGATCCCGCTCCACCTGCCCCACCAGGCACGACTACCCTTCTTCGACGGTACAATCGACATCATCCACAGCATCAACAGCATCAAATACATGCCGCCGCTGGAATTCGAAGAGATGCTGTTCGAGTGGGACCGCGTGCTCCGCCCGGGCGGGTTGCTATGGTTCGAGATGTTTTACGCGCCTAAAGAGGAGATGGCGGTTTACGTGTGGGTGATACAGCTGTTGAAGTACGAAAAGCGGTACTGGAATCTGGTGCCGAAGACGGATAGGACGGAGAGGAAGGGTCCGCATGTGTATCTGAACTGTGTGCTGGAGAAACCTGCGAGGGGCAGCCAAGGGATGGATGTGGTGCCTCCGGTACGATAGGTTGGTTTTGGTTGAGTGTACCGTACTACCGGTACCAGTATGTCCGCTGCTGCTTTCGGCTTTTGGAGCTTCAAGCCTAAGAGAAGACGGAGAGGACGGAGCGCAAGGGTCTGCACTGCTTGTGTATCTGAATTGCATGCTGGAGAAACCAGCAAGGGGCAGCCAAGGGATGGATGCGGTGCTTCCGCTACCATAGGTGCTGCAGTGGCTTCGTGTGCGTGGTTGGTTGGTTGATTGGTTGGCTGGTTGAGTGCAATGCAATGGTATAGTTGGTATTTAGTACGTACCTGTCTGCCGCTGTTAGCCTCCTCTACCGTGCCTCTTGACATGATACTGGTAGTGAAGGAGGCTGGGTCTTGCCACTGTGCATATGATACGGTAATACCATACATACCTAGTGGCACAGGAGCCATTGATGCTGTTGACTCAAAAGGCACGTTTATTTCCTAAACACATCGTCATGAACCATAAGGCCCTTCCCGTCTCGAGCCGGTTTTGGAATTTCTCATTAGTCTATCATTTTTGCTGCTAACCTTCCCCAGCAGTCCACATGAGGGGTACACATGCAAGCATGCATGCACGCATGGACTGGACCACCATGATGCCTTGCTACAGTAGGTATGTCCATGATGTTCCTGTCATAATAACTAGGTAACCTTAGGAGGCATGGCTTAGGCTTAGGAGGAAGACTAGGAGCTAGGAGATGGTATCGAGAGGTTTTGGCAAAGAAGGGGCTTCATTATGGAATGAGGAGTACAAATAGGAACAAGAGAAAGGGGAGAAGGGTACACCACCAGTAGTTGATTCTAATACCTAAACTAGTACACTAACAAGCTGTAGGCAGTTATAAGATATGCAATATACGGTAGTTCAACAGTTCCGTCTACCAGTACTGGTATCACAGCCGCATCTGTCACAAGTCATGACAAGGGTCACATGTCACCATCATGCAGTGTGCTGTGGTGTGGCGTGGTGTGGTGTGGTGTGGTGTGGTGTGGTGTGGTGACATATCATCCCACCATACCATCGACCTAACCTGTCATTCAGGCAAGTCAGAATGCTCTTCCTCACAACAACTTCATGCTCCCATAAACCACAGCAAACATCCTTCCCTCCTACGGTATCATCCCTCTTCCAGGGAGCTCCCCTTAGGCCTAACCCTTTGACTGCAGCCAGGAAGCTATTGCAGCGACGCAGCAGAGTCAGCTATTAGCTGATGCAGCGCAACCACTGTGATCACTTCTGCCTATCAAGTTGAGTCCGAAATCACATTTGCTGTCTGCTACTGTAGCACTTTCCAACGTCATCCCTTCTTGTCCCTAATGTCTGGAGTCTCTGCTGCTGTTGCTGCTGCTACTACTGCCACTGTTGCCGCTGCTGCTATTGCTCTGCTGATGAACCTCCCTGCTGCTGCTGCGGTGCCGGTCGTGGTTTTCTCAAACGAGGCTTCACTGACTTGCGTAGCTTCGGCGCCGCTGCTGCTGCTGTTGCTTCAGATGGAGGTGAATTCACAGAGTCTCCAGGGGAGGAAGATGAACCTGCACTGGCAGCAGGGCGTGTGGGAGGAGGGGTTGCTCCTACAGGAGCCCGCCGCCGGGGAGGAACAGCAAGCAGCGAGTTGGAAGAGCAGCAGCAGCAGCAGCAGCAGGAGCAGCAGCAGGAACAGCAGCAGGAACGGCAGCAGGAACAGCAGCAGGAACGGCAGCAGTGGGGGTAACCGCAGGAGCCGCAGCAGGAGTGGCAGGAGCAGCAACATCCGCAGCAGCCCCAGGTGCAGAAGCAGCGGCAGCAGCAGCAGCAGGAGCAGCAGGAGGAGGAGAAGCAGGAGAAGCAGGAGAAGAGGGGAGATCAAGGTCTTCCCGGTTGGAAATGACCAGCGGTTCATCAGTGCTCCATGGCACGTCCACATCGATCACTGCACCCACTGCTGTGGTGTCCAAGCAGTGGTTGCCGCCCTGCTGCCACTCTATCTCGCCTCGCTTCCCCACCATCACACACTTGAACGGCAGAGACGCATTGCGAGGTACGACCTGGGAGGGAGGGCCCGGGTGCCATGTACACAATAAGTGAAAAGGGGGAGTTTGAAAGGGTTTTTCTATCGGTGCTTCACCTTTAAATGTGACCCCAGACTCTAAGCCCCTCGTAAAACCCCTTGTGAAGCCCCGAAAGAGATGTCTATAATCTAGAAAAAATCATTGGCTACGCTGGTTACCACTTCGTCTGTTTCGCACAGCGAAGATTCCATGCAGGTTACCATGATTTGATTTGACAAAACGGAAAAGTAAGGCTGGCAACTCGGGGCAGATTAAAGAAAGTGAGGTACTACTTAGACTCTTTCGTACAGTCAATCAGTCAGTCAGTCAGTTGATCAGTCAGTGAGTCTTTCAGTAAGCGAGAGAATGAGAGAGTCAGATGGTCCGTCAGTCGGTCAGTACGTCTTCAGTCAGTCAATCAGACAATCAGACAATCAGTCAGTCCGTCCATCGCCCAGCAAGCCAAGCATCCAGCCAGCCAGAAAGCCAGTGAGAAGATCAGTCTCACCGCCATGGCCGTCCAGACGAGCCGTTTGGACCACTGCGCAGGCATCGCCTTCTCCAGATACCACCCGACCCAACGCCTTGTGCACGTTCTTTCTGAGTCAACTCAAAACGACCTTTGACCTTTGAATCGACTCATCAGTTTCACCGCGGTGGCAGTTCACACGTGTCCTTCCAAACACTGCGCAGGTATCGCCTTCTTCAGTTTCCACCTTCCCCAACGCCTCGTGCACGTTCTTTCTGAGTCAACTCTAGTCAAGTCAAAAGCGACCTTTCTTGACCTTTGAATCGACTCGTCAGTCTCACCGCCGTGGCAGTCCACACGTGCCCTTCCGACCACTGCGCAGGTATCGCCTTCTCCAGTTTCCACCCGCCCAGCGCCTCGTGCGCGCCCGACACGAAGAACTTCTGCCCGTACGCGCACTGCCGGATCAGGCGGAACGCCACTGTCACCGTCCCTGCCGGTGCCGCCGCTGCAGGTATCACACGCGGGAATGCAACAGGTAAGTAGGTAGTCACGTAAGGAGGGAGGGTGGTTGAAGGGGAAAGTGGCCCACACGCATGTGAGTGATTAGGACCACCGGCGAGAGATACACAAGAGAAAAGCGAGGGTGGATCAGCCCGTGCGACTTTGAAGCAGGTTAACTTGCGTGTCAAACTACCGGGGTTTGCAGTGGCTTATGTACAAATGATCAAACGAGGAGGGATAGTTGCCAAGCGCAGTCAAAGGAGACTCAAGCGAAGAGGTTATCAGTCCACTCAGTCCCGTAAAAGAAAACGGCGAAAGAAAAGCGAGCGACAAGTCGGGCGGGTAACATAGGTTATTTGAATGAACACAAAAAAACAGCAGGACTGACGAAATAACCACGACAACGGCATCACCCAGCAGCACCCCAACGGATCACTCCAAGGCAGCACTAGAGCATGACACGCAAGCACCTCACTCAGCGGATCACACCAGCAAATCATTCGAGCGCAACGGGCAACCTGAAATCACTTTTGCGAATTCTTAAAGGTGATTTCAACATATCATCTGAACGCAACGGACCACCTAAAGTCACTTTTTGGAATTCTCAAATTTCAACATATCGTCTGAGCGCAACGTACTACCTGCACTCGACGGCTCGGAGGATCCAGACGCCACGCGAATCACGGTCGCGTCTGCGTCTCTGGCTAGCCGCGAACCGCTAACGGGCGACACGAGAGCCCGACCGGATAGGTCTCGATCTCGCACCGTCAAACCGCATTGCTGCGACGACGCGCACCGGCTGCTCCTCGAGCGCGCTGTCGCGATAAGGACACCAGAGCGTCTACGACATGCCGGCGATGGTATAGTGATGTTGCATGGGCCATGGCGGCGGAATGGAATGCAACGCGTCACAGATTCCGTGGTAACGAAGGCGCTTCTGGTGAAGCGGCGGTTATCGGATAGCGTCGGTGGTGATGCTGCTGCGGATGCTGTTGCTGATGCTGAGGATGGCTCGGGAAGGATCTGGGCGATGGGTCGCCTGGCGGCATGGGGATTCGCGAGGCGGGGAAGCATTTTTTGTGTGGAGCTGGAAAAAGATCCCGCAGTTTTGAAGCTTGAAAGCACGAGCACGCGCTAATGGCAGAGAGACGGTCGAGCACAAACAATATAGCCGACCTCAGTAAACGCGTGTTGTTCTGGGTGAGAAAGTGAGTCTATCAGAGGTTTGAGAAAGTAAGGTGAGACGGGGAAACGGAAAAGTGAATTGGCTAAAGAAGATTGAAGAGGATCAACAAAAGTTGAGGGGCGAGCGGTGGGCAAAAGGTATGGTCCGGTATGGTTTGGGGCGGTGATGTGGGCTTGGCACCGCTGGGGCTGGAACATGATGAAATCGAGGGAGCAGAACAGATGGAAATTGGGGCAGCAGGTGAAAGCAAAATCGACCCAGAAACACTGTGATCGGGGCTAAACAGTCTCAAATATTTACAGAAGCTCGGACGAGCGTTGTCTGGGGGCGGCAACTCCCGAGGGTGGCACAGAGCTCAAATCTCCTGGAATTTGATTTACGCGAGAATGTGCTGTCTATAATAAATTTGCATTAGGGTGAACCGAGAATGAATGCATTGCCTTCGACGTGGCGTACTTTCTTGCCATCAAGGACATTTGCTGGTGCCAGCTATTTGAAATTGACAGACGCTTTCATCAATCCTCCGCGCTGATAGGCGGGATACGAGCGAGGGACGCGCGGATTGGAGGAGCTGATATCAAGATTTCTTTGTCCCAACCGCGTGGCTGCACTTTATTAGTCAAGGCAGCCTACCAAAGATCTTATCAAGTGCCAGCAGCCGGGAGTCACGGCCCCGTACGGCGACAAAGAACGAGCAAAATTTTCACTGTACGTTAGTGTGAAGTTCGAGAACATACGTAGCTAGCCGAATGGTTTCAGCCACTATCCTAAACAGAAACCCATATCCAGAATAATATTATTACGGTATCTGGTTAATACTGGCTGTGCCTGAACTACAGCTGCAACAAAAGCATACAAACGGGTCACCATCACATCAGTCACATCAGTCTAGGTGATCATGTAACACCGCCAAACGAGCAACATACTGTTAGAAGAGCACACGCTATGGTGCATCTACAGGTCAGCAGCACTAACAGATATCATATCACAATGTGCTGGCAAGCCAGAGTGTTGGCTTAGCAAGCAGATCACACTGGCAACCACAGAGATGGCAAGGCAGGCCACCAGAACAGTGCTGGAACAATGCCGACCACATCGGCGCCAGAACCAGGCGCAGCATCAGCAACTGCCCATCCCACACTCCAGCCACAAGCGCTGCACTGCACAGAAGCGGCTACAGGACCCCACACACCAACATCAGCACCTGCGTCAACCGCAACAGCAGCAGCACTCATCTACACGCAAGCAGTTAAGCAAAGATGCGAACTACAGTATCTATCACGCAATCCTATTCCCTGGACCAGCAGGCATTCATTCCTGAGAGGACCATCACTCACTCACCCCACCCACCCAGTCACATACTAATCCAAGCAGGTCCTACACTCAAATCTGCGAAGACCTAATCAACGCCTGCAGCTCACAGCCAAGGGCTTAACCTGTCATGTGCAGAGACGATAGAAACTACATTCCCCAGAGACAGCAGGCGGCGCAGCCTGCTACAGCCTGCATATTCAGCCAACAGATTCAGCCAACAGCTTCTGTACTGCCACAAACTCGCGGCAGGATCCCACCCGCCCAATGCAGCCAAGTGAGAGAGAGAGAGAGAGAGAGAGCCAAGCCAAGCCAGGCCAAGCCAGGCCACCCATTCGATTGAACATGGAGTCCCACGGCCACACCCTTTGTTAAACCTAAACCTCAGAAAGCAAAGCCTTCACTTCAAACGCAGATGCCTGGTTGGTGCGAGGCCAACATCTACTGGTGATGCCAGCATAGAACTGCAAGTCAGAAGCTGCTGCTGTGCTGTACCCTCCACATCCGGTCTGCTGTACTCTCCTCCCCAGCACCACCACCCCCCCCTCTCCCCCCCCCCCCCCCCTTTTCCGATTCCTATCTGCTCGCTCCCATGAGTTACGCAATGAATCCTGGAAATCACTCCACTCGAAGGCGCTTGTTGCGATGACCGTCGGAAACACGTATGCGCATCAGAGTCGACTCAAAAGCCAGCTGCAATGATCCTGGAAATCACTCCACTCGAAGACGCTTGTTGCGATGGCCGTCGGAAGCACCTCTGCCTGTGCTTGCCTGAAGATGCATGCACGCATGTGTGTGTGCGTTCCGCCGTGCGGTATGCATGTGTTGGTGTGTGGGACACGAGAGGAGCGGAGAGAGTGGGAGGAGAGGAGAGGGGAGGGGAGGGGAGGGGAGGGGAGGGGAGGGGAGGGGAGGGGAGGGGAGGGGAGGGGAGGAAGACAAGTGTGATTGTATGTATATTTCCAGGCAAGAACACAGTTATGGGGCAGACGCAGCAAGTAGATGAGTGTGGAGTTGGGAAGCCGAGGCAGCAAGGGCAGACAATAGGAACCGAAGCAGCCAGAACCAATGGTAGAACCAGGGAAAAGAGAAATGAGGAAAGATAGAGGAGGTGATGGGTAACTGCTTGCCAAACACTCCGAATCAAGTGCATCATGGTCACACTCCATATCAAGTGCATCATATCACTCTCTGAGTAGCACAGATGATATCATACCTCTCGGCATGTCGCATGCACAATGCGACGGCCCGATTTCTCCGCGGCCCCTTGCCCAGCACCGGCGCCATCACCGCTTCCCACCGCGCTCTCCACCACTGCACCCCTGTACATCCACTCGTCCTCCTCCGGATCAAAGAACACGTCGAATTTCTCCCCGCACAGAGCACACCAATCATCCGCCTCATCCTCTGCCGGAACAGCTAAATTCGCCCCATCTCCATCTCCCACCCCTCCTGCCTCACCACTTGCTACCACTCCTCCTCCGCCCCCACCTCCACCCTCTCTTCCTGCTCCTCCCCCATCTCCGATCCCCGTTCCCATCCCTCCTCTATCAATCGCCCCACCACCAGCAGCAGATGAAACAGAAACACCAGACATTTGTTTACCATCGGCACCGCCAGTAGCCGCACCACCAGTAGCAACCCCTCCTCCCCCTCCTCCATCTCCCTCTCTTCCTGATCCGATATCCCCTACTCCTCCACCCGCCCCTCCTCCCGAACCACCGCCCGACCCTCCCATCCCTCCTGCTTCGGCAGCCGAACCACCCCCAGCACCAGGAACAGCAGCAGCGGCAGCAGCCGTCGATTCCGACAGCCAATCACGAGTCGACACGTACCACATGCGCGACTGCGCCTTTTGCTGCTTCAGCCGCTTCCTTTTCAAAAAATGGCCATCCAGGTGTCGCCCGTACTCCTCCTGGTCGGCAAACCTTCGTCCGCATGTGGCGCACTGGCGAGGAAAGTCGAAATAAAGCGCGGATACCACCGCCTCGTGTCTTGATCTCAGCACCTCCTGCTTTATCTCTCGCCCCACCGCGGCTAACGCTCCATGGGAGATTATCAATAAGGGAGGAGGAAGGTCTTGGGGGGGCAGAGGAGGCAGTGGAGGGGGGGGATGCGGATGGGGGAACGGGGGGTGGGGAGACGCGGAGTGCTGGGGGGGTTGACTGGCGGGAGGTGGCGCGTGTGGTGGGAATGGGGGGTGGGGTTGAGTGGGCAGGGGAGGGGTGGGCACACGATCGAAGGGTTCAGGGTGGGAGGGGGCGAGGGAGGGAGGGGGTGCTGAGGGGGGAAGGGGAGGAAGAGGAGGAGTGAACGATGCAGGCATGGAAGCAGCTCCTGCTGCTGCTCCAGCTCCCATGTTCAAAACGCCTTGTGTAAGAAGCGACGAGAGAAGATTTGACAACCCTGCACCTCCTCCTCCTCCTCCTCCGCCACCTCCCCCACCTACCCCACCCCCACCACCATCACCACCAACACTCGCAAGCCCAGCCATAGACGCACCTCCCACCGCCGCACCACCATCTCTGCCATACTCATCAGCAACAGCGCCAAAGGCAGCAGGGTAAGACGACCCTGCAGGGGCGAGCAGCGACGACAAGGCAGCTGGGAGGTTCGCAGGGAGAGGCGGCACTGCTGCTGCGGGTGAAGGAGGAGAGGGGGGCAGGCGGGCAGACGCGGTGAGAGATGATAAGAGGGAGGGATGGGCGGCTGATGCAGATGGGGGAGCATGCGGGGGGAGAGGCGGGAGGCTGGGGAGAGGAGGGCCGAGAGGAGGAGGGGCGGGATGGGGAACGTGGGGGGGAGTGGGGGAGGGTAGGCGGGGTAGTGTAGCAGGAGGGAGCGGCGGCACTGCTGCTGCTACTCCTGCTGCAGCTGATGGTTGGATTCCTGGTAGGTTCCCAACCGCTGCTCCTACCTGCTGCAGCAGCGACGTGAGCTGCTGAGACGAGAATGGAAGCGCCGCTGCATCCGAGGCTAACCCTGCACGCGGCAGGCCCGCACCAGGCATCTCCGCTTCCAACCCTTCCCCCATACGGTACCCTCTACCAGCAGCAGCAGCAGCGGAAGATGCAGGAGGGAGAGAAGGCGGTATGCTGTGATGATAAGCAGCACCTGGGACGGCAGGAGGAGGTGCGGAGGAGCGGGGGAGAGGCAGCAGATCATGCACGTCTACGTCTGGGAGATCCGGGCCTAGATCTACCACCCTAGCTGCTGCTGCTGCCGCCCTCGCTGCTGCTATCGCTGCTGACACTGGCACTGCTGGCTCTGCCCCTGCTCCTGGTATAGGCCATGTGTCTGCTGCTGCTACCATAGGAGCTGCTGCTGCTGGGTGGTGCTGCAGGCGTGAGCGGAGCAGGGAGGGGCCAGGCGCGTCTGGGTGCAGGGGGAAGGAGGAGTCACTGGATGGGCGCGGGCGGCGGAGGGCAGAGCGCGGGTGGATAGGAAGCCCCTGGAATGGGGGAGGGGGGGAGGGGGGAAGGGGGGGAAGGGTGGGAAGGGAGGGAAGGGAGGGAAGTGCGGAAATGGGGAAGTGGGGGAGGGAGGGGCGGAAAAGGGGGAGGGCGAGAGATGCGCAGCCCAATGAATGAATAAGCGGGACTTTGAACTTAGCGTTCCAAGGAGGATCAGATTAGTAATACCTGCTCGTCATCCATCATTGCATGCTCCCGTGCCCGAAGCTGCTGCTGCTGCTGCTGTCGACCCACCATGGAAGCAGGCACCACTTCTGTCACCTCCTTCCACTGAAAATGCGTGCTGCTCACGCGTTCGCCCCCTGCCCCGCCACCAGCACCTGCACCAGCACGCAGCACTCGAGCGGGACGGGCCCGAACGACCGGTTTTGAATCAGCTGCTGCTGCTGCTGATGATATCCGACCCCGAGCAGCACCGGTGGCGGCAGCAGCAGAAGCGCCAGCGGGACGGTGATAGCGGTCAGCGGGTGGACGAGCGGGGCGAGAGGGAGGGGCGAACTGGTGCATTCCTGGAAAGGAGCAGCGGGAGATGCAGGGAGAGAATGGCGATGAAGGGGGGCAAGGAGGGGGACCGGCGAGAGGAGGTTTGTTATCAACTAAAGAAAACGAGCAGGGCAAGAGGGAGGGCCGAACTGGTGCATTCCTGCAGCGGAGCAGCGAGATATGCGAGGGGAGAGGGGCGGCAACGGGATGAAACGAGGGGGGGGAGAGGAGACGAGTGGGATTAGTGGAGACTCAGAGCATGGCGGGTAGGAAAGGCCTGCATTGAAGGACGGACGATGGAGAAAGAGGGGAGAGAGGAAAAAGAGGAAGGGAAAGAAGGGAAGGAGAAAGAGGGAGAGAAGGGAAAGCGGGGAAAGAGAGAAATTGGGAAAGAGGAAACATACAGACAGCATCTACAGGCATCGGTTTCCCTCACCTGCCATGCCTCCTGCAAACGCATCGTCCCCATTCTCCTCCTCCTCCTCCTCCTCCTCGTCCTCCTCATCATCCACAGCTACTCGTCTATCCAGCCACCCCCCATCATCCCCCCCTCCATCCACCACCCCCTCACTCCCCTCCATTCCATCATATTCCACCGCAGGACCCACCAACTCATCCTCTTCCTCCTCCTCCTCCTCCGCTTCTGCTTCCTCCTCCTCCTCCTCTTCCCCCTCTTGCTCCGCCTCTACCCCATACCCTCCGTACGGACCCCTATACCGCGGTGCCTCCTCCTCCTCTTCATACATCTCTACAGGCGGTTGCACGTGGCGTTGCCTCATTGGCGGAGCTCCACGCCCCCGGCCAATAGGAGGAGGAGGGGGAGGAACGGCAGCAGGGACACTCCCCATACCCCCCGCCCTTCTCGCTCCTTTTAGCTTTCCCATAGCAGCCGCCGCTGCTGCAGTCGCCGCAGCAGCAGCAGCAGAAGCGCGCGCAGGGTGGGAACCCGCACCTGTTGCTCTCCCCGCGCCTCTACCCGCAACAGCTCCCCCCCGCGCCCCCCGCCCGCCCCTGCCCGCTGCAGCCCCTACCCTCCCCCCTGCGACTCTCTCCCTCTCCCGCGCCCTAGCTACCGCCCCTCCCCCTGCCCTCCCCCCGCAACCTCCATTAGCAGCGGAGGCGGAAGAGGAGGAGGTAGAGGTGGCAGTTCCGCCTGCGCCACCTGCCCCCCCCGCCCTGCCCGCGGAAGCTGTGACTCCCCACTCTGCTGCGCGCCCATCCGAACCCTTACTCGCTGCCGCCGCCGCTGCTGCTGCGCGGCGCTGCTGTAACGTGCCGTTGCCTGCTCGCGGGGTGGCACCGGGCCGCTGCTGCGTCGCTATACCTGCTGCGGCTGCGGCGGCCGCTCGTCTAGCGGCCAAACCCTAGGCCATGCGGAGGGCGGGCGGGGGGAAAAGGGGCAAGAGCGTGGGTGATAGGGGGAGATGGAGGGTAAGGGGTCGCGCAAAGCAACCGAATCTAAGATTTCACTTAAGAGACTAGCAAGGCTTGCCATATCACTACCACCAGCAAGCAGACTCGGGCGAGACTTAAGCTCAACTCCTACTTGCCTTCCTAACCATGCTCACCTGCTGCTGTATCCTCTGTTGCTGTTGCTGCTGCTGCTGCTGCTGCACCTGTGCCGCTTTCAGATACTTTGGGTTCACATGAATTCGCCCCGAACCAGGCGAATCCAACGGTATCCCTCCCCCACCATCCGCACCTCCGCCACCCGCCCCCCCTCCCGCCCTGCCCGCTGCCCCCCCAGCATGCGCCCTCGCGTGCGCGGGGTTGGCGGGGGGAAGGTGCGGGGAACCCATGCCCGGATGCCCGTGATGCGGATGATGCGCGTGGTTAGGCGGAACACCCCCCGCTCTCCCCCCGCCACCTCCTTGGTGCGGAGGCCCTGCGGGATGACCCCCGTGCACGGGGCCAGGCGGAATGCCTGGGGGATGGGGCTTCCCGCCGGCGGAAGGGGGGGGGGGAAGCGCAGGCGCAGCTCGATCGCGCGGAGGGGCTGGTGGGGGAAGACGGAGCGCCATGTGTCGAAGAGGTGGCGCATCTGCGGCTTGATTGCCCCGTCCACCTGGTCATATGCGCGACAGAATACCTGCGCGCGCGGAGATGGGGGGAAGAGCGGGACAGCAGAAGGGGCAGGAAAAAACGAGGGGGGAGGGAGGTGGGAGGGGGGGAAAGGGGGGGGGGGAGGGGAGGAACAAAAGGGGAGGGTGAAGTAAGAGGGGAAGACATGAGGCAAAAGAAGCTGCCAGATGGAGGAGAAATAAGTGATGCAACGGGGTAATGCGGCGCAAGCAAACATGGCAGCTTTTCATCAACAGCGGACGACTCAGCGCCAGAGAAGAACGAACGCCGAAACACCACGACAGCAAGGCAGCAAGTCCTCCCTCGTAGCGAGGTTACCTCGGGCAAGCGAGCGGCGAACACGTCAATGTAAGGGCCGCCCTCGTTCTTGACGATGCTATCCAGCAGGTACAGCACTCGTAGTTTCTGATCCGGCGTGTTTTGTGTTGACTCGTTCTTAGCGTACCTCGGGCAAGCGAGCGGCGAAGACGTCAATGTAAGGGCCCCCCTCGTTCTTGACGATGCTATCCAACAGGTACAGCACCGGTAGCTTCTGATCCGGCGGCACCTGCCATGCCATGCACGCAAGACGGGTCGATAAGCACGTGAACGCACGACACACGGGGAAAGGGAACAGAGAAAAGTGCGAGCATGGAGAGCGAGACGGATCAGTTAGGAAGAGAGAGCGGGATACCTGTGAAGGAAACATGAAAAACGAAGGCATGAAAACAAATTCGAAGAAAAAGTTAGCATCCTGTTTGAAGGGTCCGGAAACCTAGAAAAAGCGGGAAAAAAAAAAAAAAAAGAAGAAAAAGAAAAAGAAAAGAAAACACGCCCGCATCACCAGAACAGTCCCCCCCCCCCTCCAACCCAAACTCTTAAAATCCATACCACCTTAAAGCGGCGGCAACGCAGCAGCAGCAGTACCTCGATGATATGCTGGCAGATGGTATTCGCGATGGCCTTGGCCGCATGCGCGTTCTCCCCGGCGATGATGGTAAGGTTGGTGATGATGGGCTTGCTGTTGAACGTCAGCTCCGCCAGCTCGCACTTGTACTGCTCCACTAGCTCCGCCACGTCCCCCGTCATGGCTCCCCGCTCTCCCGCCCGCGCACCCGTCCGCCTGACCACCCGTACACGCGCCCGCCTAACCGCCCGCCTCACTAACTCGCTCGCACTGCCGACGCGTAGGACTTCTTATGACGCCTGATTTTGCTGATGCTTGTAAGTGTTGAGCCTTGATAGGGAATGTATCACCCACTGGAACACAAGCGATACCAGTATACACGCCTAGCTAGCTACCACCGCTACACACGCCAGGTGTATTCCGCGCTAGGATTTTGCGCGAAATTCGCACGTTAAGAATCAACACCAGCGTCAGAAAGTTGAGCCGGAAATCTCGGGCAAAGAGGATAGAAATCGCTCTGGTTGATAGATCTGAAAATTTACTTAACATTTTCAGAGAACAAACAGAGCAGGGTTACGGAATTGACTACGACCCCAGACGAAAAAAAGAACGAAGTCCTGATGTTTAAGCAAAGTACTTCTTTTAATACCTCCGAACCGCACTTCAAGCCCTTCAAGAATAAACCACTCTTCTTAGGGCATTTGAGCTCATGGAGGCCAAAATCCACCATTGATCTTCCGCAAATCTTGATATTAACGGACGACGAGACATTTGCGGTGATTCACGCGCTTAGACCTCCGAATACGGTGGCTTGTCGCGGAACGGATTGGAGTCCTCTCCCCGTTGGCGATTAGGTCGGAGGCTGGAAACAGAGGTCTTCCTGCTGATAAGCGTCGCCGCGGTAGGCTGAATAGTTAGTGGTGGTTCACTATAAATCTTCAAAAGAACGGCAAGAAGGTCACGGAAGTCGGCTGCACGAAGCGCGAACCAGGGTAATGGCGGATTGAGCGATGCCGAAATCAAGGATTTCAAATCTTCATTCCGAACATTCGTTGAAACTGGAATAGGACGAGCGACAAAGATCTTTGTTATAAACACATCTCGGCAAGTCGTGCTGGGAAAAGCGACGACTACGGGAGGAAGCCAATCCCACGCGAACTCCACGCTAACTCCGCAGCACGGTGCAACGATCAGAACTAGGGTTGAGTGGAAGACCCGACATCAGAAAGAGGAAAGAGAGGGGGGGTTGTAGGGGGAAGGGGTTCCAGAGAAGGCTCCGTAGGAGCACCGCACACGGAAGGCTGGGCTGGTGTGCTTACAGCGAAGTCAAGAGAGGATAAGCTGACAGAAGCGAGGGAGACAGGGGATTGGATAGGGTATGCAGGGATGATTTGCATGATGGAAGGTAGTTTGGTACAGTGATTTGCATCAGTGGGCATGAATTACAATTGCCACCAGGAAAACGTGTCTGTTGACAGCATTTTTGAAGGCATGCACGTATTTTACAAAGTAGAAAAAATAATTTTTACAATCAGATAATCGTTTTATTATTGATTGAAAGCATGTACATCATTTGTAGAATGTTAGGATGGAATAAGTAATTAGTAATAAAACTAATTTTGCACCAAGGCTTGTGTCTCCTGACATGAAGAGTGGTCTGAAAGCACAAACACTAATTGCAGGTTTGTTCTGACAATAACAGCTCCTAGGAAAAAATCGCGGACAAGGTGACAAAGATGAAAGGTGTGGTGGGAGGCTCGGATTGAGGTTTGGTCCGGTAAGCGCGGAGGCAGCTTGAACCTCGAAGCCATCGTTGGCTGCTCGTGAAACCACGGGTTCGGTAAAAGATGCTCCTGTCTGACTTCACCAAACCAACTTTCGATAACCTCGGGAGCAAACGTAACTCCAAATCTGGAGTTAGTGGCTCTACGAATTCAGCGAAATGTTTCCTCACACCCTCACCGTCCAACCAGCAGCCGCGCTTGCAGCCTCGGGAACTCCTCAATTTTCGCGTTCGCCCATACCTGAAAGGAATTAGGGGACTAGGAGCACCATGCCACTGTGTGGTCTATAATTGCTCTGCGGCTCCAGGCACTCTTATCTATTGTCTAGTCTGTCTGGACTCTGGGTTCTCAGCTGCTTGATCAGCTGCTGGGATTTCAGTGTGTGAGAGCAGAAGCACTTTCCTTCAGTTTTGCTTACCGTAGAGCTGCTGTGGCTGCTGCTCTCAGGAGGATTATACACCCTCTGACCTCATCCACCTCTTGGCGTGTCTTATCGTGGCAACAAACCTGTCCCCTAATTCATTATTGTCCGCCTCGTTGTCGCCTCGCCATCGTTGACAGCCGCGTTCATCTGGTCTAGCATTTATCTCGCGATTGTATCTGCGTTCGCTGACCACCTTCCAGAGGACCTTTCGTTTGCAACCCACCCTCGTCCAACGCCGTACACTCGTCCACATTGCGCTTTTCGAAGTTGTTGGCCACCAATTTCACCATATTCTAAGCTCGTGACGAGTTTCGCGTCCATTCATTAAGCTTATCGAAGCATTCGAGTGCCATTTCAGCCTTGTCAACGTCACCACCAACCAAACTCCGGTACCAAGATCGCGTCGAAGATGAGTCAGCATGATAAACCAGCGGAAGTTCAGTCCCCCACATCATCAGAATCGTCAGATCAGGGCGCGGTAGATACGCAGCAACAAGAGCAGCATCAAGAGCAAGAGCAGCAGCAACAGCAACAACCGGTCCCGTCTGCGCCTGAACCTCCTAAACAGCAGGGCCGGGGTGGTCGATCATGGCGGTTGCTCTTCGCTGGTGGCATGGCAGGCGCTGTTGCTCGAACATGCACCGCACCCCTCGATCGAATCAAGCTGCTGCTCCAGGTACACCCCTAAGCATATCACATTACTCATGTGCGCATCATTCTAAGCGTTATCGTTGCGCAGTCAGCCGTTATCGCGGGTCTGTCGCTCTCGACCTTAATTCCTCCATCCTCCCTCCATCGTCTTCTGGCTGTACAGGTGCAGCATCTGGGTCAGCTAGGCACGTCTGCGAACGCGTACACGGGCGTGAGTCAAGCCGTCATGAAGATTGGGCGCGAGGAGGGCATTCGCGCGTTCTGGAAGGGCAACGGTCTCAACATCGTTCGCATCTTCCCTTACTCCGCTGCCCAGGTTAGCTCCGCTGCCCAGGTGAGCCTATTTTAAAATCAACTCAAAAGGAGGCCATTGGCGCGTTCTGGAAGGGCAACGGACTCAACATCGTCCGCATCTTCCCTTACTCCGCTGCCCAGGTGAGCCTATTTGTGAGTCGACTTAAAAAGAGGGCTTTCGCGCCTCCCCGCCTCCGCGTTTGAGGTTAGCGGGCGCCAATTAGCGCCTAACGACCTTGTCCGTCGTAGCATCCTCCGACAACACTATGCAAACCCCCCCCCCCCCCCCCCCTCTCTCCCCCCATCCCCCATCCTTTCCCCCTCTCTCCCGCGTTGCAAACACGCATTTGCGATGCTCGCATATGGTTTTAGCGCGGCTCGATCAGCTGTTCAATCAATCTACAGACTACCGCAAGTCTCCTCGTAAAACCCCGAACCCTCTCCCCCAACCGCCTTCTCCCCTTCTCCCCCCTCCCATCCCCTCCCCTCCCTCTCTTTCCCACCCGTCTACCGTTCGTTCTTTCCTAACTCTCCGCACATTTTCCGGCGTGCAGTTCAAGTCACTCTCGCCTCCCTCTTCCTCCTTCCCCCCCCCCCCCCCAACCCCCCCCACCCCACCGCCCCCCCTCACCACGCGCAGTTCACGTCGCACGAGCAGTACAAGCTGCTACTAGCGGGTTCGAGCGGGCAGCTGAGCGTGCCGCAGCGGCTGATGGCGGGCGCCATGGCGGGCATGACGGCCACGGCGCTCACGCACCCGCTGGACACGGTGCGGCTGCGCATGGCCATGCCCACGTCGGGGTATACGGGGATCTCGAACGCGTTCGCGACGATCATTGCCAAGGTACGCTCTCGAGGGGAAGGGTTGGTGTGCTGCTGCTCAGGTGGCTGTAGCTTTTCAATCGCCTTTGCAGCTGCGCATGGCCATGCCCACGTCGGGGTATACGGGGATCTCGAACGCGTTCGCGACGATCATTGCCAAGGTACGCACGGAGGGCTGAAAAGCTCAGGGTTGCTTGTTATGTGGCGGAATTCTCCTTTGGCATGCGTCTCACTTGGGCAAGGGGATTGGGGATGGGAAATGGGAAGGAAGGTACGGGGTGTGGGGACGAGAGTAGAAAGTGATGGTGCGCATAGGTTGCACTATGGCGGGCATGACGGCCACGGCGCTCACGCACCCACTGGACACAGTGCGGCTGCGCATGGCCATGCCCACGTCGGGGTATACGGGGATCTCGCACGCTTTGGCAACAATCATTGCCAAGGTACGCTTGAGGGGAAGGGTTGGTGTGCTGCTCTGGTGACTTTTGCGTCGCCTGTGCAGTCAACATGGCGATGGGGCCTCTCAAAAGCAGCCACGTCGGGGTATACGGGGATCTCGCACTTGTTCGCGACGATCAGCCACGTCGGGGTATACGGGGTACGCTTGAGGGGAAGGGTTGGTGTGCCGGCCAGGGTTGTTTGTTTGTCGTTAGAGGATTCTGACGTGGCTTTTGAGTCGCTTGTCCAGTCAGTGTGGCGATGCTGACGTCGGATTTTTAGGGGAATATTTGAGGCGCCTCAAAAGTCGGGTTACTAGGGGAATCTCGCACTTTCGCAAGGATCATTGCCTAGTCACGGAGGGGGGATTGGTCAGGGTTGCTGCCTGTTGTAAGGGGTGATTTTCCTACGGCATGCGTTTTACTTGGATAAGGGGAGTTGGCTATGGATAGGAAAGGAAGGGGAGTGGGGACGATAGTAGAGAATGGTTGTGCGCATGTTCATGCGGCTTTTGGGAACGAGGGGCTCAGGGCTTTCCGGTCACCCCTTGCTGTGAGCCGGTGGTTTAAAGAAAGACGGGGAGAAAAACGGGGGGAGTAGACATGTGTTTGCAGATGCCTTGACCTGCATTGCATAGAGGGTACTCAACCAAGCTATGCTCTGACCTTGGGGTTTGGGTTCCCACTTCCCTGTTCGTTCCGTAATCGACACTCTGTGCTCTTGCTTGCTTGTACAGGAGAGTCCTCTGGCTCTATACAAGGGCATCTTCCCTACACTGCTGGGTATCGCCCCTTATGCTGCACTCAACTTTGCATCGTGAGTCCAAGCCAATTTGCGTCATATTCAATCGGGAACGAGGGGTGGGGTTGGGTGGGCTGGGCTGTGTGTGAGTTGGTTCAGAGATGTCTATCTATTGCTGTGCTGTGCACCTACGCCTACTACTCACCCATTCCTTTCATGCACCTAGACGTTTAGCAGCTGTTTCCGCCCTCATGCCCCACCACATCGACAATTTTACCTATCTCGTTTGCTGTTTGCACCATCATGGGATATGTTTCAAAGCTAGTCTTGCACCCTTACCACTTTCCACAACTTGCCAACTTTCCGAATCCTCTCTCACTCTTGTACACCCTTCCCCTCTTCCTCCCCTTGTGTCTTCTTATCCTGTTCCCCTTGTCTCGCCAACTTATCCTTCCCATCACCCTCTCTGCACTCACACCCTCTCAGATACGACCTGCTCAAGTCGTCACTGTACAAGTCGGGTGCAGTGAAAGAGTCCATTCCCAATAACTTGCTCATGGGGGCGACAGCTGGCACCATTGCCACCACTGTGTGCTACCCGCTTGATACTGTGCGGAGGAGAATGCAGGTCTGTATCCCTCTCCCTCTCCTTCCCCCGTCTCCCGCCCCGTCGTGCATTACCCCACTCCCTCTGCCTTCTCCACTCATCTTGCATCTGTTATTCATCCTCCATTTGCTGTCCTCTTTTGGCACTTGATCTCTACATCTGACCTGTAGCAACCAATCACAGCCTGCTCAAATATGTGTGCAGGGCAATGCAATCTGATCCTATGTTTTTCTTCGGGTGTGCTTTTTTTTCCTTGCACTGTTGGTGTCCGACTATGCAATGAGAGTGGCAACAGATGAAGGGCCAGGTGTATCGCAACACACTGGATGCTTTTGCAACCATGGCAAGGACTGAAGGTCCACGGTATGTGTCTCATAACATGCTATGCTTTTCCTTAGAATGCCCATTTGCTTCATCGAATGTCATTCCATGCCATCTCATGCAATGTAAGGTGGTGTAGTTGCTTATGTGCTCACACTCTGGTTACTGTTCCATCTCCATCATGTCGCATACCGCAACTAGGTGATCGATGTGTCATAAACATGCATACATTTCTGTTTTTCTGTCCTGCTTGTCCTTATCGCAGGGGCTTCTACCATGGATGGTGGGCCAACACTCTCAAGGTTGTACCGCAAAACTCCATCCGCTTTGTAGCGTACGAGTTTTTCAAGTCGGTGGTGGGTGTGAAGAAAGCGAAGACAGACACATGATACCAAGACAGGGTTGATTTCTTCTTCAGGAAATTATGCACCTATTTGGTGTTGATGGTGGCGGCTCGTATCGTGCAATATCATTTTTTGCATTAAAAGATTATATGATTCACTGTTCTGTCAGAATAGGCCTCACGTGATTGGTTAACACCTTCGTGAACCTGACATGCTCCGAAGCTGGAACTTTCCCTTACACCGACGCGACAGCAGGGTAAAGTTCTTAGCAACCTTTAAGAAATTTACATCACAGCCAGTTGTGTGGTAGGGAAACATGCCGCGTGGGTGGTGGTTTGGTGGTTGGTTGGTGGGTGAAGATCTGTCCAGCGCAGCAAAAATGCTTCTGTCGGGCACAATTCACCCTCACCAGTCAAGATGCGCTGCGATGCGTTTTGTTCCGTGCTTATCACCACTTTCACCACACCTGCCCGGAGGTGCTAGTTTTTTTTTTTTAATTTGTACACTCCTACGAACATGTGGCAGATCGAGAATGGGATATGGTTTGATGCGACCAGCACTTGGAGCTGTAGGTGCCAGTGTGAAAGAAAATATATGCACAGTTATATTATATAATATTCACCAATTGTGCTGCTTTTTTCACAGCTTTACATTCTGACATGGCTGCGTTGCTATTCCCCACCCAACCAACGCTGTGTCACGTGAAATGTGGTGATATTAGCGGAATGATCGGCGACAGAAGATGCCTTGGCCATATGATTGGTCAGATTTGTCAAATACGCAGTCAAGGCCGTGCCCTACGCGCTTCGGCCACATGCATCTTTTTGCTTGTCAAAAGTGGTGCTCCCCAGTTTATTCCTGAATCGTGAGTACTTACCTACATGCGGTCCTTTCATGACAGTCTATTAGGAAACATAAACTGATCACCAACTCTAAATGGTAATGGTTATGGATTTGTTGAAGGCTATGAACAGCATCCGGTGCCTTGGAGGGTTGCAAAACCGAGTGAGATGGATGGGGATCAGCAGGGAGGGTAGCTTCGTACAAATGCTGTAATTTCGAAGTGAACCGGAAGAGCTACCCATGAACGTTCTTGGCCGGGTGATTCCCCTCGAGTGCCCGCCCTTCGAGGCAGGAACAGAGTTGTGCGCGAACCGCAGCCAATCCAATGCATTCTCTGCGTGCGTCTCTCCCCTCGCCACCAGATCTGGTGTCGGTGGAACCGCGACTCGCCCGTGGTAAGCCGCACACAGAAGCGGCTGTGGGAAATGAAATCCGCGGATTTGCGCATAAGATTTGTGGTTAGATTACTAGTATACTCTCCCAAATAAAACTTAAGTCTGGTGTACAATCTGGCCCTTTTTACGAACTGATAGGCATCGCGCTCACGAAAATGGATTTAGGGGCTGTTTGGACCAGTTAGGGCGTCTCACCAAATTGCTCTCTGAACATCCTGGGATCTTATTAATTACCCTTATTGGGGAAGCAGGGATGTGTTCCGCTACTGTACAGCAAGCATTCTGTTCTTGATTTGGAGCCCACGCGAGCCAGTCGAGTGTCCGGTTGTGCTGGTTGGGCTGTTAGGGCGCGTGGAACATCTGGAGATTTTTCCAAACAGACGGTAGGCTCGAATAATTATCGCTCTGAAACGTACTCTAACGTACTGTGTCATAGCATCTAATTATGAAACCAGTCTGAACCGTTCCTTCCGTACCCTTCGTGCTTCCCCTCCTGTGATTTGTGTGATTCGGTGGGATAGGGGAGAACGGAAGGGAAGGGAACACGTACCGTAGCGAGGTGGACAGGACATTTTGGCCGTGGAGAGCAGGCTGAGCTGATCGTCCAATCCATGGCGCAGGAGCTTTAGTGACTATCCAGGTGGAAGCGCTCGCGTTCTTTCTGGTTTTGACCTACTTGTTTAAACATATTTTTGTAAACACCAGGGCAACGGACGGACCCTTTTGTTTGCGCCATCCTTAGCTGACAGCCTCCTTGAAGTTGCAAAGCTGTCGTTTTCGGAAATATTACGTGAAACTCGTATCCTGTCTTAGGCGGACTAGCGTTTCGTGCGTCGATTACGGAGCGCAATTCTAGAGTTTCACGACCGGAGGGCACCAGGGAGGACCGAGAGAAGTACTTATTAGGGCAGAGGGGTTTAGCAGCAGGGCGCAACCAGATAGTGCGCGCGTGTTTCAGTATTCTGTGTTCAAATAGTCAGCGCCCTCAGTCTTCAAAAACTTATCGCGCGAATGGCTATGGCATCGATAGACCACCCAGTCGAGCCAGGCTTGCTTCGCGGCGATAATTACGGCGCGTCTTTCGGCGCTGATTACGGCGCAGGACACGCTGCTGGCGCGAATTACGTCGTCAATCACGACCGAGAGAGAATGACTTCCATCGAGAAAATAACGGAGCAGTCGCGCGCCGACCCGAACATGGTGTTTTCGTCGCTGTCGTCGTCGCCGTCGCAGTCGCCGAATGACGGTTTTCGCACGCCGTCGCCTGTGTCGCCGCGAAGGTCGTCCGTCGCCGTCCCGTCGTCGGCAGGGGATGACGTCCGATCGTCGTCGCGAGCGGAGTCGCGCGGAAAACGCGGCGGCGGCGGCGGCGGCGGCAGCTCCCGCCTCTCGTGGCGCTCGCTGTCGCCCATCCGCGGATCGCGGTCGTCGACGAGGCGATACACTCACGACGACGGCGACGGCGACGGCGATCGCAGCGGGCGACAGGAGGAGAAGAAAATCGTAGTGTACAAATCATCTGGTAATTCATACCGGAAAGGGGTGGTTTTGGACAGTGAGGGTGTTGAGGGTGTTGAGGGAGGTGAGCGGAGTGAGCGGAGTGAGCGGAGTGAGCGGAGTGAGCGGGGTGAGGAGAAAAAACGTAAAGGAGGGGTTAAAGCGGAGCAGAGAAGTTTTCAATGGCGGAAGAAACCAGTGTTTCCTGATTTGCCGAGTCGCCTTTATGTCATTTTCCCTCACTCTGCTCTGTGACGATAATGGCCGCTTCTCCCTAGCGCCTCGTCGTGTATCCCTAGCTTTTCCCGTCCGCCTTCTGCCTTCCGCCTTCCGCCTTCCGCCGTCTGCCTTCCGCCTTCCGCCGTCTTCCTTCCGCCTTCTGCCTTCCGCCTTCCGCCTTCCGCCTTCCGCCTTCCGCCTTCCGCCTTCTGCCTTCTGCCTTCCGCTTTCCCCTCACCCAATGTCTCTCCCTCTCCCCCTCTCCTCGCTCTTCTCCGTCGCTCCCCCAATCGTTCCCCCGATCAGCTCCGCTCAGCCAGCGCGCGGCGGACAAGCTGCGCGCGGAGCAGCGCCTCGCGGCGGTGCTTGCGCTCATCCCGACGCGCCTCGCCGCGCCGGGGTCGCTCTCGCGCGGCTCGCTGCACATGGCGCAAGGCGTGCGCGGGAGCAGCCAGGACGCGGCGGTCCTATGGGAGGTGAGACTCCCCTCCCCGCCTTCATGCGCGCCTCGAGTATGAAGTCATTCCTTCACCCGCGATTTCAGGCGCCTCATACGGCGTTCACGGGAGCACTCATAAAGTAGCTGTGTTCTATAGGTAGTGAAGCTTATTCCCGGTGGTGTGCGACTCCCCGTATCCTCGTCACCGTTTCTGACTGCTCTGCGCGATTCTTTCCCCCTCACCTTCCGCCCACCCTTCCTCCTCTCCCTCTCCCGCTCACTCTGCACATTTTCTTCCCACCCCCTTCCTCCTCCCCCGTTTTTCCCCCTTCCGCGTTCCTCCCCTTCGTTACTCCGCAGCGCTTCGGCGGTCGCCCGGACAGCGCGCTTTGCGCCGTGTTCGACGGGCACGGCCCGTTCGGCCGCGTCGTCTCCTCGTACGCCGCCGCCACCCTCCCGCCGCTCCTCCTCGACTCCCACCTCCTCGCACGCGCCGCCGCCGCCGACGCCGCCGCCGGCGCCGCTGGCGCCGCTGGCGCTGCGGACGCCCGGGGCGGAAGCCCAGGGGAAGGAGGCGCGGGGGGAAGCGCAGGTGCAAGCGCGGGGGGGGCGGTGCCCGGCGCGGGGGACAGGGCGGCGTGGCGCGCGAAGATGCACGACGTATTCGCGAGCGTGGAGCGCGACGTGCGCGTGCACCCGCACATTAATCCACTGAATAGCGGCAGCACTGCTGTGGTGGCCGTGGTGCAGGTGAGGGGAGTGAGGAGCACGGGGGGGATGCGGGGGGTTAGCGGGGTGAGGGGTGTTCGCGAGCGTGGAGCGCGACGTGCGCGTGCACCCGCACATCAACCCGCCGGCAGCACTGCCGTGGTGGCCGTGGTGCAAGCGAGGAGTGTGAGGGGTTTGGGGGAGTTAGCGGGATGAAGCAAGTTTTGAGCGTGGAGCGCGACGTGCGCGTGCACCCGCATATTAATCCGCTGAATAGCGGCAGCACCGCCGTGGTGGCCGTGGTGCAGGTGAGGCGAGTGCGGGGGATGCGGGGGAGCGCTGGGAATGCGGGGTGTGAGGGGGTTGAGCGGTGTTCACGAGTGTACAGCGCGACGTGCGCGCGCACCCGCACATTAACCCGCTGAATAGCGGCAGCACTGCCGTGGCGGCCGTGGTGCAGGTGAGGGGAGTGCGGGAGACGCGGGGCGGTTGAGGAGTGTGGGGGGTTAGGGGGATGAGGGGAGGTCTGATGTGGAGCGCGACGTGCGCGTGCACCCGCACATTAACCCGCTTAACAGTGGTGCAGGTGAGGGGAGAGAGGAGCACGGGGGGAGCGCGGGGGGTTTAGAGGGGTGAGGGGTGTTCGTGGAACGGTGCCAAATTAGCACAACGGCGGGCAGGCGCTCATACGCGCATGTAAGGACCCCTTCTTCCCCCCTCTCTCTCGCTCCTTCACGTGCATCCTCTCACTCTCCCCCTTGCTCTCCCCTTCCTATCCCCCTTCCTCTCCCCTTTCCTCTCCCCCTTCCTCTCCCCCTTCCTCTCCCCTTTCCTCTCCCCCTTCCTCTCCCCCTTCCTCTCCCCTTTCCTCTCCCCCTTCCTCTCCCCTTTCCTCTCCCCCGTCCTTCCCCCTTTCCCCTCCCCCGTCCTTCCCCCTTTCCCCCACCGTCTCCTCCCAGGGCCGTGACCTCGTGGTGGCGTGGGTGGGGGACAGCCGCTGCATCTTGCACGCTTAAGCTCTCACTCACATAAGTCGCAACCTCCCCCATTCCCCCCTTTTCCCCCCACCTTCTCCTCCCAGGGCCGTGACCTCGTGGTGGCGTGGGTGGGGGACAGCCGCTGCGTGGTGGGCGTTGTCTCTCCCCCCACTCCGCGTGGGGGGCACGAGGGACATGGGATGGACAGCAGTGCTGGCGCTCCTGGCGCTACTGGCGCTACTGGCGCTACTGGCGCTACTGGCGCTACTGGCGCGGGTGGTGCGGGTGGCGAGAGGGGTTGTGGCGATGTGGAGGTGGAAGCGCTGCAGCTCACCACGGACCACAAGCCCGCACATCCTGGTGAGTGCGTGTGCGCTCATTCTGGGACAGATGGCTCTGGCGACTGTGTGTGTGTGCTGCCGGCAGAGACCTTTATTCTGGGGTGGATGGCCCTGGCGCTGCCGGCGGAGTGGAGGTGACAGACAGCGTGGCAGCGCTACAGCTAACCACGGAGCACAAGCCCGCACAGCACACCACGCTACACCCTGTGTGTGTGTGCTGCCTTCAATTTCCCCTCCCCCGTCCCCCTTCCCCCTTCCCCCAAACCCCTCCGCCCACCCCTCCTCCCTCCCCCCAACCAGAGGAGAGGTTTCGGATCGTGGTCTCCAGCGGGCGAGTGCACGCCATCCCCGGAGATCCCGAGGGCGTGGAGCGCGCGTGGCTGCCCAACGAGGAAGGGCCCACCGTTGCCATATTTCAACCTGCTTTCCTCTCCCCGTTCCCCTCTCCCCCCTCCCCCCAACCAGAGGAACGGTTTCGAATCGCGGTAGCTGGGGGCCGAGTGCACGCCATCCCCGGGGATCCCGAGGGCGTGGAGCGCGCATGGCTGCCCAACGAGGAGGCGCCCGGCATCGCCATGTCGCGCTGCCTTGGCTCTGCGCTCCCTGCTGCTCCCTCTGCATCCTCTTCCCTGTCTCCTGTGCCTCCTCAGGCTCTGCAACCAACACTACTTGCTTGTGCCCCCTTTTTCAACTCCCCCTCCGCCCTCCCCCGTCTCCCCGCCCCCTCCCCCCTCCCCCCCTCCTCCTCCCCACAACCAGAGGAGCGGTTCCGAATCGTAGTATCAGGCGGCCGCGTCCATGCAATCCCCGGCGATCCCGAGGGCGTGGAGCGCGCATGGCTGCCCAACGAGGAGGCGCCCGGCATCGCCATGTCGCGCTGCCTTGGCTCTGCTCTCATGCGCGCACACGGCGTCACTGCTGACCCGGACGTGCGGTTTCTCAGGCTTGGCCCGCAGCATCGTTTCATGGTTCTGGCGACTGATGGGGTGAGTGGCTGTAGGTGATGGGGTGGGTGATGGGGCGGGGAGGCTCTGCGCTCATGCGCGCGCACGGGGTGACAGCTGACCCGGACGTGCGGTTTCTGAGGTTTCTGAGGCTAGGCCCGCAGCACCGCTTCATGGTGCTGGCTAGGTGCTGATGGGGTGAGTGGCGCTGGGATGTGGAATAAACTGGGGCGTATGGGGGAAGTGGCGGTTGCGTCTCCTTTTCTGCTGCTTTGATGCGGTCTTGCATTGCATGGCATTGCATGGCATTGCATGGCATTGCATGGCATTGCATGGCATTGCATGGCATTGCATGGCATTGCATGGCATTGCATGGCATTGAGGTTACACAGCCCTCATCCCCTCTCTTCCCACTACCGCAAGTGTGGGACATGCTACCTAACGAAGCCGTGGTCTCCACATGCGCCCTCCGCCCCTCATTCCCCATCCCGACCCCGTCCTTCCCGCTACCACAGGTGTGGGACGTGCTATCCAACGAGGCTGTAGTGGCTATAACTGCCAGCTCGCCGTCTCCCCAGGAGGCAGCAGCAGCCGTGGTGCGAGCAGCAGAGCTGCAGTGGCACATGCGCCCTCCGCCCCTCGCCACTGACGACATCACTGCTGTTGTTTACTTCTTCACCCACCCCTCTGCTGCTGCTGCTGGTGGTGATAATGCTGCTGCTGCTTCTGTTGCTGCTGCGTCAGCATCAGCGGTCAGCATCCGTGGGTAGCAGCATGAGCAGGGGTAGCAGCGGGATCGGTGGGGAAAGGGGAGACGGGACCGGCAGCACCGGTAGCACCGGCAGCACTGGTAGTGGTGGTGGCAGTGCTGGCAGTGGGAGCAGCGGGAGCAGCCCTGAAAGCACAAGCACTCTCACCATCACCACCACCACAACCATCACCACCAGCACCAGCAGCAGCACCAGCAGCGGCAGCAGCGCTGCCACCACCACCACCGCCCGCCAAGTGCTGAGGCTGTCTGCTGCTTCGGAACCCTCTCTCCCTGCTGTCCGCATTTCCCACAGCCCTCGAGCCGCAGCACCCTCCTCCTCCTCTCCTTCCTCTTCCGCTGCCGCTGCGCCTTCTCCGTTGCTTCCGCTCCACGCCACGTCCCTCTCCCGCCGATTCGTTTCAGCTGCGGCCTCTGCTCCTGCCTCTTCCAGAGCAGCACCCCTCCATGCCTCTCCCTCGCCTGCTCCTGCTCCTGCTCCTTCTTCTGCCTTCCCTGCTGCTGCCTCTGCTGCCGTGCTTCCCCCCTCCCCCTCCCCCTGCCGTCTAGATCCTATGGAAAGAAGCGCTAGTGAAGGCTCAGGGCTGATTAGAAAGGGTGCCACTACGGGGAATGCTGACTCTGCTGCTGCTGCGGCGGCGGCGGCGGCGGCGGCGGCTGCTGCGGCTGCTGCTGGTGCGGGTAGCAGTGGTGTTGGGAGCATGAGGAGGGTCGGGAAGGAGCGCGAGAGGGGTGCGGATGAGGAGAAGGAGAAGGAGAGGGCGAGGCAGAGGTTTGCTGCCGCTGCAGCTGCTGCTGCTGAGATGGCAGCCACTAATGCAGGTGACAGCACTGGTGCCAGTGGTGGCAATGGTAGCAGTGGTGCGAGTCTCACTCACGCTACACCCAATGGTTACGCTCCCCTGCACTCCTCATCCTCCCCGCCGGTTCCTGTTTTCACCACTCTCACTGCAACAAACCAAGCCCCCTCGTCTTCCTCCTCCTCCTCCCCTCTGCAAGCACTCTCCCCATCCGGTTCCTTCACCTCTCCAACTTACAACACTAACCACAAGAGTAACAGCTACAGAAACAGGAGCCACAGCAGCAACAGCAACGGTCACACTCACTCGCCGGCCAACACACCGCCCATCCGTCCCAACAGTCCATCACGGGCTCTTCGCTCCATGGGAGCTGCGATCCGGTCGAGTATTCGTGCCCTCTCTCCTTCCCGCCGCTACCACTCCTCCTTCTCCTCCCCCTCCTCCTCCCCTTCTGCCGGTGCTGCTGCGGCTGTGGCTGCATCGCCCCGCCATTCGGCTTCTTTTGGTTCTGTCCTCTCTCGCACGTTCAACCGCACCCCAGGTGCAGCAGCTGCTGCTAGTGCTGCCACCGCCGCTAGTGATCCTGCCGCTGCCGCCGCCGTTGCTGCTTCTGGTGCTGCCGGTGGTGTCACCGCGGCTATTGATGGTGCAGCTGCTGGTGCTGGCTATGCTGCAACTGCCATCCCTTCGGTTAGCAATCCCAGTGGCCTGGGGCCTCTTGGTCACGAATCCACGCACAATGGTTTCAGTGGAACACCATATGGCACTTAGATGGTGGGAGGTGTGAGGTGCCATGAGAATGTGACTTGACTGTGATCCGGTCCGGTGGTGTGGTAAGGCAGAAAATGCTAGAGGGTTGGCAGTCAGGATTGAGTGCGTCAGCATCTAGCTGATGCCTTGCTAGCAGGTTGACGAGTTTGATTGGGGCTGGACCGAGTTGGGCGTTTGTTTCATGCTAACATTGATTTGACAAGAGCCTGTGAATGTGTATTGAGTTTGTGTTTGCTGTGTCCAATGTTTGCTTGTTTGTTCGTGGTATGAGCTTGCTAATCTAATGTGGTATTATCTTGGCTTCTTGTATAAGGTAGCTTGTGTTAGACCCTATTGTTATTCAGCCTTGTACTACTGTATAGTGACTGCAGTCTTAGGGCGTGGAACATTGCAACGACCAAACAGAATGGGCGACTACATGGGCGGTTTAGACGATTGCGAAGTTTGTAGGGTTACTTTCACAGTTTGTAGTCACCCTTACTTGACAGAATGGTATTCTTTAGTATGAAATTCTCCACCGGGCAAGTTGGGACCTCTACTTAGCAGGACCTCAATGTTTGACATTCGGTATTAGCCCCCGAATGTGCTTTCATCCCACAGTTGTTTTGCTGAACAATCTAATCTACCCGCGCCTACTACTTTCCACGGCATCCCGAAAGCGGGATAGAAATTTTCCGACAAATTACGGGGGTGGTTTAGGGTGGTTGTTCCGAAATGTTTGGCGGGGCTCGCCAAGCCGTTACACTTTTCGCTTTCGCACGAGCCGACCATTTGGTCGGATTTTAGGGCTGGTCGTTGCAATGTTCCACGCCCTTATGTTTCATAAACGCGGAAACCCACCCACGTATGAAATCTACACCAAAGTGGGTCTGCTTCTGATGTGGCATGCATGCAGCTCGAGGCAAACGCAATTGGTGGGTTTGCTTCTGGGGTTTTGGTACGAATCGCAGGCGAATGCTGGATAGGAGGGAAATGGAAAATTGGAATTGCAACCGTCACAGCTCGCGACTCGCGACTCGCGACTCCTCGCCTTCCTTGCCTTCTCCTCCCTCCCTCCCTCACTTCACCTCCCATTCCATTCCACCCCAAGTCCCACCCAACCAACCTTTCTGCTTATGTTCTGCTGCATCGTCTAGCACTTTTCGCACTAGGCCGTCGGTGCTCTCACGCGTGTAACATGAGTGTAGAAACTCCCTTTTTGCGGCATAGTGTTCGCTATCGTTTTCGCCCAGCTCATGCGAAATGGCTTGCTGCTTCACCTCGGGTTTGCCGTACCCGTTTGAAGCAACGGAGTTTGGCATTCTCGACTCGAGCAGTGCTCCTCCTTGCGACCACTTCACCAGGCGGTTGGTTAGGAATACCCGCTACCCTCACTACTTCGCGCTTCGGCGTGGCGAGGCAGACAGCTAGACGGAAAACGCTCGGCTCCACTAGCAGTGCACACTGGACGGTCACTGTGCAGTGTCCCGCAATGCTGACTCGGTGTGGCGTGTCGCGCCATTCTGCGTGTGTGACTGTTGGATCTAACTGCTTGCTCTGAGAGAAACTTTTGCCCTTTGCCTCTCCAATCGCTTACCCACAGTACCCGCACTCAGCCGTCTGGAGCGGCGCTTGGAAAGATATTCCCACCGAGTTGGTAAATCTAACCATGTTTGTGGTACCAACCACGGCGGTTGTCCGTGGGCAAGGAGCCTCAAATGGCCCCTTGGTCGAATGGGGGTTATTCCTACCGCCTGCTTACCATAGCACATAATACTACACCTTGTTATTTCCCCCTACTGTCATTAGTAGCTATACGTTCTTCTGGACTATTACACTGGCAGAAGAGGATGGGCCCTGTCACCTTGCGATGTGGCGCTAACCGTGGCTGTTATATCTTTCCAGCGTCTGCGGAAAGGGGGAACTTGAGACGTCGGACGTGTCGACGTCTGACCGTATCTTCCGTTCTTCGAGTCGACTAGTAGTTAATCACCGTCCAAATTCACGTCATTTACTCAGTACTGCACTGCATCTTTCGGCAAGGGCGAGCGGACGGCCGCGTTGCACGGCCACAGACTTGCTAGCGTTGCTGCTTCGCTGCTGTTTCTTTCGCAAAGAAGTTTTAGCGACCGCATCGCATCAGCGTGCCTGCTTGCTTGCTTCCACTCAGCGGATGCGAGAAGTTGGGGATAGCACTACCACTACCTCTCGTAGTAGAATCTGAAACGTGGCCGCAAATGAATCACTACTGCTACTGATAACCCGACCCGCACTGCAGATGCTGCTAGTAGTGGTAAGTACTTGTGCTAGCAGAGGCAGTAGTTGCACTGCTCCTGTCGGCGCTCCCTGCCCTTGCCTGCCTTCCGAGGTTCTATCCGACTCAAACGGCCACCGTTTTAGATGGCGGTGCACCCCTTCGGAACGCCACCACTACCGTGCTGCTCCCGCCAGTGGCACCAGTCGCACGGCCGTCCCGAGTATCGCCACAGTACACATTGTTGAACAATACAACCTTCCCGACTGCCAGCTCCCAGCTCCCAGCACCCAGCTCCCTGCTCTGCTGCCTTAGCATGGGCGGGAGGTTTTCAAGCCGTACTACTAGTGGGGTTTCCGAGCAGCCACAGCAATGGCTGCTGCCTTTGCTTCTTGTAACTAGAAGTAGTTAAATTCACCGACCATCCAGAGCTGCTGGGGGCGGGCTATTACTAGTGCGCGGTGGTTCTGGGATCATATAAGAACCAGGCTGACAGCTTCGGAGAGACGCCTCAGAAGCTAGGTTGGCAGACGCCGCTGCCAAGCGCAGTGCGTGCCCTTGCTCCTTGCCCCATCCTTTTAGAAGCAGCAGAGCGGCGGTGTTGTGCAGGGAATCAATAGGAGGCAGCGGTAGCAGTAGGCGCAGCATGGGGCCGTGTCAGCAGCATGGAGCCGTGGTGGACCAAGGGCGGCAAAGTAATAGTTGTAGTAGTAGGAGGAGCGAAAAGGTTGCCATGGCGCCCTGTTGCTGCTATAGATGCGGCAGAACCACCAGAGAGAGGAGGAGACGGAGCAGGCATATGGGGCAAAAGATGATTGGGCTCGAGGATGCAAATCAGCTACTAGTGCTGAAACATCAAAAGGCGGCTGATCCTGTTGCGAGACACCTGCTTTCGATGCGGGGCAACCCGACGTGTATGAATGTGTTGCTGCTGCTTTTCCTTCTTCTGGTAGGAACCAACAACTCATTGGTCCTTGTCCGAGTAGCTGCGGCAGCATCACCAGCAGCAGCAGCGACGGCAGAAGCAGCTGCAGCAGCACCATCGTCCAAGCCATCTGTATGGTACAGCGGGAGCAGCAACCGGCCACACCTTTCCAGGAAGCTCACTAGAATTCTACCCAGCAGGTCAACTCTAGGCCCTTGGGAGAAGGAGAACTTGCAGCACGTGTATAGAATACGGAACGCCGCTTATAGTGATGCGAGGAAGGAGGAGAATGCAAGAAACGATGTGGTGGGGCAAGAGGAGAGCTTGCAGCGGGTGTACACACGACAGGACGCTGCTTATGGTGATGCGAGGAGGGAGGAGAATGCAAGGGACGGTGTGATGCAGCAAGAGGGGATGGACGAGAAAAATATGAGGGTGAGAGAGGTGGGTAAACGGCCTGGAGGAGGGATGTCTGGGGAAGATATGAGCGATCAGCAGCAGCAGCAGCAGCAGCAGCAGTGTCCGTACATTCCTGGTGTTCTGCCCACATGCGGCATGAACCGAGAGGATGACGAGGACGAGGAGCTATTACTGCTGCAGCTTCAACACCAGCGCGGATTGATGCCACAGAAACAGGGCCGGCAAAACCAGCAGGATCTGCAGCAACAGAAGCAGCAGCAGCCCCAGCAGCAGCAGCAGCAGCGACGGCAGAACCAGGAGCAGCCGCAGCAGCGGCGGCACAGGAGGCTAGCGAACACAACGCCAGTGACGTATCGAGGAGGCACCATGATGCACAGGCCCATCCGCGTGCACGTGGTGTGGTACGGCAGTGCGTTCACAGAGCGATTCAAATCCGCTGTGCGGCTCTTCGTCAGCTCCCTCGCTCCCTCTGCTGACCCTGCTGTCACCGGTGAGTTTGGAACTAGGGGAAAGGTGGGAGAGCGATGGGGTGTGAGGGGAGAGTTAGCATGGCAGATACTGAGGGAGTAGCAGTCGCAACACACTACAGAGAAGTACAAGAGTGGCACCACTGAGGGAGTAGCACACGCACAGGACAGCACAGCAGTAGGGACCAGAGTGGTGGCGGAAGGGGAGCACCGTGATGCATCGGCCCATCCGCGTGCACGTGGTGTGGCACGGCAGTACCTTCACAGAGAGATTCAAATCCGCTGTGCGGCTGTTCGTCAGCTCCCTCGCTCCCTCTGCTGACCCTGCTGTCACTGGTGAGGGGAGGAGAGGGAGTTGGGAGAGGAAGAGTGAGGATGGAAAGAGAAGGGAGGAGGGAAGAGAGAGGAGAGAGTAGTCAGCCTTGTTGTGTCACGCATATTGTGTTTCCACGCAGGGCAGCACATACACAAGAGCTCAGTAGAGCCTCATTGGAGCAGCATACAACAAAACTACTCCTCTAGTTGGAGTGCCTAGATGAATTCATTTGTTCACTGATGAAACTTCATACTATCCCTCCCGCCACCTCTCGGTGACAGATTCAGCTACATGTTCTCGGTGAAACCATACCACTTTCGATTCACGTACTTTCCTCCTTCATTTCCCCCTCCTCCCCTCCCTCCCAGTGCCTCTCTGGTGGAACGTCAACCACATGTATTACGACAGTGATGGCCGTAACTTTTCAGGCAACATCACCCTGGGTCAAAAAGCAACAGCCATTCCCCTTGTCCCACCCACTTTTCTTATCCCGTTCCCTCCTCTCCCTCCCCATCCCAGTGCCCCTCTGGTGGAACATCAACCGCATGTATTACGACAGTGACGGCCACAACGTCACAGCCATTCTCCTCCTTGTAACTTCTGTCTTACCCCTTGCCCTCCTCCTTTCCCTCCCAGTGCCCCTCTGGTGGAACATCAACCGCATGTATTACGACAGTGACGGCCACAACGTCACAGCCAACATCACTTTAGGCCAAGAAGCAACCGTAACCAGCAGCGGTAACCTGACCACCTTTGACGCTACAGCGGACGTGGTACGGCAGGCTTTGGACGCAGGGAAGCTGCCGATAAGCGCAGACGACATATACTTGCTTCTGACGGATAAGAACACGGTGCAGAGCGGTTCGAAGGAGAACGCAGGGGCGCGCTGGTGCACTAGCTACTGCGCCTGGCACACGTTCTTTGACTATAACACCACCAATGCTGCTGCTGCTACTGGTGCCAGCAGCATTGTAGCCAAGATCGCATGGGTTGGAGACCCCACCATCTTCGTAAGTTTCCTCCTCCTAAGCTGGAGACCCCGTGGGTTGCCTCCGCCGGCCTCTTTGATTCAAGACGCCTATCATCCCATCATCTCCCTCTTTCAAACTCGAGCCTAGCACCCCTCTCATTCACTTTTGCACATCTTCCTCTTTCCCATCCCCTTCCCCTCCCGTCTCCCCATATCTCCTTTCCCCCAGTGCCCCGGCTGTGGTCTCACCACGCCCCTCCTCGCCTTCTACCCTGCCCCCAACGGGGTTTTAGTGGCTCGACTCGGTTGGGACTCTTTGATTCGGGATGCTCATCAACCCTTCATGCCGAATGGTCCTCTTTGAAACTCGAGCCTTGCACCCCTCTCACTCACTTTTGCCCCTTCCCCCTTCCCCTTCCCCTCCGGTCTCTCCCTTTCCCCCAGTGCCCCGGCTGTGGTCTCACCACGCCCCTCCTCGACTTCTACCCTGCCCCCAACAGGGATCCCGTGCACGAGGCGATAATCTCCTACATCGCCCACGAGATCGCCGAAACCGCCTCCTCCTGGAACATGCGCACCTGGCTCGACTCCGGCCTCTTCGAAAACTCCTCCTGCGGCCTCTTTGATTGCAGACGCCCATCAGGCCGCCATGCCGACTGGTCCTCTTTCAAACTTGAGCCTTGCACCCCTCTCACTCACTTTTGCCCATTCCCCTTCCCCTTCCCCTCCCGCCTCTCCCTGTTCTCCTCTCCCCCAGTGCCCCGGCTGCGGCCTCACCACCCCTCTCCTCGACTTCTACCCATCCCCCAACGGGGACCCTGTGCACGAGGCGATAATCTCCTACGTCGCCCACGAGATCGCCGAGACAGCCTCCTCCTGGAACATGCGCACGTGGCTCGACTCGGGCCTTTTCGAAAACGCCGACAAGTGCCAGACGTGGTTCGGCACGTCGACGCAGTTGAACACCGCGACGGCTTCAACCGGAGGGTTGTTTAATATGCGGGGGATTAATGGGTCTAAGTTTATCGTGCAGGCGAATTGGGATCTGGTGCAGAATAACAGGTGTGTGATTTCTGCTCCTTATCCCCCGGACCCGCCTCCTCCTCCTCCGTCTCCCCCTCCCCCTTCTCCCCCTCCTCCTTCCCCGCCCCCACCCTCACCTCCCTCTCCTCCTCCCTCCCCTCCTCCCTTCCCTCCTCCCTCTCTTCCTCCCTCTCCTCCTCCTCCCTTCCCTCCTTCCCCTCCTCCCTCCCCTCCGCCCTCCCCTCCCCCCTCCTCTCCTCCACCTTCCCAACGTGCCCAACCACCAGCAACACCGCCTAAAGGTCCTGATCCTGGTAGGAATTTCAGAGCGTTCATTTGCAGAGTGCTTAGGCGGTGCAAATGAGGGATGTGCATGTGGAATCTGCTTAAACAGTCACAGTGCTATGGGCAGGGTTTGTGTGGAGACATGGAGGGAGGGAAAGTGAATTCCCTTGGATTATACGCATGCTCGCTTCTTGTACAATATACCGCTAGTACTCTCTGCTCTGCGCCAGTATTGCATCATGTGAGATGGACTACCTATGTGGTGTTGACTTTATCAATATAACGCACCAACACGGCAGCCATTGCTACTTCCGGGGCATTCATGTGGCCGTAGTTTTTGCGCACACTGTCTTATTAATGAGGCAACTCTCAACGAGTACCAGGTTTTATGGATGCTGCACACAGGACCCTGAGGACCCTGAGGACCCTGAGGACCCTGACTGTGTGGTATGGTGCTGTAGGGTGGGGGACCGACTGAGAGGTTGATGCACAGAATCAGAAGGAAGATAATGCTGTAAATACGGTATGTACCCAAGACCTTCCCTGGTCTGGTGGTCTGATGACTAGTCTCCATGGTGCGATGTGTGACTGTCCAGATGAATGCTTGTATGTAACATGACAAGTCTTCTGCAATGCACCAATGAACCATTTACCTAGTACATACCGGTGCAATACCATGGACAAGTGGTGCCAAAACCAGGTTCAGCATTTTACCAGAACACACAACGCAATTTGACATTCAAGATTTCCAAATAAACAGGGCGCTTTGCCTGAAATCAAGCACCTTCAAAGCTCAAAGAATGCACTCCCCTTCGCTTGACCCAACCCAACCCAGCCCGTTCAAGAATGGAGCACAACACAGAAGCAGCTCCCACAGGGCATTGATGTTACTACGCATCTCTGCACGCTAACCAACCGCCTGATTTCTGCTGCTCGGCCGCTGCATCTCTGCACCAAAGACTCCATCACAGTTTTATTCCTTAGAATGAATTTCCTCGCCCACTCAGAAGGACTTCTCCCCACTTCTGCACTCCTTACGCGACTTATCCATCCTGATCGCTGGGACTCACTCTCATTTGAACCTCCATATTCCACATCCCCCCTGCTGTTGCTCTGTAGAAACATCACAGTTCTCATTCCATCTCATCCTCTTCCCAACCCACCCCCCTCAGGGAGCACTGGCCTCGCCACACTCCCAACACCAGCTCCTATCCCTCCGCCACTGCTGCTTCTACTCTGCACCGGTGAAACTCTAGCTGCTGCTCCCCCCAACCCTCCTTCCGACAACCCACCACCGTTCACACCACCGCCGCTACCACCATTGCCGCCACTGGAACCACTTCTCTGCACCACATCCAGCTTCTTGCCCGTATACGCAGTATAAAGCGACCCAAAGTCCGATATAAGCTGCTGGCACAGGGGACTCTCCGGGCTCGCGTCCCTCAACACATGCTCAAAGTAGCCCAAGGCAAGCTCGAATCTATCAGCCACGGCGAACGCGCGAACGAGCACGGCGTAAGCGAGTGCATCGGGGACGAAGCCGGCGCGCTGCATCTGGGAGAGCAGCGACTCAGCGCGGCGGTACTGGCCGGCGCGGCCGTATGCGTCCATGAGCTGCGTGTACGTGCGCACGTCCGGGTCTATGCCGACACGGCACGCCTCGTCGAACACTCGTTGCGCCTCCTGGGGAAACGGACAAAGGGAAGGGAGGAAAAAGGGAAAGGAGAAGGGGAAACGGGGCAGGGACACGAGGAGAGGGGAAAGAGGCAGTTCAGATTTATCCACGACCACGGACACACAACCGAGCACGGCGTATGCGAGAGCATCGGGGACGAAGCCGGCGCGCTGCATCTGGGAGAGGAGGGACTCGGCGCGGCCGTATGCGTCCATGAGCTGCGTGTACGTGCGCACGTCCGGGTCTATTCCCACCCGGCACGCTTCATCGAACACTCGCTGCGCCTCCTGGTGGAGGGGAAAGGGGAGAATGGGGAAGGGGCACGGGGCACAGGGAGAGGGAAAAGGGAAAGGCAAAGGGGGAAGGGGAAAAGGGCATGGGAAGAGGGGAAAAATGGTGTAAAGTCATCAGAAGTCAGACCCCTGCGTGCCCTGTGTGGTCTGTGTGCCTGCATGTCCTTTCCCAACCTTTTCCACTATTTCCCACCCTGCTCACATCACATCTCCTGTGCCTCTTCTTCAAGCCCTCACCTCATACATCCCATGGCGGGCGTATGCATTGACAAGCCCTGTGTACGCCGGCCTATCCAGCATACAGCCTGCTGATCTCCCTTCCTCATTGGCCCCCACCTCTCTTCAAGCTCTCCCATTGTAACCTGCTCTCACCTCATACATCCCATGGCGAGCATAAGCATTGATGAGCCCTGTGTACGCCTGCCTCCCCGGCACACATCCTGCTGATCTCCCTTCCCCATTGCCCCCCACCTCCCTTCAAGCTCTCCCATTGTAACCTGCTCTCACCTCGTACATCCCATGGCGAGCATAAGCATTGATGAGCCCTGTGTACGCCCGCCCGCCCGGAACACAGCCCCCCGCCCGCATCTCCCGCCACACCTCCTGCTCTGATTACTCCCATGCCTCATCTAAGTTCTCACCTCATACATCCCATGGCAAGCACAGCAGGCATCAACGAGCCCAGTGTACAACAGTCCGCCCGGCACACAGCCTGCTGATCTCTCGCCACATCTCTTGCCCTGATTACACCCATCCTTCAACCAAGCCCTCACCTCGTACATCCCATGGCGCGCATAAGCATTGATGAGCCCTGTGTATGCCTGCCCGCCCGGCACACAGCCGGCCGCACGCATCTCCCGCCACACCTCCTGCGCCTCCTCGTGGCGCCCCATGCGCCCGTATGCATTGATCATCGCTGTGAATGTGACCAGGTTGGGGCGCAGCCCACTGCGACTGATCTCCTGCTTGGGAGGACATGGAGGGGAGGAGAGGGAAGGGGAAGGGGGGGAGGAGGGTTGGGGGAGGAAGGGTATGGGAAGAACAGGTGGGGTAAGGGCAGGTGTGGCAGGGCATGGCTGAGTCAGAGAACGGGGAGAATGGTGAGGGCACGTCTCGCCTCCTAGTGATGCCTTCTCGTGGCGCCCCATGCGGCCGTATGCATTGATCATGGCGGTGAATGTGACCAGGTTGGGGCGCAGCCCACTGCGACTGATCTCCTGCTTGGGAGGAGAGGGGGAGGGGGATTGGGAGGAGGGGGAGGAGGGGCTGGGGTCAGAAGGGGTGTAAGAAGAGCAGGCAGGTGGACACGTCTGAAAAAGAGGACGGGAAAGAGATGGGGCAGACAAGTGGACAACACTTGCGACATCGTCTCCAGTCCACAAGTGGAGGGATCCCCCTTCCCCCCCCTTCTCTATCTCGTCCCCCTGCCCTCCACGCGTCCCCTCCTCATCCCTCGAACCCCCTTTGTACGAACCGACCTCGTAGTCCTCAATGGTGCGGGATTTGGAGGCAGCTTCCAGCAGGATGTTGAACGTGTAGAGGTCCGGGGCCACGCCCGCACTGCCCACTCCCACTCACACTCCCATCCCCGCTACCCTCCCTCCCTACAATCTCCTCAAGGCCCCCAGGAACGCACCTCGTAAATCCGGTCCGCATCCTCAATGGTGCGGGTCTTAGAAGCAGCCTCCAGCAGGATGTTGAACGTGTAGAGGTCCGGGGCCACACCCGCACTGCGCATCACTGCCAGCACGTGCTGTGCCTTCTCCGGGTGGCCTGCCTTGGCGTATGCGTCCATGAGCGTGTTGTATGTCACCTGTGGGGGAGAGGGCGGGATGGGGGCGAGGTGGAGGGGAAAGGGAGGGGGGGACGGGACGGGAGGGAGGGAGGGAACGAGAGTGGGAGTGGAAAAAGGGGAACAAGACTGAGGGGTTGGAGAAAGTGAGAGAGAGGTAGGGAGGGTGGGGGAGGTAGGGACCGATATGGGGAGAGAAGTGGGGGGAACAGGCACACGCATCATCACAGCACCCGCGCCTTCCTTAAAAGACCCTACAAGATTTCTACGCCATTCCCTCCCATCATTCGCCCTGCACATTCACACACAAAACCACACACAAGCACACACACACCGTCCCACCCGCACTGTCCTAGTGTTGGAGAAACCTCAAAGCAACTCACCCTGTCTGGGATGCACCCCTGGGTGCGCATCTGCTGCAGCACGCCCTCTGCAGCGTCCACCTGTCCATCCCGGCCATAGAAGTTTGCCATGTGTGTTTTGAGTCCCACCCACCCTCTCCGAGTGTTGAGGCACCTCGTACAAACCCAAGCTCACCCTGTCCGGGATGCACCCCTGGGTGCGCATCTGCTGCAACACGCCCTCTGCTGCGTCCACCTGTCCATCCCGGCCGTAGAAGTTGATCATCGTGTTGTATGTGAATGCATCCGGCATGCACCCTGTCATGCACACACATGCGATTAAACACCGGGAGGAGGGAGGCACAGGATCATGGTAAGATGGTATGATGCCCATCCTGGCCATAGGAGTTGATCATAGTGTTATGCGTGAACACATCGTGCATACATCCATCCTGCTGCACACATGTGCGCACACGTGCAGGCATAGACAGCACGAGGAAGGACACTGGATGGATGGGTGGTTTGATGTGGCGGCCGACAGAACATATGGGAGAGCAGGGGCATGGGGTTATGGAGTGTGAACCCCATGTCGGCTCTTGGTGAGTGAACTCACTTTTGAGGCGCCTCAAAAATCGGCTCTTGGTGAGTAAACTCACACGAGCACCTCTGCTGTTGCGTCTGCTCACCTGCGCGTGCCATCTCCTGGAAGAGACTAGTGGCCTCGTCATACAGGCCTGCCTTTATTAGAATGCAGGTGGCTTTTGCACCCTCTTTTATTCTTGAGTTGTAGCCTCACCTGCACGCGCCATCTCCTGGAAGAGGCTGGTGGCCTCACCCTACAGCCCTACCCCTTAGAGAATGCAGGTGGCTTTTGCACCCCCTTTTGTTGTTCTTGTGTCCTCACCTGCACGTGCCATCTCCTGGAAGAGGCTGGTGGCCTCGTCATACAGCCCTGCCTCGCCGTATGCGCGGATGAGG